TAGCATGTGTACCGCCAACTCCTCGTCAATAGATCTTTTCCAAATCTTTTCATGTTTTTAGTCAAGGTGCTCACATGACTGGATGGACTTCGCGAAGTAAGACCCTTCATATTACAAAATAGATTTTGAATATTCAGATTGTCTTGACTTGGGGCAGCTATTTTGTTTGAAGCAAATGCAGATAATATGAGAAGTAGAATCTGATAGGTCAATAGGAGGGACATAGAAGGGACATAAGTCGTAATAGCCACTGGTGGCGCTACTATTGAGTTAGAAATTCCAGTGTAGTTCGGCAAAGGTGGAAACTGCACTTTTACAGTCAGTTCACTCCCATGCCTCAGGAAGATGTCACCAACCGTACATTATGAAATCATGTAATCAGCTTCAAATTATTGTTTTTGAATGTGAGTTTGTGCAATCTGCAGTGTATAGTTCATGGAACTCAAGTATTTGCCCAGATAGATAGAGAACTTTGTCCTCACGACAGTACGTTTAATTATATCCCGATAAAGTACTGGCACCTGTCATCTGTCTAAATAAAACATATTTCATATTTATTTGTATTTGCCCAACCACTCTAATGATGAATTAGAATTAGAATTTTTTATGACTACAAAATTCTAACCAACAGTAATTATTTTAAATAATAATTTCATATCTATAGCCATGCACTGCAAATCTCTCATAAGAGAACAGAACCACAGTAAATTAGATACAAGTTACTCTAAAACTCTTTGTCAAAGCCTCTTTACTGACACAAATGCATTATTTTTATTGGAAAACCAACAAAATCTGTTGACTAGTTCTCTATAAACATGTATAGAGATATTGTCAATGTTTATGTTACACAATAACGTTGTTAGAACAGTTAGTAAAGCTACACAAATATTTAGTTATTAAAAAACTACCTGAATATACAGCAGACTAAAGACTTAAATTACAGCACAGGCTGATCCAATATTGACTTCAATTTCAACAGATTGTTTACATACTGACTTCCTATTAAAGCCCAGATTGATAACATATTGACTTCCTATTTATGCACAGACTGATTACATATTGACTTCCTATTTATGCACAGATTGATTCTATACTGACTTATGACAGACTGTCAGTTACAGGTGCTGTCATTTTCACTGAGACAACACAATGAGTGTTACAATATATTACAGTGTATACAATATTGATTATTTCTATTTCTTTAAGAACCGCCTCTGTGATCTACAGGTAGAGTGTCCACCTGGAGAGCGGAAGGTCCGGGGTTTGATCCCCGGCCGCATCATACCAAAAGATGGTACTTGTTGTTACCCTGTCAGGGGCTCAGCATTAAGGTGCTAAAACAAGGACTGGTCGGCTCGGAGTCAGTATACTGTGTCTGAGTGGGGTATTCATGTTAAACTGCGGCATGGTATCTCAGTGGGTTAGCACTATAAATCAGGATCAGTCTGGACTAGTACAAGCAGCCACACACACGTGCATGTACATCGGTATATAAGTGCAATAATCTTGGACGAGACATTAAACCCAATTTCACCTCTTCTCTATTTCTTTCTTTAAGAGATTTTGTTCAATTAAGGGGAGGTAACTGTTTAGCAACATGAATCTCGAATGTTCAAGTTTGTTAAAGCACTCATTTGTCAAGGGTATATAATACTTTCTACTTATGGTCAAAAGAACCCAACATAATATATTTTATATGGCAATGTTAGTGTTTTATAGGAGATGCATAATAACCTGTTTATTTATGTATTTGTCTCAATTTTAATGTGCAGACACATTCCAGTAATACATACTTATAATGGCATCAAGGAAAAATATTATACCACAACATCAAAGCTGAAGATAATTGTTGCCTACCAGTAAATGTTTCTGTCAATGATGCAAAAGATATTGTCAACAAAAATTTACACTGGCTTCATAAAGGTAAACAGCAGTCTCACATGAGTAAACAGCAGTTTCACATAAGTACACGGCAGCCTCACAAGAGTAAACGGCAGTTTCACATAAGTACACGGCAGTCTTGCAGTAGAGCCAAAGCAGGAACGGAGTTGTCCTCCCTTAACTCGAAATCCTTAAACATACTCAAAGGGCGACGAGAAGTATATATCTGCTTATGTAAGAGAAGTGCCCGCAATACAGCCAAAGAAAAAATACATAGATTTTCTACCAAAACAAATATGAGAGAAAAACAAGTAATTTATTTTGCTTCATTTCTTTCCATTCCTTCTCTGATTTTGTGGATCTTCTTCCTCAAGTGAATTAAACATTCTACTAGTCACTTTAAACCTGGCAAACAACCAAAGGAAAGGAAAACAATCAATACTGTGAGATTTCTTGAGGTTTTGTTCTCCATTAAGTTACTGCTAAGAGGCAAGATTTTGACATATAGCATTAGGGCTAAACTATTTGATACATCACACCAGTGAGAGAGAGAGAGTATTTTTAGTCACATTGGCAATATTTCAGCCATTTTGTGGCTAAATCAAGTTATACAGTAATAATACATACAGTTGGAGACATACATGTAGCCAAGCTTCTACACTCTCAGTAACATCGCTGCTCTCAGTGTGGGAGCGGCCATTACAAGAATCTTGAAATTTGCCATCTGACCCTAAATGTAGTAATGTTTATACTCATGTTAACGGCTTTTGGCCATCATAGTGAATTTTGAAAAGGTTTATGACTGACAATATTTCCCAGAGGAATTTAAGTTTTTGTTTGTTTGATCAGATTGGTTAGAGATTGCAGATGAACGGAAAATCATCCAACTTCCCCCTTAATAACAAAGTTAACAAAGAAAATAATTTAGCCGGGGTAAGAGTATTCGGCATCACGGCAGTCATCACTTGTTTGTAAATTTAAGGGTCAGTCGGTTGTGAGTTCAACTCCAAGCATGGTTGTATTCACCTATCACAGTGGGGAGCTTTGACTGGTGGCAGCGATAGTATAGAGAGCTCAGCGAACGGGTTATTGCTGTCAGGAGCTTGACATGTAGCAGCCAAAGGGAGATAACTCATCAACAGCTTCTGACTTGCTTGATATCATTATATAGCAAAATCAAATATCGAGACACCTCCACACAATTATGCCTTATCTGAAAAGTTGCTACCAATAATATCCAAGGAAAAGAAAAGAAAAATTGGAATTCCCCTAGATCAGCACTCACAGGCATCCTTGAGGCTAAAAAAACATAATAGTCTTGGTTCTCAGGCACCGCCTGTATCATCTTAGAGTCTGCTGCATATTTCGATTTTATTTCCACTTTCAAAAAAAAAAAAAAATCCAAATACTTAAAAACAATGCGATCCAATATAGAACACAGTTACTTCCCTTTACATGCTCAGTGCTTTACTGTGCATCTGGTGTTATGGTAATGGTGGCAATAGGAGTTTGTATGCTTGTTTATGTAGGGAGGCACTTTCCCAGGTTGATGGTACACAACTGTTTATTTGGTTATATACTAGTTTAAACAATAGAGCAAACAAACTTTTAAAAACACACCATGCCCCCACTATTGTTTTAAAAGTCATTGCCTGAGAACCAATTCTTTTATTTTTTTAAGCCTGAGAGACAGTTATTGTACAAACTCAAAGACAAGAGTACAGGTTAAACAGTTGAGGTTGGTAATGGCGTAGGTGAGCGAGATTCATGTTATCTGTTCAGTTCCCTCCAGATAAGCCAAGGGATTGCTTAAAGTCAGTTTATATACAGCATCATCAATACAATTCAGTGAGTTGGGTTTACCGCCGCTTTTAACAGTATTCCAGTCATATCGCGGCGTGTCAGCTTCATGTGGGAGGAAAGCCCAAAGTAATGCAGGTCTCAGACGCTTACCACTTCAGTGAAACCCACGAGCACGGGTATGGTGCTGACAAACCTAGAAACATAATCGGGGCGAACCGGGATTCAAACCCACAACCAAAGGTTTCTGGTGTGCCCAAGTGACACAACTCTGCACAGCAAATTTTGGCACCATGTGGCGTAGTTGCTGTTTTCAACTTATGAATCAAGCAAAGCGAGTGAGACAGTATGTTTTTTACGCCGCTTTTGGCCATATTCCAGCAATATCACGGCGAGGGACACCAGAAATGGGCTTCACACATTGTACCAATGTAACTTTTTTGGGCTGAAACCTCATTCACACTAATATTGGCACTCAATCATTTTGTCTCAATCTATGGAAAATTTCGCATACTTTCATTTGTCCAAGGAGTTAGAATTTCCAACATCTCACTGTATTTAAGCATCATTACTGGGTAGTGCATCTGACTTCACTGTTGTACCATATGAGCTACATCTGACTAAATTGGGTTTCACAAAGCGAAAAGAACATATATCCTGAAGATCATCTTATGGATGTGAGCAGTGTGTAGAAACCATGAATTGTCTTTTAGTCTCACACTTATAACATTTTCATGTCGAGATTATTCTGGGTGAAAGGAGCAAAATTGATTATCTTTGTATATTTTTTGTTTGTTTGTTGTTTAACGCTGCACTCAGCAATATTCCAGCTATATGACAGCAGTCTGTAAATAATCAAGTTTGGACCAGACAATCCAGTAATTGACATCTTGAGCATCAATCTATGCCGTTGAGATACGAGGATATGCTTTGTATATGCATTATTCAGAAGGCCCCAGTAACCATGGTAGCACACTTTCGTGTTTTATGGATGAGCCTACCTAACATGTTGGAAAAGTAGAAAAATATACTTGAAAAGTAGGTCCATAAAAAACAGGATTAATTTGATCTTTTTTGTTTGTATTTTAGTCAGATATCAAAGGTCTCTGGAGAAAAAAGCTAAATCCTGACGACACTTTAAACAATAACCCCGGTACCATATTCGACCAGGACACTCTCAAAACTAGAAATTGGGGGCTCTTTTTAGAATATTATTTTGGTCAATGGTGAATGTAAATTTCGTGGTTTATGCTGACCATGGCTGACACCCAGAAATATTTATATACAACAGATATATTTTTCCAGAATTTAATTGCCCATAATTATGGGTGCATATAACACACGAGAGCGTAGCATACGCAAATAAATAAGTCTTGTGTGCATTGATCAATCGGAAGGGGTGCTAATTGGGATTGTTCACTAGCCAATATATTAGAAAATATCGCCGAGGGTACTTATTAGAGCGAGGCACTTATTACGTCGAATATGGTATTTTGACTTATTGACCAAAAAAATTTTGAAATAAAATAAAACTGACCTGTCCTAATTGTTCTTCTTTTCATCCTACACAACATTTATGAAGGACAAATATCACTGGACACATTTCAGAGCAATCACAGATTCTCTCAATAAAAAACGGCATCAAAGCAACCAACAGATTAAATTTGAATAAAATAAACACAAAAAGGTCATCATAATTCATCCTTTTTCTGTTTGGGTTCAAAAGCCCAGAAAGATGAGGACAACCCTTTGGTGTCTCGCTCCCGCTTGGCGAACGCTGTGAATGTTGAGATACAGTTTCCTATGAAGTGGTCCGCCTTGCCCAGAATAGCAAGGTCAAGGTGAGGGCTGGCCGGACTACCCTGCTTCACAAACTTAACCTGAAATAGGAAAATGAAATGAAATAAACATGACTCAGATTATATTTTTAATAATTTACTACTGCAGTAAATCAATTAATTGAAAACAATCTTGTTTGGGTAGACAACTTTTTCAAACAGTTTTTCTTCAAAATGTTCAAAGAAAATCAGACTCGACCCCTTCACTAACATATCTTTTTTTAGAGTCTTTTTTATTCTAAATTCTACCCAGTGCAAAATTAGGTGTCCCGTCAAATTAAAAATTAGTGGTTATTTGAACTACATAAAGGGGATGTAACTGTTGCATCACTAAAACATAGTATATGGTTTAACGCTGCTTCTAGCAATTTTTCAATAATATGTGAAGATCCAGGCTCGAATAAGTCTTCAGCAACCAACGCTTGGCGACTGCTTGTTGTAAGAGTCATTGTATCCCAATTGTGTGGATCAATGCTCATGACATCAATCACTGGGTTGTCTGGTCAAGACTTGATTATTTACAGACCGCCCCCATATAGCTTGAATATTGCTGAGTGTGGCGTTAAACAACAAACAAGCAAACAAACAAACACAAGTAAACCAAGGGGAGACAAGAATGGGATACTTTGAACCCACATACAACCACCATCATTGTGAAAAAATACCTTTTTCATGGCCTTCTGCATGACATCTATTAAATCTCTATCATCTGTGGCGACGAAAACCGTACCAGCGTTTAACCTTTTGACCTCAGCCTTGACCTCCTTAACAACACTTTTATCGGACGGGTAACACGTTTCCTTGGTAGCCTTGCCCTTTTCTCCCCTGTAGCCGGTGCACTGAGGAGATGCGAACATGTTGTTGGAGCTGTCCATGTATTCACACGCTCTTTTCTGCAACAAAGCAGCGAAAAAGATATCGATTGGAATGTCTGCAACAGAAATATGGAATCAAGGTCACTATCCCCCAGAAAACTGCCTCCTGGAAAACTGCTCTCCTTGGAAAGTAGCCTCTGGAAATATGCCTCTGGAAATGCTGGAAAAGTCCTTTGGTAATGTTCCCCATGGTAAATGTCATCCAGAAACCGTTTTCCTTCAACACCTCAGTGTTCCTGTTTACCTGTAAAATTAGGCTTGGCCTGGTAAGTCATGTGACTGCCAGTCCCTGTGAACTTGCAAATAGAGTACTGTATAAATCTTTGTTGTTGAAGAAAACCTATATATTATTTTAACGAAGTCAGCCTGTCTGTTACCATCAGGGTTTCCCCTATCAATTTTTAGCGCCAAACAAATAATTCCCTTTTCTTCAAAGTTAATAATATATCTGTCGTGACTTCGTCTCGAAATATTAAAAAAACAGAAGAGAAAATAGTGACTGTACTTTGTGTGAATGACGTGTAGATCTAACTACAGATCTTACTTCAGAGAGGACGTTATTGCACTGAACATGATGTTGAAAAAATTATAAAGAATTATAACCTGGTAATTTTCATACATATTCTCATTTGTTGAAGTTGGGACTGACAAAAATTAGGAGTGACTGGTAATTTTTAGAGTCGTCAGTCCACGAGGACTGGCAGTTTCAAAAGCCAGCGGGGACTCTGCACCTGTTTGTTGTGTGTACAAGCAACAATCAATGGATGATGAGTTATGTTCTAGAAACGACAGACTAACAGATATTCTGCATTCACCCCAAAAACTGTTATAAAATAGCAAACCGTAAGGCTAAAAAAAGATAGTCTTGGTTCTCAGGCACCGCCCGCATCATCATAAAGTCTGCTATACGTTTCGTTTTTATTTCTATTTACAAAAAAATCATAGTACTTAAAAACAATGCGATTCAATATAACACCCGCACTGCTTTACTGTGTATCTCGTGTTATGGCGGCAATAGGAGTGGTATGCTTATTATTTATTGATGGTACTGTTTATTTGGTTACATACTCGTACGAGTTTGAACAACAACAACAAAAAATAAAAACAACGCCCGCCCGCACTATATTTTCATTAGTCATTGCCTGAGAACCAACTCTTTTAATTTTTTAAGCCAAACTGATGTATTTTGAACCCATGCAGAACTTGGGGAACTCACTTGGACAATTGGTATTGTTTGCAAAAACATCTCAGTTGAAACATGTAAGGTATTGAATTAAGAACCTTAAAATAGAATACAAAATAAAATAAAATAAATCCCTTGGTATCTAAACAGTGCCATATACATTTGAGTGAAACTATCACATCAACTATGCATAGTCTGAAAAGGACAAAGAACTTACAAAATCGACCCCATTCCTGAGATGAATCCCAATAAAAGGCTTGTCTTTTATATTTTTGGCGATGAAATCGTTTGCCATTTTCTCAAATTTATCCGACCAGCGGACATATTTCTGTAGTGGGACATCTGTCCGTTGGACGGGGAAGGCTCCGGGCGGGCCAGTGAAGGCAAGTACTGGGTACTCATCTCCAGGGTATCTGCCAATGACAACATTACAAACACTTCTGAGGTTAACTGAGTGTAAAAGTCCAGTTTCCACCTTTGCTGAACTAGGCTGGAATTTCGTGGCTTGATCGTTTGTTTGTTTGTTGTTTAACGACGCACTCAGCAATATTACAGCTATATGATGGCTGTCTGTAAATAATCGAGTCTGGTCCAGACAATCGAGTGATTGACATCATGAGCATCGATCCATGCAATTGTGATACGATGACATGCATCAACCAAGTCAGCGATTCTGACCACCCAATCTCGTTAATCGCCTCTTTATACGACAAGCATAGTGTTATGGCAAGCATGGGCTGCTGAAGACCTATACTACCCCGGATCTTAGATTGGTTAGAGATTGCAGACAAACATAAAAACACCCAACTTCCCCCTTGCAGTTTTCACTGTGATTTTTTAGATTCATTTTTGATATATGCCCACAAGACAGATTGTGCCAAGCTCCTCCCAGGGATAGCCTATTGGCTCAGTTCTCTATATTAAGCTGCCACCAGCCACAGCTATAGTATAGTAGGTGGCCATTTATATTGCGTATATCTCCACATCACATAGGGGCATGCTCAAAGCGTTATTATTACCTGGTCCCTGGATCAATGTGCATTCAACAATCATTCTCAGCTTCCTGGGGAGCATACAACCAAAGCTGCCTGTCAGGCCCAAGAAGGTTAACAACCACTTTGTCATCTCATCCTACCGGGTACCCATTCACAACTGGGTGAACAGAAGCACATTTTGAACAATGTCACTTGCCCAAGGAGACACCACATGTGCTACATGTGCTTCAGTGTGGGGCAGGACCGAAGCCCTAGTTCTAAACTCTCAGGAGCCAAGCTGCCGAAACGCAGTCACCCATCCAAGGACTCTCCGTAATCGACATTGCTAAACTTCCCCCGATTTGTGCGCTGTGCACAGGTCAACGTGCAACCACTACACTAGGCACTTTACAACCATGAGATGACCACGCAACCAACTGACGGTTACGATCACAAACACTTGACTACTTTCACACAGTCAAGTTGATATAGATCGATTGTCAATTTGAAATTCCACTTCATTTCAGCCATAATATTGTTACTCAAGAACTTTGTGTGGTACTGATTTCATTTTTTGTTTATAAAGCGTCATTTTAAACAACCCACAATATTATATAAAATGGATCAGCAAAACAAGAAATATATTGGTTTGGGTTGAATCAAGGGAGGGAACTCCATCCCAACTGACTGAAATTGTCAGCTCTGATTTTATCATCTAATCACATAATGTTTGGTATCACGTTGGCTTGGAATTGCTCTGCACATGTGTTAGTCAGTGCCTGTTGCATTTTCAAGGGAGGCGGACGTCTTACTGTGAGCTAGAATAATGCGCAACTTCAGTTACCATGGTTACAGAAGAACCAAACCTGAGAGCATATAATTACATCGGATAATTTCAACTCACAAAATGCCAAAGGTTACCAATAGCAACTACTTACCTTTTCTGCCAACGTTTAATTTCATGGGCATTCCCGGTTTCATAATAGAGAGGGGAAAAGAACTCGGACTTGTCAAAGTCGATATTGAATGTATCCCAAAAGGATTCAAATGGGTTGCCATCTTTTGCATTACAGTCATTCTCTTTGTCTCCATAGGTCCGCTCACTGTGACAGAATGCTGCAAACAAACAGAACACCATGTCAGACACAACACATGCCATTCAGACACAACACTTTGTACACCAGATCATATATTATGTCAGACACAACATACTCATGATGATGTCCTTCAGACAGAGCATGCCATTCAGACACAACATAATGTCATACAGACACAATATAACATCATTCAGACACAACATGTCATTCAGACACAACATAACATCATTCAGACACAACATAACATCATTCAGAAACAATATAACATCATTCAAACACAACATAACATCATTCAGACACAACATGTCATTCAGACACAACATAACATCATTCAGACACATGTCATTCAGACACAACATAACATCATTCAGAAACAATATAACTTCATTCAAACACAACATAACATCATTCAGACACAACCTAATGTCATTGAGACAACATAATGTCAGTTAGACACAACATTATGTCAGTTTGACAACATAGAGTCATTCAGATACAACATAATGCCATTCAGACAATATAATTTCATTCAGACAACATGTCAATCAGACATAACATGTAATTCAGACACAACATGTAATTCAGACACAACATAATGTCATTTAGACACAACATAATGTCATTCACAAACAACATAATGTCATTTAGACAATGTAATATCATGAGGCAACATAATGTCATTCAGACAACAATGTCATTCAGACAACATATTGTCATTCAGACAACATGTCATTCAGACAACATAATGTCATTCAGACAACATAATGTCATTCAGAGAATATAATGTCATTCAGAGAATATAATACTCAGGCACAACATAATGTCATTCAGACACAAAATGTCGATCAGACACAATACAATGTTACTGCAACTCTACAAAATGTCAGTAAAACAAAAACTAACTGGTGAACTAAAATGGCTAAATCCACATAACTACAACATGCACAATGGACAACAAACACTTACCAATCCCACATGAAAGGAACAGATATTCTCTCCTCTTTAGGGGTGGTGTCATGGAGGTTGGTTGCTAAACTATTTGAATCTAGTGACTGAATTTCTAACATCGGAGTCATGACAAGGACCCCGTGTATTTCTGTTTAACTGAGTGAGTGAATCATGTTATGTGGTAACTTTATTATTAGTGGTATGCAAGAAGGGTTACACGAGTTATGCCCCTTTGTAAACAGAGAATTTGTTCCATCTCACACAGTGTAGAATGTATGATCATGTATCCTTAGTAGGGCTGGGACGGGTAACTCGGGTACTCGGGTCGGGTGGTAACTGAGTAGGACCCGGGTACCCACAGGACGTGGTTAGTCACATGATTATATTGTTTAATGGCAAAAATTATCTAGCACTCTATGGTTACACTATAAGTGACATATGTTCACATTTCTTTCTGACTATATAACATTCCTTCTGACATTATATGTTTGCATAATTATATAACTTCAGTGAACTTCCGTGTATGCATGACCAGATCGGATTATACATGTATCTAAATATATTTTGACAGGAATATGGTCAAACGTTTCTCAATCGGACATTTTGTACCTATCTCTTGAGACCTACAGCGGATACCCGGGTAGTAAATTTGGACTCGTCCCAGCCCTACACTGAGTTACGGTATATATGTTCTTCTTGATTGTGATGTCAAGTACATGTGTTTCATGTTGTCATGGTAATGCCAGTTAGGCTGAGGTTTCAGTTATGGCTTAGGATTTGGTAAAGATACCATGTTTTGAACTACAGTCATCGCTCTTGTCATTATTGACTAATGAATTAAGATGATGAGTAACAAAACATCGAGTGAGTTAATATTGGAGTTATTGTTGTCAATGGTTGTACAGTGACTTGGAATGTACGTACATATGCGCTTCCCTGGCGGCCAGAGTGTTGGTGCCAGCTTCTTCATGAATCGCTCCATGGTGATGACACGATGGAACTTGGCTACCTCGCTAACTTTGAAGTATGTATCGAAGGAAACCTGGACCTGTTTAAGAGAGAAATGAAAGTGACAAATCTCAGGCCATTGCAACATATAAGTTTCAGCCTCATAAACCAGACTGCATTTGAATGATAATTCTATCCATTTTAGCTATTATACATATTACATTATTACAGACTATTTTTCAGTTGGGAATTTTCAGTTCAGGGGATCATTTATATAAGTAATCAAGCAGTAACTCTTGTGGTCATGAACACATGGTTTTCAGAAGAAAAGTCAAACAGATCTTAAGGAACCCATGCTTGCCGTAAAAGGCGACAATGCTTGTCTTAAGAGGCGACTAATGGGATCGGATGGTCAGGCTTGCTGACTTGATAGATCCATATCATTGTAGCCAATTCCGTGGATCGAACAAACAAAAAGACAGAGTGGTGTTTTCAATTGTTCCATGTCAGACTTACAGATCTTGTCTCGTATCTGCGATATTCTACCCATGGAGGAAGTATAAGGGTACGGTTGACAGAGGCTGCAAATCGCAGAGCTCCCAAGAACTGGTCTGCTTGGTTTCCAAACCTCCCTGAAAAATATGAGAAATAAATCAGAATTGAAGCACCCACTGGCATAGAGGAACTCTCAACTGGCACTGTTGTATTTTGGTTTTCAGGAACAGATGGAATCGAAATGCACATAACCATGATAACTGCTACATGTGCAAATGATTTGTATTGAAACAAGAATCTTCAGGAGATGACATATCCCCCTGGTCTGGTGCCACTTTCGGTTTATTGAGTTTTGCTGTGACCACTAGAGACGTACCCATACAAGGACAATAAGCAATATAGTCATTGCTGTGACCACTAGAGACGTACCCATACAAGGACAATAAGCAATATAGTCATTGCTGTGACCACTAGAGACGTACCCATACAAGGACAATAAGCAATATAGTCATTGCCGTGACCACTAGAGACGTATTCATACAAGGACAATAAGCAATATAGTCATTGCCGTGACCACTAGAGACGTACCCATACAAGGACAATAAGCAATATAGTCATTGCTGTGACCACTAGAGACGTACCCATACAAGGACAATAAGCAATATAGTCATTGCTGTGACCACTAGAGACGTACCCATACAAGGACAATAAGCAATATAGTCATTGCTGTAACCACTAGAGACGTACCCATACAAGGACAATAAGCAATATAGTCATTGCTGTAACCACTAGAGACGTACCCATACAAGGACAATAAGCAATATAGCCAGTGCTGTGACCACTAGAGACGTACCCATACAAGGACAATAAGCAATATAGCCATTGCTGTGACCACTAGAGACGTACCCATACAAGGACAATAAGCAATATAGCCAGTGCTGTGACCACTAGAGACGTACCCATACAAGGACAATAAGCAATATAGCCAGTGCTGTGACCACTAGAGACGTACCCATACAAGGACAATAAGCAATATAGCCAGTGCTGTGACCACTAGAGACGTACCCATACAAGGACAATAAGCAATATAGCCAGTGCTGTGACCACTAGAGACGTACCCATACAAGGACAACAAGCAATATAGTCATTGCTGTAACCACTAGAGACGTACCCATACAAGGACAATAAGCAATATAGCCAGTGCTGTGACCACTAGAGACGTACCCATACAAGGACAATAAGCAATATAGCCATTGCTGTCCACTTCCTCTGAATTGAGCTGACCGATGCAGGTGAAGATGAGGAACACTGTCAGGGTGATCATCACTGGAGGAAGGAGCATCTTGCTTGGAAACCTGGAAAACAGGACTTGGTTACCATAACAACACATCTACAGAATATACACCAGAAGACAGCTTCATAAAACCAGAGGTTTCAGAGGAGAGTAAGGGGCAATGTGAAGGTCAAAGGTTGTATTTTGTCAAAGAAATAATTCACACTAAAAACACATTATTCTAGTCTGTATACTACATACTTACTTCATATCAAATGTGATAATACATGCAGAAATGACTGAGTTAAGGGAAAACATCACATTTCAAATGTTATATTGTTAGCAGAATGTGTTAACTAAACATGCAACCTCTAAAGCATAACACAAAACAACCGTTACAGAGTGTATGACTTATTCAAAATACTTTAAAAAGCATAGTCTTGAATGGAAGTCCCCTGTTTGAAACTGGTACAGCAAAGCTTAAGAAAGCTGCTTTCTTCATGGCTAACATTGACTTCCTGTGAGTCATTTCATTGGCCGGTCATAGTTTTTGCGAAAGGTTGTTCTGATGTGACCTGTAATGGGATGTCCTCGGCGATAGCGAGAACTTCTATCCGATTTTAATGAGATTGAGGTTATCTAAGCATGTTAATAATCCTGTTTTCTTTATTTAAAGCATTCATTGTTTATTGTTCAGCAGGCTATCTCTGCAGCCGTTGTAATATGCAGCTACCAGCCGACTCTTCTTGCATCAAAACATGGGGCTGTGTACTCGCAGGCAGATGACCACAGATCACTGTGTCGGATTAAAAAGACTGATTAATGAGTGATTTCGGTAATTCGAGGCAAATTAGGTGTGTCGGAGTCAGAGTGCGAGACTGTCATCTTAGTAGCACTGATTTAATCGGTTCCCATCATAAGTGTCAGGTAAAACTGATTGTCGGATTAACGAGTGTTGGATTAATGAGACTTGACTGTACATGCAATGTGGCTGCACTGAAAGCCATGTCTTACCAACACTTTATCTATGCATCATTGCTCGGATCATAATAAAAACAAATTTAGCTTCAGAGACCCTAGTTTCAGGGGAGTTGAAAAAGCTGTAACACTGGAAGGGTTTATACACACGAAGTCAAGTTTCCAATGACTGGGCACGAGTAAGTTAATCCCCTGGGCGACTTTGTGAGATTTTGGCAAATAAAGGCTGAGCAATACAATAGACCATGTTGCATGTTGTTGTAAGCCATTAGTCCGGATTACACACATCACTGAACACAAAATTGTGGCATTTCAGATTTTTATTTACCATTTTATATATCATTAACATATCACAGTCATGCACACAAACACATAGATATGCGTTTGACTATGAGATAAATATATACAATCACTCAATACACCACACTTAATTTTCTAAATCTAGATGAATGGCATGTGAAGCTGATCTTGCAAAAAATGCAATGTCTATGTTTCCAGCACTTTGTAACAACTTTGTTCGACTTCCTGGGAAGAGCGTCACATTGAAAGGTCGACTTCCTGTGCAGACACCACTAGAAGAAGGGGTTATGTAAACATGATGAAGGTCAAAGGTTGAAGCTTGTGAGCAAAATAAGCATAAGTTAGGGCCTAGTCCATGGCTACTGTGTTTCCGTACATGTGTCCATTATTTCTTTGAAGTCACCCATAAATAAGGGTGGGGCACTGGACTTCTTTCCATCTTTTTTGCCTCTGCCAAGCCATGAGTGAGTGAGTGAGGGGGTTGGGTTTAACGCCGCTTTCAACAGTATTCCAGTTATATCGCGGCGTGTCAGCTTAATGTGGGAGGAAAGCCCGAGGTGATGCAGGTGTCAGACGTTTACCCAAAACCCATGAGCACGGGTATGGTGCTGACAAACCTAGAAACATAATTGGGGCGAAGAGGGATTCGAACACACAATGATAGGTTTCTGGCATGCCCAAGGGACGCAACTCTGCACAACGAATTGCGGCGTCTTAGACGACTGGGCCACAAGTGCCCCCTGCCAAGCCATGATATTCATGAGTCAGTCACTTATTGAAATTTTCCATTCCTATCAATACTGATAATAAAGGCTATTGATTATCAAGGCATGACAGCCACATTGATTAACCCAGATTCATAAACATGATTAAAGGTGTTGTTCTGATACCCAAACTATTCTAAATGTTAGCTGCTATTGGTTTTATTGATTTTCTTGTTGAATGCATCCAAAATACATAAATCGTTCAAATCTTCATAAATATACAGATGGTTAGCCTTACTACATGTACTAAATGTAACTCAAGTTAATCAATATCAACATCAATCAATCACTGTGCATCTGCCATAAGGGCATCTACGTACAATGTTATATATATTATATAGACTCCCTAGCTGCTACCAGTTCTCTTATCAAATGCTTATCAGCTAATAACGTAAACATGTGATATGATTATGGCAACAGATCTAATGTTAATTTAGTAAATGAACATTCTACCATGAATTTGGAAATTACTTGATTCTGATTGAGTAATCAGCATGATCAGAGGCTATTAAATCATAATAAATCCCCTCTGATTGAAACACCTGGTTCGACGGCCGCATCACCGCGGAAGCTAATATTCATAGAATAGTACTTTTTGCAGTAATTGTTGGTAGGCATATTTAAATAAATATATCTACACTTATAGGTTACAAAATGCAAATTTGCATTTACTACAATATTCAAAGGATGTGTGGCAATACATTTCGTGCTGAAAACACAATAGAAATCTTCAAAGAGAATGTATTTTAAGTTTTGGGGACAACTGCAAAGAGATTGGAATTTGGTGTTTCTCTATATACGACTGGGACATCATATCTTTTGCATCACAATGAGCAATATGACATCATAATGGTGACGCGCTGTGTAGAACGAAAGCTTTGCAAAGGTTGCTTAGTTTTCTTTAGGTGTGCCCACCTCATGTTAGCTTACCAAGTTGCCATGCTTATATGCTTTCGATGCCTGTCATATGATCAAGTGAAGTATTACTGTGTAAACAAACTGCTTAAGCGTATACAGCGCCAAATTTTGCTTACAGGCTGTTGTTGGTGATTATATAATTCAGATCGACAACCCACTCAAAACACTGGACTCAACCCATGTCACTTCACTCAATATATTTGCTAACACCAAAGAGTGTGCATTTTATTTAGTCATGGCAGAATGGAGATAAACATACTGTGTTTTCAATGTAGAGCTAGGCTACCTGTAGATTTAACCACGCTAAATTTAACATTTCAAACCTCACGCTGCGCTTTCGATTCCAAATTCAATTTAGCGCAGTTAAATCTACAGGTAACCTACCTCTACATTGAAAACACAGTATGTTTATCACCTAATTAGATCTATCAATTGCCTAAAACTGAACTTATGGCATTATAAACATTTTATTGATTAAATCATTAATTATTCATGGTCGTTTAACTTCATGGTAGAAACACTGACCACTTGAGTCCTTGCCATTGTTAAACAAGTAGATTTGCCTTCATGCTGGTGAGCATCCTTACTTTCCAATCACCAGTATCACTAGCAGCATTGACAAGAGGAATGATATTTTTACTGAGCGCTGCAAAGACGTACAGTGCAACGAAGAACGCGCTGTGAAGTGCACCGCACTGGCATCGTTTTAGCACAAAGCACAACAAACTGTCAATGCAAAAACACCTGCCTGTTCTAAGTGTGAGGAGGAAGTGACCGGCGACAGTGTCGGCTTGTGAAGTCCTGTACCGGTATGTCCAGCGGGGCACCTGTTGTTCAGCACGCGACAAAATTATATCCCACGCTACTTCCTGGACACCTGTCGATGCAACTCACCTGTACAGCAACCGTCGCATCACTCTCCGAGCAACAAGCCCTGCACAAACTGTACACGTGTTGCACCTTTATTTGTTTGTGTACGAAATAGGCGATTTCTAAGGGAGACTACTCTCTCTTGACTCTTTCAGTGTGGACCATGAAATATTATCAAAGGACCACGAGACGCGACGGGCTGGTGTGGCTGTAGGGGAATTCGTAATTCGTCGCCACTATCAACTCGTAGACAAAATCCACGATGAACTCGTAGACAAAACACATACAATAGGGAAATAGAACTGAATTGTGATTTATTAATTAGGCTTCGATATACTTACGTGGTTATTTATTTATTTATTATGGTTAATTACAAAGAATCCTTCAAATCCTTTAATAATAATAATAATCATAATCATAATAATAATAATAATCATCATCATCATCATCATCATCCATCTCGTGGAAGGTCAGGCCTATACTTACTAATGGATCAATGCAGGTTAGAGACAAACTCCAGAATGCCCATATCAAAAACAAATTTCGGACAGAATATAAATGTAGACTTAAGAAAAGAATTCAGAGCTTCAAACGTCAAATTAAGTCAAAGCCACAAATACTTTTCCTGTACCCGTCCTTTCTTATTCCTTTGGTGTTGTTGCTTGTACGAAACAAGAAACTTAGGGTATTGACACCCTCACACGAAGAATCATGTCAGACAATAGATCCCGCCACCCTCGCTCTTCCCTCGATTCACTCCCATATTGTCAGACATCCCATTTGTCAGCAATCTGACCATAGGTCACGCCACAAGGCAGCGTCATAATCCCCATCCTGTTGAACATCATGATCGTTGATATCTCCAACCCAAACTTCTAAATTAGCTCATGAGGAAGCAGTATGGGTAAATAGAGATATTTCACAAATCCGAAAAACAGGGGCAAGAGGTGGAGCTGCGTTGGGTCCCGTCTCCCAAAGACTTCTTGGAAATTAAAAAGTAGACACACTGGCGAAGCTAGCTCTAGACAAAGAGGAGATACAGCCTATTCCCGTCAGTAAACTTGAGTTAAAAAGCAAAATCAAAGCCTCCATAGCCCAAAGAATGCAAGCCCTGTGGGTGGCAAGTAAGATCGACAGAAAATTCAAAATTCAACCCAAGATCCACCAAAAGTCATACTCGTACTCAATGAAAGGAAAATTCTTACGCCTCAGAGTCTGTCACAAAAAGCTCTATGACAAGGTATGCCCATCCTGCAATCAACCCGAATTCATTGCTGTCTTGTTACTGGAATGTCAAGACCATGCCCCAGCCTGGGCTCGATTAGGACGAGAATTGCAGTTAGATCCGCTATCTGTCGTACATCTCCTTAAACCACGAGGATAGCGAAGGCCAAACTTACTATTTCTGAGAGATGGACAGCTACTCGAAAGTATATATACAGAGCAGCCAAAGATAAAAAAATGAAATCATATCAATAAACCAAATAGAAATCTTATCAATACAAAAAGAGAAATTTAATGAATACTAAAACTCACAATAGATATGTGTACCCTATACTCACACATACGTTCCAAAGAGGGACAGGTCAGCCGCAATTGCTGAGGCAGAATGCGGACTCTTAAACTCTTAAAGCATCAATGGATGGTATACGCAGAGTTGAGTACATTGAGTCTCAGAGAGGAACCCCACAAGTATTCTTTGATGGGTTCAACTACTCTAAAAATCGAACCAGATGCCAGACAACACACTGGAGATGTATCACCAAGACCCACGAAGAAATGTTCCACTGTTGGGGACTTCTTTAAAGATGTCTCGGACCACTACCATCGCTTATATTTACCAGTTATAATGAGATGGCGTGGTTTAATTAACGTGGAGGCTCTTTATGATAGAGCTGTTTTGAGCACTTTTGCACACATTTATTTGTCTGATCCTCTTAGGAAGGATGTCAAGAATCATGATGGAAACAAGGTATTCCACAGTTTTCTTAAACGAGCCAAAGATGTGGGATATAGTTTCATTGCCAGTGTGCACTTGTTTATGGTTCTGTACTGTTGGACGGTACAGAAATGAGTGTCAACCTGCAAGCGAAGTGCCATATCAAATCGGCCCAGACTCTTCAAGGAAAGGGTATAGGAACGGTAACTGCATCGTGTAAATGTGCAGTGTGTCGAGGAGAGAAGCAACCATGCAGACCACGATCTTAAGCGACATGTTGGAGTGGCTCGATCCTTTCTTTACCGTCTTCGCCATGCTTGTGGTATTGTCACATCGCCATGCTTGTGGTATTGACACAGAGTTACATCCATGGTACGACCCAGAATATATTGTGGGTGTCATGGAATATGATTAAAATAAAATTCTTTGGAATGGGCCTTATCCAGGCCAACAAAGCCGACCTTGTCCTTTTTGATAAATCCAATGAAATCATATATGAAATTGAATCTTCTGTCCCTTTTGACACCAGTGTGATTGACAAGACTCAGGGAAGACACGACACCTAGCTTTCGAAATGTCCAATCTCATTAAAATCAGATCTTAGTTCTCGCTACCGCTAAACGTAGCGAGAACTAAGATCTGATTTTAATGAGATTGTCGAAATGTCACGCTTGCATCCCAAGTACCAATTTTTAAGTTGTCCGACTCATGGTTCTCGGTGCCTTAGGTTTGGTACCTCCCAATCTTTTGACTGACATTGGGAGAGTACCCGAGTTTTCTGCTATGAATACCACCCTTCTGACAATCTGGGTAATGCAGAAGTCTGCACACTGTTCGAAAAGTTCTGGGTAGGTTCGACTAGGCAGCGCTTCCTGGGAGAAGTCCCATTCGCTGTCTGGCCTGCGTGTAGAGGAGGCAAGGGCCCTGAGCTGGTGATGAGCCTAACCAGCCTGACTGTGCTGGATCACCCAAACCCTCTTTGCTGCATTTTTTATTTTGATCTGTACATAATGATAATAATAATAATACGTACAGTAATCCACTCCAACCACTTACCGAACGAACATCTTCTTCTTAATACTGTTGCTTAGGTAAGTGAAATGCAGTGATAGTAATCATTTGTAATTATTATCATTTAAGTCCAATATAACTAAACCGTTAATACGAAATCATTCCTGTTTGTCTACGGATTCACCGCAAATTGTGTCTACGAGTTGGGCGCACATCCACGGAATGGGTTTGTAATAGTACTCTGCGTGACATTTACCCATTGTCTTTATGTAAACGTGTATTGCTGGACTGGTCTAGGTATAAGAAACATTTAGTTGGCAAGGTGAGTGAAGTGTAGTTTGAATGGTTTGATCCCAACTTGCTAAATCTTGCTATTGATGTATTGCGAGTTTCAAAGTATCGTGCGAAGTTTAAATGTATCTGGCGAAATAAAAATGTATTGAGAAATATGTATTTATCTTGCGAAGTATAAATGTATATGGCGAAGTTTTGATGTATCTGGCGAAGTTAAAATGTATGTGAAGTGTGTATTTATCTTGCGAAATTTATTTGCATCTTGTAAAGTTTAAAATGATCTTGCGCGGTATGCATATATAATACGACTTTTGCAGCGTGTAAAATGGATGTGACCGGTTTGCTGTGCCATGCATACAATGTGGCGTGTGCGACCTGATGAATTATACGAGGTATTGAGGTATTTTAGACAGTTTATTTGTAGAAAGTCAAAGAGGCCCACAGTACATTCAAAATGCAAATTCTATGTATTTCATAAAGTGCTATGAAATATATACAATTTCTCTAGATTTGTTGGAAAATAGATAGCCCGAGCAAGGTATTCTTATTTATCTGAAGGTAAACTGCACTATTTTTTCAAATGCCCTAACAACAATATGTTAAGAAACGATTCTTTTTTTTCTATTTGAAAGGTTACTTTTAGTGCTTTATGGGAATGGAAATGAAACAAAATCTGTCAATTTAGATATTTTGAATTCAGTCCATATGCACACCCAAAACGTTCTGGTAGATTTGCACTAATGTAATAACATAAGATTTAATTCATACTTTAAGACAAGTATTAAGTATTACATACTTAATGACTTGCTTTTCTTAAAAAATTGAGTACCTTTCCACCAACCGCAACAAACCGTTGACCGCTCGTTTATGATTTTGTTTATATAACCAACATGTATCAATATAATTTGATATATTATTATTTTGTTTCTGTTACTTTGTACTGGAGCGGTACTAAAATGAGTCAGATAACTTGTTTACCAATCCTGTTTCATTTATTAAATATATTTAAATCATGCTTATTTGATGTTGAACTTTGGAGTTTTGTTAGCGACTGATTCAAAACACGCACTTTTGTTCTTTTTAAAAACAATTTTAAACATATTTTTATTTCAACTGAAAATTGGGATCGGTAAACGAGACAGCGCTTATTTTGATACCTCTCCCTATATGGAAATCAAGTACCAAAGATAGTCAAGTGTATACATAATATTTACACAAACAATACGTTGGAGGTCAGTTATCAGCAGTGCCCGGTTTTGATAGTCAGAATGATGGGGTTAAACGTAATATTAAGTACAACATAATGTACACAAGAAACATATATATTACATGTGAGGGATTGATATATTAATTAACTTAATTAATCTTGTTCTGTGAGGAGGCCAAGAATTTCGTTTTACAGTAAACTACGGTTATAACGAAGTCAAAGGGACCACTAATTTTAGTTCATAATAACCGTAGTTCGTTATAAGCATATATACAACAAATGGCCGGGACTAAAAAATAAGTTCGTTATATCGGTCAGTTCGTTATAAGCGTGTTCGTTATAAACGTAGTTTACTGTATTTTCATATTTTTTCAGGACATCCAGCATTTTCAGTAAATCATTGTTGTCGTTAAACCCGACGAAACCTTTAAAATATCAAATTGTCGGTCCTATAAACATTCGCATTGGTTATGACTGATATTTGACCCAAGGTTTAGTACATAGCTAACTTTATCTGGCTAAAATACAACGGGATTTGTCCAGTACTGGAGAGACCAGTTGATAATATTTATATTGCATAAAAGTCCAATCAGTTCCGTCAAAAACGATAACGATTATTTTGCCGGGTTATTACTTTGCCAAGGTCGGTGTGTTTCTCTGATATATAAACCTGGTTCTGAAACATGAAACCTACCAATCGATAATATGACCATGTTGCCAAAAATTGATATAGCTTAGGTTAGATACTAGAACTGGCTTTCACTTTGAGTGAATTCATTGGAGTATGAAGAAATGCATTTCCAAACTCCACCGTCATATAGCTGGGATATTGCTGAGTGGGGTGTTACTTAAACAACAAACATCACACGTTCGTTTCTTCCTAAAGGAAATGAAACTTTCAAATTAACAATTAAAAACAAACACCTGATATAAATGATGTCCTCAAATCATTCCAATCTCCATCCTAAGCCACCAGACTTGAAAACATAAGTTTGTCCTATGTAGTGGGAATTATTTTACAACCAGTGGAACATGTGTTGACTCAATGAGCAAGGGAATCAATGTGTGTAAGGTCACAATTATAAAGAATTTCTAATTGAAATATTGTAAAAAATAGGTTCTGTATATGTGAAGTCAATATGGGGATAGTTTTTTATCGCCATTGGTTTGAAGCATTAAAATAACATTGTTTGTCAGCCTTGCTGTAGCCTTGGATATTGTATTGATCTTTTCTGTGTTTCAACAGCTGGTTATTGAGGGAGCTTGTGTTTTCCAGGGGGTCCAGACCCCTTCTGAAAAACCAAATGTTGTGTGTTGTGGGCAGTAAAATCATATTGGATATTGATATTTCCCTTTTACCTCCCTTTTAAAAATACTGGATCCGCCCTTGTATCTTACAATATTGTAAGATATATCTAAGTCCATATATAATATATTAAATATTACATTTTGCCCCTCCTAACATTATCTTACATTCCAAAAGATGCAGCAGAATAAAATCACTAGAAGTGTTCCTAATTGCGTGAATCGATGCTCATGATATTAATCACTGGATTGTCTGGTCCAGACTCGACTATTTACAGACCGTATTTACAGTCATATAGCTGGAATATTGCTAAGCGCAGCGTTAAACAACACTAGATATATAATATGTATAATACACTAGATAATCGAGAATGACATATTCTAAATATTATCATGTAACAATAGCATTTATTCCAGTTGTCAGTTGGTTGCAAGACTACTGTCATCTTGGTAAATTATACAACATCATTGCTGGTGGTGGTACAATGTCCTGTGCACAGCACACAGGTCACAAATCGGGTGAAGTTAAGCAACGGTCGTGGTGAGTCCTTGGATGGGTGACCGCATCTTGGTGGCTTGGTTCCTGAGAGTTTCTAGGGCAGCAGTGAATGGGTACCCGGTAGGATGAGATGGCAATGTGGTGGTTAACCTTCTAGCGCTTAACAGGCAGCTTGGGTTGTATACTTCACAGGGAGCTGAGAATGATTGTTGACTGCACATTGATCCAGTGACAGGGGTAATAATAGCGCTAAAATTTGAGCATGCCCCTGTGTGCTGTGGAAATATGCGCAATATAAATAGCCTGTTATTATTATTATCCTCTGGTAGATGTCATTGAGGCATGTTGTCCCTTAGCACATAGACCAAGGCTGTTGTACCATCATGAGCTCAAGAATAAAACAACCATACCAACCTGAATTCAAACAATAGAATTATATTTCCTGTGATAAAATATTTCCAACAGAAATCCCTCCAGCTCGGGGTAAACCAATCTACACCATCCATCATCCTATTCCTCAAGCAATAGTTTTTACAAGATAAAAGATATAAGGCTTCAGGTCAAGTTTCTATGTACATTTATTTCTGTTTTGAACAGTGTTGTTTGAGAACACCATATATCTGTTTCAAGTTGGCATCTGTGCGCATGGCCACTGCATCAAAGTGTGTTCTGCTGGCTCTGAAGCCGGAGGATCTGAGCAGTGTTACCATCCGATCAAGTCTGAAAGCAAAGAGCATATGTACATATTATGTAACAATGTTCAAGCCTAGATACAGCTTTTCGTTAAAGGAGGGGACCGATTTGTGAGAGGTAGTCATGTCCTTTGTGTTGCAAATGTCCCCAAATGAGTGATAAAGAAATCATGAGAATCTGGTATGGTTGATGTATAATTTCTCTAAATTATCATTTTGCATAATGAGGTGAGGTGAAATGGGGTTTAACGTCGCGTCCAAGATTATTGCACTTATATTGCAACATGCATGTACGTGTGTGTGTGTGGCTGCTTGTACTAGTCCGGACTGATACCGATTTATAGTGCTAGCTCACTGAGATACCATGCCGCAGTTTAACATGAATACCTCACTCAGACACAGTATACCGACTCCGAGACGACCAGTCCTTGTTTTAGCCCCTTAATGCCGAGCCCCAGACAGGGTAACAACAAGTACCATCTTTTAACGTCTTTTGGTATGACGTGGCGGGGGATCGAACCCCAGACCTTCCGCTCTCCGGGTGGACGCTTTACCAACGGACCACGGAGTAGTTTTTTGCAATTACCTATGTTGTCCCAGTGTTGTTAAAATGCATGTTCAGAACGGCCAGTGAATTCCTGGCTCAGAACCAACTGCAACAACAATAGCGTGACAGCATCATCATGGTTGAAAAAGCGTGCACCCTGCAGCCACCTGTGATCTCGAGTGAGTGAGTGAGTGAGTGAGTGAGTGAGTGAGTGGCTCTGTTATTTGTATGTAATTGTACTGTGGTGGCACGAAATGTTACTCTTGCTTTCAGTCACCGGTTGATTTTGGCTGGAAAATAGCTGACTGCACCATTTAACAACACTCACTCACTCATTTGGATCACTGGCACATTTCAGTCCCTTAAGGATTCATTTGGCCCCAAAACGAGGATTTGGGACAATGCACTAAAAGCGACCAGTCCTCATTTTATCCCTTGAATGCCGAGTACCAGGTAGGGTAACAACACTACCATCATTTAACGTCATTTGGTGTGACAGGGGATTGAACCACCGCCTTTCCGCTCTCCAGGCTGAGTGAGTGAGTGAGTGAGTGAGTGAGTATGGTTTTACGCCGCTTTTAGCAATATTCCAGCAATATCACGGCGGGGGACACCAGAAATGGGCTTCACACATTGTACCCATGTCGGGAATCGAACCCGGGTCTTCGGCGTGACAAGCCAACGCTTTAACCACTAGGCCACCCGACCGCCCCCTCTCCAGGCTGAGACTCTATCCACTAGACCATGGAGGTGGTTACTATATATATTGGTTAAATATTGCTAAATATTGCTATTGAATCCTTCCAATACATACTTTGGCACAGTGATGTCTCTGTAGTTTTTCCTCTGTAGTGTAGAGCAGTAGAATGGTGGACACATATCAGATTGTCTCCCTTTGCTGATAGAATTTGAGAGTGATCTCCCTTTAGAAGAGTCTTTCTCTTCATCGTCTTTTACTGATTTCATCTTTTTAGTTTGTGTGTCACATTCTGAAACATATTCACGTTTTCTGGATTCTGAGTTGACCTTGGGGGATTTGATTATGTTCAAGTCTTCTTGGGAACTGTCATTTTCAGTACCACTGTCCCGTAGAGACTTTGAATCTTCAACAGTCAATACAGATGACAAGTTAACACACTGTTCTTCCTTTGGCAGGTAACAAACTGACTCTTCTATCAAACTCGAGAGCAAGGATTTTGTTTTCACAGAGATTTTGAGGGATTCTGTCTGTTGAGTCATCTTGGTGAGAAAATCTGTGTCGAAGATGCCACCACACCTAAAATAAAAATGTTAAAAAAAGATTTAAGATGGACAATGATACATGGCTTGTAGGGCTGGGACGAGTCCAAATTTACTACCCGGGTACCCATCCCCCTATTAGCCGACCCTACCCGGAAACCCACTGTAGGTCTCAGGAGATGCCTTAAAATGTCTGATTGGGAACATTTTTAGCATAGCCCTGGCAAAACATATTTAGATTCATGTATTAAACAATCTGGTCATTCATACACTGAAGTTGAATTAGGTTATATCTCTATTCAACCATATGAAAAATCAGAAGGAATGGGTGCATAGTCAGAAAGAAATGCGAATATTAGTGGCTTGTAGTGCAATCTTAGAGTTCTAGATAATTTTTGTCATTAAACAACATATCACATGACTAAGCACGGGTCCGGGTAGTCCTGTGGGTACCCGGGTCCTACTTAGTACCCACCCAACCAGAGTACCCGAGTACCCGAGTTACCCATCCCAGCCCTAATAGCTTATGCCCGGTCTAGACGTCTTTTTGTGGCATGTGTGAATGTGTGTTAAAAGTCTCAAAGACTGAAAACACCTTCTTGAATGCTACAACTGAATGTGTATATTTTTATCATCCTACTGTCCCCTGTCTGTTGTATATATGTACATATGCTGTGTTTGTGCATTTAGCATGTCCCTTGGTGATGTGGAATTTGGTGCTATAGAAATAGCCATATTATTGTTATTATTATTAGATTGTACTCTCAGTAAATAGGGTAATTATAAACTTCTCGATATATATTGTAAGATTTGAGTCAGCAAACAAAGACATGTTTGAAGACTGTGAAATCTGACTCACTTTAATTTTTGAACATTGACTATTTTCTGATTTTAGTGAACCACTAAGCATAGTGCACAAATTCATGTCATTCAATCCCAATATATAGAAGTCAGATGTTCTGTAGTCCAGCAGTTAAGTTATATAATGTGACGTCTGAAAACATGATCAAGACTGCCAGTTGGCTTAAATTTCTGTCTGCAAACGATAGATATTTCTAAGAAGGCACTAAACAGTTCAAGTGAAGTAATAGGTCAGCAGATATTTTCCAAATCTGTTCATGTTTTTAATCAAGGTGCTCATGTGATTTGATACATTTCGTGAAGTAAGACCCGTTTTATCACAATATAGATCCTGATTATCGATCAGATCGTCCTGACTGGGCGCCACCATTTTATGTGAAGCAAACGCAGGTGATACGAGAGGTGGAATCTGATTGGTAGGCTTAGAAGGGACATAACTGGTAATAGCCACTGGTGGCGCTACGATCTAGCCCACTAATTCCAGCTTAGTTTGGCAAGGTTGGAAACTGGACTTTTAAAGTCAGTTAACTCTCTTGCCTCTGGAAGATGGGTCACCTCCTGCAAATGTATGAACTCACCACATTGGACCTAGGACAACAGCCGTTCTGCCTGGGGAGGTCACATGACAGTCACATGGCAGCAAGGAATATGGGTCCTCTGTAACAAATGTTTGATAGCATTGTGAAATTATTCATTCATATTTGAGAGAACAAATACTGTTAATATCCTAGCTGCAATGAAAATAAAGACTTTTCATAAAAAATGAGTGAGTATATCAGTAAGAGATCGTTCAGTTTTTTGATGCACTAATGTGCTGAAAATAATAAAATAATGACCCTCCCCTAATGCTGGTCATATATTTGGATGACCCTCCCCATGTCCTTGTACATTTCTTTCATGACTCTCCGTGGAAAGACAAAATGCAAAAGGATCATATATATTATTATAACATGTCAACGTGTACATGCCCCCCCCCACCAATTATGTGTATTATTTTTCATGAGACTGTCATATTTTTTGGTAACCCTCGCTTATTCCCTCTGACCCACCCCAGCCTATAATAATGACTGGTCCCTAAAATCACAACATTGGGTGAAGCAGTACAAAGATGGTCATTACTTACAAAACCTACTGGTATGGGTACAGAACTGGCAGACGAAGGATCAATTGGTCTACTGCCATTACCTAGAGGATCCTTCTGGTCTGGGTAGAACTATCTATAGGCCTTAATTAGAGGAGTCTTCTGGTCTGGGAAGAACTGTCTACAGCCATTACCTAGAGGATCCTTCTGGTCTGGGTAGAACTGTCTATAGGCCTTACCTAGAGGTGACTTCTGGACTGGGAAAAACTGTCTACAGGCCTTACCTAGAGGATCCTTCTGGTCTGGGAAGAAGTGTCTACAGGCCTTACCTAGAGGAGACTTCTGGTCTGGGTAGAACTGTCTATAGGCCTTACCCAGACGATCCTTCTGGTCTGGATAGAACTGTCAAAAGGACTTACCTAGAGGAGACTTCTGGTCTGGGTAGAACTGTCTATAGGCCTTACCTAGAGGATCCTTCTGGTCTGGGTAGAACTGTCTACAGGCCTTACCTAGAGGAGATTTCTGGTCTGGGTAGAACTGTCTATAGGCCTTACCTAGAGGATCCTTCTGGTCTGGATAGAACTGTCAAAAGGACTTACCTAGAGGAGACTTCTGGTCTGGGGAGAATTGTCTATAGGCCTTACCTAGAGGATCCTTCTGGTCTGGGTAGAACTGTCTACAGGCCTTACCTAGAGGAGACTTCTGGTCTGGGTAGAACTGTCTACAGGTCTTACCTAGAGGAGACTTCTGGTCTGGGTAGAACTGTCTATAGGCCGTACCCAGACGATCCTTCTGGTCTGGATAGAACTGTCAAAAGGACTTACCTAGAGGATCCTTCTGGTCTGGGTAGAACTGTCTATAGGCCTTACCCAGACGATCCTTCTGGTCTGGATAGAAATGTCTAAAGGACTTACCTAGAGGAGACTTCTGGTCTGGGTTGAACTGTCTATAGGCCTTACCTAGAGGATCCTTCTGGTCTGGGAAGAACTGTCTACAGGCCTTCCCTAGAGGATCCTTCTGGTCTGGATAGAACTGTCAAAAGGACTTACCTAGAGGAGACTTCTGATTTGGGTAGAACTGTCTATAGGCCTTACCCAGACGATCCTTCTGGTCTGGATAGAACTGTCTACAGGTCTTACCTAGAGGAGATTTCTGGTATGGGTAGAACTGTCTATAGGCCTTACCTAGAGGATCCTTCTGGTCTGGGTAGAACTGTCTATAGGCCTTACCTAGAGGATCCTTCTGGTCTGGGAAGAACTGTCTACAGGCCTTACCTAGAGGAGATTTCTGGTCTGGGTAGAACTGTCTATAGGCCTTACCTAGAGGATCCTTCTGGTCTGGGTAGATCTGTCTACAGGCCTTACCCAGACAATCCTTCTGGTCTGGATAGAACTTCTACAGGCCTTACCTAGAGGAGACTTCTGGTCTGGGTAGAACTGTCTCTCTTCACAGATCTGACAGTGGATGAGTTGACGGACTAGCCCCACAGACGCATCAGCGTGCACCGGTCCTCTTAACACCCTCACTGTCACCAGGAGGAAGTCGTCGAAACTGGCACAGAACAGCACCTGAATACCCTTGCTGCAGCTAGCAGCACTCCTGGAACATAATGTCAACACTGTAGCTTTTTCTGGAATATTATTTTAAATCATAAAGACCATACAAGGAAAAGGAAAAAAGAGGGACCTCCTCACATCATGTTCATTAAATTGTACACTGATGCATACATAGAGTACATCATGTACATGCTCATCAATGAATTCTTTTAAAGCTGCCAATGTAAATGTTATTTTTTATCATTTAAACATTTTGCCAAATTATTTGGCATCCACTAGAAAAGCTGAAATAAAAAATCATGAGTGCTGTTTTGAGTGCAAATTAAAGCTGAAAGTGATACATTTTATTTTATTCCTTATTCAATCTTTCTACCAACAATTTAAAAAAAATTTAACTTATAAACATGATACATCTGTCAATCCTCTGGCCTTGAGTAACACTATCTAACAAAATATCAATGGAGTTTGAGGAGTCACCAAGGTTTCTCTCCACAATATCTGCCATACCGAATTCCATGTTCACAGAATCAGATGTTTCAAGCCAGCAATTATTGAATAAGTCAGGGGATGCAAATTAATCTGAGACATTTTCTAGCCCAAATAGGGATAACATACATACATCGCCTTACGAGTGTGAAATTCTACCCCATCTTCCCGAGGCAAGCATAACCACTAGCCTATATCAAGGCCTAGTTTCTACCCTTGCCACATCAAGGCCACTTTTCTTGGCTCGACCCTGGTGCCACCTCGCGTGGACCACGAGTTGTGCCCCTTGTACCTAAAACGCGATATCCAATCAGATCACTGTTCTAATCTCTTAGAGCTTCACAAAGGATGGCGACTACCATAGTCGACGACCAAGGCGTTCAGACAATGAAAACATCCGCAATTTCATCCCTTACACAAAAACATAGATAATCATTGGAGGGTTGAGTTTGTGAAACGTTCTCTGATTTAACTAACGATATGTGCCATAGTCCAATCATATTTAGCACTGGAAAGTGGGCTTGATGTGGCAAGGGTGGAAACACGACATTGATAAAAAGGCTTGGGGATGCTCTTGCCCCAGGAAGATGCTGGACCCGAGGGTACCATTAACTTCGGAATATTTGTGTCTGGTTGCAAGTTTGTACATTCTGAGTTAATACACCAAAGAGTGCCGTTAATGAGCACAACATGTTACACAGGAATTCATGATATGATATTCAGAAAGACAGTCACTGCTGTTGAGCAACTATTGAAACACAATGGGAGATTTGTTAATCCCTGAAAATGATATAAATGTATGCCCTTTCAGCATACTTACCCGTACAAGTGACTCACAGGGGCCATAACTGTCTGTCAACAGGTTTAAAAAAATGGAGCCACATGGCTCTGGAGAAATAATGGTTGACATGTCTAAAATCGGATCAGAATTCTGAGAACAACATTTATAGACTAGGTTCAAAGTTTTAGCTCCATATGGCTTGTACTTTCAGAGGAGTTGTCAGAAAAGCAGAAACATAAGAAAAATGGGTATGTGATGGGAAAGGGTAGAAGATTGAGAAAAGAAGAAGAAGTTGGTATATGCAGAAAATGGCTAGTATTGACCTTTCCAATATTGCCGCCATTGTGGAGTGAGTGACTGAGTGAGTATAGTTTTATGCTGCTTTCAGCAATATCCCAGCAATGTCACAGCAGGGGACACAAGGAATGGGCTCCACATATTGTACCCATGTGGAATTGAACCCAGACCTTAAAGCGAACACTTTAACCAGTGGGCTACCCAACAGCATCCCCTCCCAGCCCCCTACCATTATGGACATGTATAAAATATGTTCAGAATTCTCTAAACAGTTTCAATGACACCTCTCTTTCATACAGGTTTGTTTGTTTGCTGTTTAACGTTGCACTGCAATATTGCAGCTATATGATGGCAGTCTGTAAATAATAGAGTATGGATAAAAAAATCCAGCGATTGACATCATGAGCAACGATCCACGCAATTGGGATACGATGACATGCATCAACCAAGTCAGCGAGTCTGACCACCCAATATTGTTACCCGGTAGTCACCTTTTATGGCATGCATGGGTAGCTGAAGACCTATTGTACCCCGGATCTTCACGGGTCCTCAAACAGACAGATAAATGACCAATAAAAGGACACAATATTTATAAGATAACTTGACTTTCCATCAGTTGAACTAAAAAAATCCTTTGGAAAAATGTTAATTGGTAAATAATTGAAATGATCAAAGTCATGCAGCCATTAATCATGACCAATATTCCTCCAGTGCTGACCTTGCCATGCATGCCGTGACAATCCTTGCCGCCATTTCCTTGGAGTAGTCAGTTTTGATGACATTAGCACCGTAGTTCCGCAACACTATGTGTGGAGTCCGTGCAAAGCCGGAGACGTTCGGCACCACAAGGGAGACAACTCCATTGTTCTTGGTGTTGGCGAAAACAGGATCAAAGTAGCTGGTGGGGTTCTTGCGTGGGTCCAGATAGCTTTGTTAAAAAAATACTTCATATGATGTGTATACAGTCAAGTCCAGCTAAAACGGTGCAATGAATACCATATATGTCCGCAGATAAGCCAAATTTTCTCACGGGTTCATAATTCTATTTTCAATGATACACAAAATGGCGTCTCGTTGTTGATTGCAACATAACGATCATTATGAGGTTAAAAAAAGACAACAGAAACAGCTTCCCACATTAGGGGAGTGAATGACTGGTTTGTTAAATCTTTATTAGAAATTATAATGACTTTTTCTATGTAATTACAACGTTTTTCATCTTATAATATTAAATATCTGCAAGTACCGGTACAGTCTTGCAGTCCAACTTTGCGGTGTGTCATTGCCTTTCACTTCCTGGTTCAGCTTATCTACGGGTCATATCATGTTCTTTCATATTTCAATGGTCAAGTTAATACCTCGGCTTATCTACAGGGTCGGCTTATCTGCGGTCATATACAGTTGTCAGATAGGAAAAATCAAGTTTCAGTTTTCACCCATTATCATCATAATTAATTAAATATTTCAGCTGAAAAGAATTATCACCCTCAAGCATGGAGAGTCCTGAGCAGACACCACAAAAATATAGAGTTTGATATTGATCCATGTGCGTAAGTTGCGTTTAATGCCGCTTTTAACAGTATTACAGTTATATCGCAGTGTGTCAGCTTAATGTGGAAGGAAAGCCCAAAGTGATGCAGGTCTCAGAGGTTTACCACTTCGGTAAAACCCACGAGCACAGGTATGGTGCTGACAAACCTAGAAACATAATCGGGGCGAACCGGGATTGGAACCCACAATCATAGGTTTCTGGCATGCCCAAGTGACGCAACTCTGCACAGCGAATCGTGGCGCTTTAGACGACTGGACCCCTCCAAAACTTTTGTGCCTACAAGCCAGAACTATGCTCTTAGCTTAATATTCAGTAGTTTTAGAGGTAGTCATCAAGCAAAACGTACAGTAACACATGACCTGACTATATAACATTGGAAATCACTATCTGTATATTACACCAGTGCAATAACTACTAGGTAGAATTTATGACTAGGAAAATCCTATACATCTGTCAAAATACCACAAAAATATCAGCCTCATGTTGGAATTAAGCAGTGCTTGGAATGAGTGCTTGATAATTACCTCTAAAGGTTATAATATGGACCATTAATAGCTGAGGTAACAGAACAGAATTGTCCATGCAGTGAAACAGGTCATACGAAAAGGTTTGACGAAACCAAGGGAAGATAACTCCAGCCTGTGTGGAGAATGATGCTCTTTGTTTTCGCTTAACCCCACTCTCAACATTATTACAGTCATATGATAGCAGTCTGTAAATAAATCTTCGCTTGTCATGCCGAAGACCCGGGTTCGATTCCCCACATGGGTACAATGTGTGAAGCCCATTTCTGGTGTCCTCCGTGATATTGCTGGAATATTGCTGGAATATTGCTAAAAGCAGCGTAAAACCATACACACTCACTCACTATAAATAAGTCAGGTCAGGAACTAGTGATAGATATTATGAGCTACAATCCAAGACATCAAGGTACAATGACACATATTTCATCATCTCACCGAGCTTGACCTCCCGATCTAGTAAGTCACCTTATTAAGTACTAAACTGAGGAACTATTATAGGTGTACATGCCTCCTGACCAGCATAGGCTACTGGGGACCTGTTCTAATCCAGAATCCCCACAGGGCCACAGAATGATGGGAAACTGTAGTAGTGACTCACACAAAGTCAAACGCCTCCATCTGCAGCACAGCGAGGGGAAGAGCTCGGCACACATGTAGTGTATTGTCATCTTGACTTTCCAGGGGCAGCCCTGGAGGTCGGCAAAGGTCAGGGGTCAAGGTTGCCACCTGAAGGTCATTCTTGCTGCAGTTGTGTTTGACACAGTTGTGAGGGCTGGAGTCTGTTATAGTGACGTGAACTTGGCTTTTCAGTTGCTTCTTCCACTGCATGCCAGCCAAACCTGAAGACAAAACATCAGATTGCTAAATAACGGATTCAATTACTTATATGAGTGAGTTGGGTTTAACACTACTTTTACAACCTTGACACTATTCCGGGCCATAATACAGTGTACCAATGTGGAGGATCAAAGCCAGGACATTACCGGTAAGTACACTGGGCAATCATGGATTGTTTTTACTCAAACTGCAGTTTTACTTTTTTTCCCATTTGAAAAAATACAATTGTAAAATATGATAATAAGCTGGACTGGACAATTGATATGATAACCAACCCAGTGATATGATAACTCAAACCCAGTGAAAACACATTGGTGCAGCACACATGGCAACCCCCCTCAGTTAAACATGTTCAGATTTATAGTTGGGTTGGTTTGTTGTTTAACGCCAGCTATATGACGGCGGTCTGTAAATAATCGAGTCTGGACCAGACAATCCAGTGATTAATATCATGAGCATCGATCCACGCAATTGGGATCAATGACATGCATCAACCAAGACAGCGAGTCTGACCTCCCGATCCCGTTAGTCACCTTTTACGACAAGCATAGTCACCTTTTACGGCAAGCATGGGTTGCTGAAGACCTATTCTACCCTGGAATCTTCACGGGTCTGTTCAGATTTATAAAATATTTACCTTGTGAGCAATTAAAAAAACTAAACAGTTAATTACTCATAACTGTCAATCAGAGGCTTCAGCAGTCTCCAACTAATTCAACGTTTATCTCAAACCATACCTCCTCCATTGAAGTATGATTATAATGAGTCTACCAGTTTATATATATATGTGCATGTGTGTGCATGTGGGTGCGTGTGTAGACATATATCTTGATGAAAACATTGATATAAGTAGTATCTGATACTACATCAACATTAACAGCGAGGATACAAAAAGCATAGTCGCTTTTTAGGGCAATGGGTTTCTGAAAGAAGTATTCTAACACAGATCTTCCCAGCGCACCAATTGCATGAAAATGTCAAATACTACTGTGGGTAACAAGCAATCAGTATCATTCAGGAACCGTGAAGATCCGGGGTAGAATAGGTCTTCAGCAGCCCATGCTTGCCGTAAAAGGTGACTATGCTTGTCGTAAGTGGCGACTTACAGGATCGGGAGGTCAGGCTCGATGACTTGGTTTAATGCATGTCATCTTTTTCCAATTGCATGGATCGATGCTCATGATGTCAATCACTGAATTGTCTGGTCCAGACTCGATTATTTTACGGACCGCCGTCATATAGCTGGAATATTGCTGAGTGCGGCGTTAAACAATAAACAAAGAAACAAACAGCATCATTCAGTCCCCACGGGAATATTCCTCGCAAATGTTGAGTAGCATATGTGCCAATGCATGTACCTGATCCACTGCTTGTGTCCACAGCATACAGGGGGGTCTCTTTTGTCCTACTTAGCTCCGATACAGTTGCTAGAATCAGCTCTCTGGAAGAATGTGTACGAAAATAATTTAGAACTACAATTGACTTGAATTGAATTAACTTGATATGGCTATTTATTCAAAATTTACACATCCAACTTTGTTAATTAGCCCTTTAATCCCAAACAAGTATTCTGACTGATTAATGTTTTTTCCACTGGGGAAATCCTTGACAGTATTGGTCAAAAGAATTGGTCTGAAGGATTACATGTCACAGTTGACCCGTTGACTAAGTAACATAGATTGGGAGGGGGGGCACTTGTGTGTCATCAAGGTACGGATACTGTAAATGTGCATACTTTCGCTAAGCATCATTCACTTGCTGAAAGACTCCTATTCACTTGATTGTCTTGAATCAGGCCAGGGTTTTCTGTTATGCACACATGTGCGTCCAGTATACACAAATGTGGAGAATGGACACAGAAAAAGAATATACGAGTCCCAGGGACACACAATAATATTCACTGTACCAACATCGCATCAAGAACAATTATAGGTGTCTGTCATTTCATCCATCAATCATGACCACTGTCCACATGATCATTGATTCATTCCCGGCTCCAAAGTAAATATCTAAACGTACAATACACGACACCATGTCATTACTTACAGGACCCTCATATTGCCTGCTAGGAACCTTAAAATTAGTTATTGGGGGTCCCCTGGACTCCAACTGTTGTAAGTCAAGGTCAAGGTCAAGGTCAAGTCAAGGTAAAACCCTGGGTCAAACGCACATACCTTTTAAAGTTATATCGTGTAGAATATCACTTTGTTTAATCTTTATTTATCATATATCATATGTAGCAGAATGTAAAACAGTATGTATTTTAACTTATGTATTTTAAACTTAGGTAAATAATTGAGTTAAGTATGGTAATAGGTCCTTAAGCTAACCTGAGCACTCTCTACTAATCCTTAGGTAAAGTAAGGGGGATAGTTATGTAAGGTCTTTAGTGATCTGGTCCAGCCACAGCTGATATTTTAGTCTTGTTGAGTACACTTTTATCATTTTAATTGCATATTTCTTATAAAGTATAAGTTGCCGTATGATCCACATGATACGCAATGTTGTAAATATATTACTTATTCTTCAAAGTCATGATACGTTAGTGAGTAGTGTGATACTAATTACACTGGCCATGACTTAATGTTAAGCAACCATATTGTTATAAGGTGCTTTCAGTAATTTATATAGTTTATAGCTTGAAGCTGTACCTATTAGAATTGATTTATTATTAGCAATAATTTATAGCTTACAGCTATAAATGTAATAATATATTGTACAGTATTTTAGTACACTAAGTCTTGTATGAGTTAGTTGATGATTATGTACATAGTTCTAGGAAAGTATTAGTAAATATGTACTGATGTAGTGCATATAAATATTAGGTTTATATTACTGTGTGTGTGTGTGTGTGAGAATGTGTGAGAGAGAGAAAGCGTCTGTGTGCGTATTATATACATTTTACTTAATTGTGTCATTTCATTATTAGGCATAGAGGCACATATAAAGCCATACTGTTGGCACTGACGTGATGAGCCTGCGTCCCTGAGACGAGGTTGGTATTTATGTGCTAATAGTTGTATGTATATATTGTTGTATTTTTAGGTGTATTGTATCATATAAATGGGATTTGTAGCTGTAATATATATAGAGCTGATGGTTGTTCTGATTATATATGCTTAAATTCATGCTCATGGTAACAAGTAAATGAAATATGTTTGTTTAATTATACATGTTATAGATTCTTGTAATTGTATATTACTAATTCAACCTTATTATATTATGTTTTAGGGAATTATCATCCATAGCCATATTGTGGTGGGATCTCCATATCCCTGATATGAACAGACCGAATAAATCCCATGAACCCCCAAACAAGTATTCGTCGTCATTACCTAGACGTTATACCGCTGTAACATATATATAATTAAAAAAAACTTATCTCTAGTGTGTGTGCAGGGGCGTTTATCTACAATTGTGAAATTTTGGATTTGTGTGTAAACAATTACAATCTTGCATCAGCTGTTATGGGTCATTTACAAATCCAAATCATATCTCAAAATATGTTTTCAAGGAAAATGTTGAATAAACCTACCAAATCAGAATTTCACCACTATCTATCCTTAAAGTCAGATTCGACTACGATTCTTAGTTTTACAATGAACCATTGCCATCCAACTTTCCCGTTGTTCGTGGATACCATGTGCGGATACATATTAACAGTGAACAATCACGGGTCACTCGTCAACCATACAACAAGGTGCGGATACGAGCTAAAATTATTTAATACGACCACAACTGCTTGAGCGGGCTCTAAATTTTTGAGTGATAAATAGCTTGTATCTTGCTGAAGTGTAGTCTTACTGCCAATGCCATGGCTCAGACACAAAACTTTTGAAAATTAAAGTTACCTGAAAATAAGCAGTTTTGGATTGTACAGCTTAGATTTTTCGAGTGGAGTGTTGCCGTAGTCATTTCGGCAAAAAACACCACTTTCCGTGATCCATTTCTCGCTTTTAACATGTTCCTGCATGGGCGCTGCCATTTTGATTTTTGTGGTGTTCTGTAAAAGTAGAATTATGATCCGAAAAGTTCAATTTCAATGATAAAAGTTTCGTTTCATTGCCCAAGCCAGCCCAACAAACTAATTACACATGTATATTTTGTTCTGGCTTCAATGTTCAAGTAATTTCTATTGCTGATCTAATACATTTAAATCTTTATTTCCATATTCTTTCATATTAAATAATACATTTTCTTTCATACCACAATGGGTGATACATAATATTTTTGTATATTGTCCAAAATGTTATTGTTGTTTTGAGTGTATGATACAACCATACTGCTATATACATCCCATTGCCTATCACCAAACAAAAACCCCAAAACATTTCTTTAAAATGTCTGAATTGAAAGTAATACAATTTTCCACAAATGAATATAACGATGGTAAACTATTTTATGGACGTACATTTTACGTTTTGTGAACGTACACTTCTTTCAGTCTCACCTCTTTTCAAGCCAAAACATAATAATTGCTTTTGTTTGTCAGACTTTGGAATATATAGATGACTATACTTCTTGTTTTTAATTCAAAATGAAAACACTCCAGTTGGCTTCAGAAGGTACAAAACAAATATTTTATATAGTTGTGTAAACACAGATGGGACAATTTGACATACTGTTGACTTTCCTCTACGCTTTCACTGTTCACATTTTATATAAAGTTTGCAAGTACTTGATTTAGAAAGTTTAAATAAGATATAGACAAGGCATTGTACTGAAAGTTTATGATAGAACTAATGAAAAATTAGTAAACAAAATTAGATATTTAAAAAACCCAGTTTACTGAGAAAACCTTCATATTGTTTTTGTTTGTTGTTAACACCACACTCGGCAATATTCCATCTATATGACGGTGGTCCGAAAGTAATCAAGTCTGGACCAGACAATTCAGTGATTGACATCATGAGCATCGATCCACGCAATTGGGATACGATGACATGCACCAACCAAGTCACCCGATCCCGTTAGTCGCTTATTACGACAAGCATAGTCGCCTTTTACGGCAAGCATGGGTTGCTGAAGACCTATTCTACCCCGGATCTGAAATTGTTGAATATTGGTGTATATGATGTTGTTTCACATTATAGTTGCCTTCCGTTATTACTTAAGAGCGGACATTATTAGATGACAGACAGCTACGCGAATCTCAAAGAAAAGGGAAGAAAGAAGCGTGGTTTATTTCACGATAAAACATTGTCCTATCATGACGTCATGTCTTGAGATTCGAACATGCGCTCTTATTCTGATGGGAGCGGTCGGGTACCCTAGTGATTAAAGCGTTCACTCGTCACGCCGAAGACCCGGGTTCGATTCCCGACATGGGTACAGTGTGTGATACTCATTTCTGGTGTCCCCCGCCGTGATATTACTGGAATATTGCTAAACGCCACGTAAAACCATACTCACTCATTTTGATGACGTCGTTAATAAGATAACGTTATTTTTAAGAGGGAAGTGTCTAGTGACTTCTTCCACATAGATCTAGTAGCTTGGCTACGCAGATAAACAAAATGGCCCGAAAGGATCTCACCCAAAAGCGGCATAAGGACAAAAGGTACAGATATCCGACTTGAAAATTGTGATCATATCCAGAAAATACCAAACTAAACACCCCTGTTCATAAAATAGACTTGTCCGACGTTGCCTAGGTCGGATTATATTCAGGGGGTCATCTTTATTATATACAGGTAAATATTTTTTCAAAATTATATTTTATCGACATATCTTATAGAAGCTGTAACGTTGATATCTCATACATCAATTAACATCTGCGCCCGCATGGTTTTATAACATCTACAATGTTTTATTGTACAAAAAAACAAACGACCATGAGTCGTTTATTTCTTAATTATTCAAACTTGAAAGAATTATGTGGACAGGCTTATCTTGGCACAATTTCAAGATGGGTTACAGTAAAACATAAACTGTGAAAACAGCTCATTCTAATTTTCCACTAATTCAATATTTTGAAGGAAAATGTATCATTATGGGGCTGGGAAACAGCTATAGACTTTATTGTGTGATACGAGACATAAGTATACGCCTCTCAGTCAATCTCATTAAATTCAGATCTTAACATTGATATTTAAATCAACACTTTCAATCAACATGAAAGCAGCTTTAGGAAAAAAACATGTTTTCACAGTTTATGGTTTTAAAAGTGAGTATTAATAAAATAGGATCATTTAATAAAGACATGTTTCGGACAAATATTACCTTTCCAGAACCTAATTTTGACAAATATCGTTTCTTTTTGTGGTCAAAGGGAGATAACTTTGTAAAATCCTAGTATTTCCGAAATCATGCGTTTATTATCAACCTTGTCGGTTTGTGGTCAAAGGGAAGTAATTCCGAAAATGATAATAAAGAGTTGTGTCCCTTGTGTAAGACCCCAACAAGCTCCTTCCCAGCGCGTGACACCTTCGTTACACTCTCGGTAACATCGCTGCCACCAGTGTGGGCGCAGCCATTACAAGAATCTTGAAATTTGCCCTCAAACCCCATATGTAGTAACGTTTATACTTTTGTTTATGTCTTTGGGAATGCCATCATATTTCAATTTGAAAAGGTTTACGACTGACCATGTTTTCCAGACGAATTTACTTTGTTGTTTTGATAATCAGATTGGTTCGAGATTGCAGACCAACGGAAAATCAACCAACTTCTCCCTTACATTCTTACTATATCAATAACACGATAGTTTTAATGAAACAGAAATTCAAATTGACAAACGAAGAAAGTAATTTAGCAGCGATAAGTGTATTCGGTGCACGACAGTCGACACTTGTTTGTAAACATAACGGTCATTCGGTTGCGAGTTCAACTCCAAGCATGGTTGTGGCCACCTATTCACAGTTGGGAGTTTTGACTGGTGGCAGCGATAGTATAGAGAGCTCCGGGAACGTACTATCGCTGTGAGGAGCTTGAGACCCCAAGGGAGGTAGCTGTAAGATCACTTCAGAGTGACTTCCCCTGAAATAGTTAAGTAGCATGTCTTTTGGTTTGGTTTGTTGTTTTACCGCACACAGCAATATTCCAGGTATACAATGGCGGTCTGTAAATAATCAAGTGTTGACCAGACAATCCAGTGTTTGACATCATGAGCATCGATCCACACAATGGGGATAAGATGTCATGCATCAAACAAGTCAGCGAGCCTGACCACCCAATCCCGTTAGTTGTCTTTTGCGACAAGAATGGGTTGCTGAAGACCTATTTTACCCCGGATCTTCACCTAGCATGTAATGTTTAGAGTTAGTGGTAGAGAAGACTAGAAGTCCAGCAAAGAGTCACTGTATCTGGTGGACTGGAATATACTCATTTTTTAATTTATTCCTTTGTGTAGATTCTTACTGTTTTGAAAAATATTAATTGGACATAAAATACAATGAAAACATTTTTATTGTCTGTCTAAGACAGACAGTGTCTTTTACTTTTTCCCTTCTACCTTGTGAAAGGGCAAGTAAAAAAATGACGGCGATTTTGTTGCGAATATTACTTTTCCTGGATACATTAATCAATTTCAGAGAGAGAGAGAAATTCATAATATTCGTCGAAAGTATTTAAATGTCAGTGAAAGTGCTGAAATCACACGCTCTGTAATCGGCTTCCAAAACAAACCTATATGGGGGCGTGGCCTTAGGCACAGCGGTGACAACTGTTTTCATTGGCTGATTCTTTAACTGTTCTACTTATACTGTGTCTGAAATAAAAAATATCAACATTGCATACATTGTTGAATGTGTGAAACGACCTTTGATCTTGACATTGTGAATATTTAAAATAACAATAAATAATCGATAACTTGCGTTTAATTACTAACATCCTGTTTGGTTGGACAAAGTTTTGTTCCGTCAAAACATCAGCTGTCCTCGGACCTATTCAACAAAATAAATGCTTGTCTGGGATGAATCCTCAGAGTAAACAAACGAAGGCATCTTCTGTGTTGTTACTGAGGTGACATAAGTTATACAAGGTAATCAAATGGATGAGCAGGCAGCAAAAGGCGGTCCTATTTTTAAAGGTCCGATGCGGAAGCAGGCAGTCTGGGCGTCGGCCCGATCTTCATGATCGTTGAAATTGCGCAGCGCGTCAGAAACCGGTAACCCGTTTTTAACCTCCAGTAAGGGGATTCCCCACAGTGGTAGACTTTTTGTTTCAAAGACGATTTCGCTTGTTTTGTATAGTCTGTTTTGACGGTATTTCGGTTTTTTTCAAATTCAATTTTGGTCAAGAATATCTGATTAAGTAAGCCCTAAAGTATTACAATCGGCCAAGTTGCCAAGTTGACTCTACCTGCCCTTGAATACATCCTGTAGTGAGTATCGTGTTAAATTAGCGTCTCAGGTCAATAGATTCAAGACTGTCGGATTTTCATGGCAAATGGTACTAACCGAAACACATGTCTGGATATGTATATCTCACATTTAAACCTTTCATGTTGTGAAAAAGTGGAATAAGGTAATTTGACAAATGGTAAACGAAGTGGTATGGACTGATTTACTCGATAATGTAGTGGCTCCGGAGATCTCTTTTTGTGCTGGGCACGGGTGGCCCAGTCGTCTAAGGCGCCGCGATTCGCTGTGCAGAGTTGCGTCCCTTGGGCACGCCAGAAACCTATGATTGTTGGTTCGAATCCCGGTTCTCCCCAATTATGTTTCTAGGTTTGTCAGCACCATACCCGTGCTCGTGGGTTTCACCAAAGTGGTAAACCTCTGAGACCTGCATCACTTCGGGCTTACCTCACACATTTAGCTGACACGCCGTGATATAACTGGAATGCTGTTAAAAGCGGCGTTAAACCAAACTCAGTCACTCTTTTTGTGCCCACGAGGATACGACCAAAGTGCTAAGTGGAAAAATAGAGGCTCAACTTACAGCTAGCTGTACTTCTGCCTTTTATTTAGAAATGGTGAAGCTTTTGGTGACAAAATAATGCTTCAATACAAATAAGCACGTTAGGTTCTAGTATTTCATTTTGGTGAAACAAATATATCAAATATATGACATTGGTAAATGTTTTGGAATCACTCGAGTATTGATCTTCATGTATATGCAGACTTTTTAAAAAGAAAACGCCATTCAGTTGAACCATCGTCCATGTTTCGATCATCATGTTATTTTTTTACACCCTTTCCGGACGAATTCATAAACGATATGACGTAAAGGTATTAATAGTAGCAGCAGCAATAATCATATCAATATGAACAAAACATGAGAGACTAACAACGACGGTTAACTTATCATTACATCATCCGGTTTATACAGGTTAGGTTTGTTTACTTAAGGGTCCGTCTAGTCGGTATTGAGTTGAGAGTGGATTCAAATCTACAATGCCATCCCTCCAAAATAACAAAAACATGAACTGAATAGCTTGAAAACTGACGGATGTCGTGCCTTGTCAATTAAGTGTTTTTTTCACTCATATAGCTTTCAACAATCATTCAATTAAAGATATCTCCTAAACGGTGATCGACCATGTGATTGCTCCCTTTGCGTGTAGCCGTGTGTGCTTGTAGTCGTGTTTGTTTTTGTCAGTCACAGATTCATGCCAGTGGGTCACTGTAACCGGTTAAAACTTGTGAGGACCACTCCGTCAATCTCAGGCTCAGCCCTTAAGGTCACGGAAGCGGCAGGTGCGTCACATCGCCCGCCCTGGCCAGTCCAGACAGGTACATGCTGGTACGGCGACCAACTGGTGGTGTACATGACACGACATCGTATTTACATAACATGTTTCTGAACCCAACACACTCGCACTGATTAAGATGTTTACATCGCCTGGAACAGTGCTGCTGAACGATAACGACTGCTGGATATAGTTTCACGTGAGTACATGGGTTGGTTTGGCTAAGAATGACGAACTAGTTGCAGGTCTGATGTAGGAATTATGATCTATCGATAGTCTGTTGAACTGATCATTTCTCGTGATTTTAAAACATTTGTCTTGAATATTTAATGTATTCCCAAGTGATGGCACTGTTCATTCAGCGGCGTTGTTCTTTGCCGTTCAGTGTTGCGTTCTTAAATCGTGCCTGGATCTGGGGACATGGGTGGCCTAGTCGTTGAAGGTGCCGCGATTCGCTATGCAGAGTTGTGTCCCTTAGACACGCCAGAAACCTATGACTGTGGGTTCGAATCCCGGTTCGCCCCGTATGTTTCTGGGTTTGTCAGCACCATAGCCTTGCTCGTGGGTTTCACCGAAGTGGTAAACGTCTGAGACCTGCATTATGTCACAGCCTGCCTTCCAGATAGGGATGGGAGTAAGTGAGTACGGTTTTACGCCGCTTTTAGCAATGTTCCAGCAATATCACTACGGGGGGACATCAGAAATGGGCTTCACACACTGTGCCCATGTGGGGAATTGAACCCGGATCTTCAGCGTGACGAGCGAACGCTTTAACCACTAGGCTACCCCACCGCCCCTCCAGATGGGGATGGAGGCCACACTATATCCTACGCCTACTGTACTTCCCATACACTGATTGCAGACGATGTCGATCCCGCTGACGTTCCGAGAGGTCGATGACGCCGATTATGACGCCGTGATGGGCGTCCTGCCTGACGCGTGGGAGGGCAGAGACTATTTACCTGACAAATATCCCGAGTATGTTGCCGACCCGGACTGCACCTGCTTCGCCTGTGAAGTGGAGGGAGACATGGTAAGCTTTACAAAAACAAAAGAAGCTGTGAGGTGAAATAGGGTTTAATGTCGTGACAAGATTATTGCACTTATATAGCGACGTGCATGAATATGTGTGCTGCTTGTACTAGTCCGGACTGATGCCGGTTTTATAGTGCTAGCCCAATGAGACATCATGCGGCACTTTACCATGAATACCCCAGTCAGACACAGTATACTGACTCCGAGCCGACCAGTCCTTGTTTTAGCCCTTTAATGCCGAGCGTCAGACAGCGAAACAACAAGTGCTATCTTTTAACGTCTTTTTGGTATGACGCGGGATCGAACCCCGGACCGTTCGCTCTCCGGGCGGACGCTCTACAGCTAGGCCATGGAGGCCCCCCAAAAGAAACTGTGCTTTAATAGAATATCAGCATAATGTTAATGCAGTTCAAGATAGATAGATGGATAGATAGATACAATCCATGAGGATTCGAATCCCAGATTCACCGTTATAACGTTTCTTGGTTTGTCAGTACCATACCCGTGCTCGTGGGTTTCACATGCATCACTTTCCTCCCACAAGCTGACACGATGTGATATAACTGAAATACTGTTCAAAGTGGTGTTTATCCAAACTCAGGGGCGGTGTGGTTAAAGCGTTCGCTCGTCACGCCGAAGGCCCGAGTTCGATTCCCTAAATGGGTACAATGTGTGAAGCCCATTTCTGGTGTCGTCCGCTGTCGTAGTATTGCTGAAATATGGCTAAAAACGGCCTAAGACCATACTCATTCACAATATGACTCCTTCTTAAGTAAGGGGTGGGGTGGAATTGTCAATGAATTGGTTCAGCAGATCGCGGGTTCGAGTTCCGGAATCGCTCCCTCCCACCCTCACTCACTCACTCACTCTGTTCGCAGGTTGGATTTCACGCTGCCCTGATTGTTGACAAGGGAGAGACGATGGTGAGGATTGGAGGTCGGGTCAAGGTCACGTACCAAGGTCAGGGTATTTTTCAGGCGCTGCTTAGACACATGTATAAAGCACATGGAGACAACGACCAACTGAAGTATGAAAGTATCGTCGTCATTGACACTCAAGCCGAGCGGCTACAGCGGCAGTATGCGGACCAGCATGGCTACTCCCACATCCTGCAGAAGGTATACACATATATTTTCATAGCGAGTGATTTGTCTTTTACGCCGCTTTGAGCCCAGCCTGGTTCCAAGGGTATGCTGCGCTGGCGCTGGACTGAGCGCAGCGCAGCATACCCAGGGAACCAGGCTGCTTTGAGCCAAATTACAGCCAAAACACGGCGTGGGACATGTCAGCTCACGTTTCCACCACTTGGGTTCAGGCGGGAAGACTGGGAGGAAGGTGGACACGCAGTTCGTCTTATCGCCTCTTTGAAAAGTATTTCACATCTGTCACCTTACTGTTAGATGAGCGTTCGCCCGGAGAGCGGAAGGTCCGGGGTTCAATCCCCGGCCGCGTCATACCAAAAGACGTTAAAAGATGGTACTTGTTGTTACCCTGTCTGGCGCTAGGCATTAAGGGGCTAAAACAAGGACTGATCGGCTCGGAGTCAGTATACTGTGTCTTTGTGGGGCATTCATGTTAAACTGCGGCATCGTATCTCAGTGAGCTAGCACTATAAATCGGCATCAGTCCGGACTAGTACAAGCAGCCAGCCAGCCACCCACACACACACACATGTGCACACACGTCGCTATATAAGTGCAATAATCTTGGACACGACGTTAAACCCCATTTCACCTCACCTCACCTGTTAGATGAAACGTACAAGTTTAAATTTCGTGAAATCAACGAACACGGGTATAACACCGACAACGCAAGGATCATCATCGTGTCCAGGTTGGTATTCGAACACCATCAATCCTGGCACGGCTAAGGGGCGCAACTCTTAGACATATCTCCCGAACGTTTCACTGAAAGTAAACGTCTTTCTTATCTTTTACAGAAAAGGTACTTATACAAATTCGAGTCAACAGGTGTCCAGATGGTCAATTGTTGGCCCCAATCAAGAGTCCCTCATCGAGTGACCGCCAGTGACATGTCGGCCATCATCTCGTCCGGCAGTATCTGCAGGACACTCTTCCCAGACGGGCGAGTTTTCCTCCACTGTAAACCGTACAAGCTGGTGGCGTCCAATATCAGACATTTCATGCATAAAACTTTAATTTTAGCCTCTGTTGATGGAAGTTGTCTCCCTTGTGGTAACCACGCATGTGCAGAGGAAACTGAAAGTACCAACTATGGCGGCCATTCAAATCAGTTTCTTGAAAATATTGCGCTTTTCTCCATCGGGGACTTCTATCATCAGAAATCAGGCCTACATTACAACATCGAGCTGTATGGAGACGATTTGGAGTCACTTCCAGAACATCTGAGTCGTCACATATCCTACATCAAGTCAATAGCAACGCCATCTGTAGACCTTGTGGTGCATACGCATGTACGAGCGGATGTTCGGTGCATTGATGACGTAATGAACAAATATGGCGTTATGCGTGACAACATGTACGTTGAAACCATTCACTTGTTTGAGAGACCATTTTCCACAGCTCTAAAAGAGACTGAACCAGAGATAGCATGAAGATATTCTGTAGAGGAGATTGTAAAATCTTATACTGATGGACGAAAGTAAGGGAACACAGCACTGCAGCATTGCAGTATTTGTGTACAGGAAATATACATCATGTGTATTCATATTTGTGTGTTATTTAATATTATATCACGATTATGATTGCCCATTAGAGGTTTCAAATATCAACAACAACAGCTGATTGAAACAGCTGATTTTAAGCAGTTCATACATATTTGTTAGAATGCATCACGTTTTCATATTATTTAATACAACCATTTAAAGTTCATCAAATGTTAACCCTCTGGATGCCGAGTTTTTTTTCTGACGCACATTTTTTTAAGATCGGAAAAGTGAAGGTTGTGCGAGAATTGCGCTCACGCGGCACTGGATCTACCTCTGGCTATAAAACTACGCAGAGGTGGAGAATATTAAATTTCTTATTTGATAGTGTAAATTTAACTGTAAATATCAAACCGTTTTTTAAGAAAGACACTCCTAAGTGTTGTCCGAGAATTGTTTCTGCGTTGAAAAACAGTAAATTTCTCCGCTTTTTAGCGTACACCGATAAAAGTACTGTGCGACAAAAAAAATTATTAAGAAGCTTTACGGAAACTGTGAGCGAACAAAATACTGCCTAATATCTGAACGACATAACTACATATCAAATGGAATTATATGCGTATGTATAACGACATACATTCAATTCCAAAAATAGCATGCCGTAAATGACGAAAACTGATTTTTCTCTATGACGTCAAAAGGTGACAGAGAGGTTACACACGTACAAAGAAAAGGGGGCATAACTCCGCTATGCTTAGCTCTAGTTTGTTGTAACTCAGGTCACTTGGTGAGAATTAGCTGTGGGTAAGGACAATATATTTTCGTGGTGTTTTGTTCAGGAGGAACCAAACTATTCCAACACAAATATCGATATTGAAACTGTACACGTTTAGTTATAAAATATACCTATAAGAAATGATGAAATCGTACTTCATAAAAAGGAGGTAATAGAGAAATGGATGGCCTTTTCTAACCTATAACTTAGTCCTTAGATTCCAACATTCTCCTGATTGTGTAAGTGTAATTTGACTAATGTTGCATCATTATTAATGGAACACAAGCCTTATCATCAAATGTTATGAAATACCCTAAAAATAACACGATTCCTTTTGACGTCATGGCTGGTTTCATGTCTTTGATAACGTCGAAAAAAGACGACACTGGTATTTTGATTAATATATATCTCCCCTAATTTTCGTTCATGGTGTGGAAAATCTCTATGTGTGGAACGGAATTTGACGCTTTTTCGACACAACATAAAATGACTGCTCTCACCAAGTAAATAATGTCTTGAATATGTAAACAATTAGATAGTTTATTGTGTATCTTAATTGGACAAGACACGCACCTGTTTGGCATCAATTTACGTAATGAAATTCCCAAAAGAATATTTCAAAACAACCAAAATTATATTCAATATTGGACATATATTTGTTCATGATTATGTTATATTTTCTTACACAATAAAAGATGCAAGGACGCTCTATTGGTATAGAATTATCAGGATAATCGTATACGTTTGAACCAACGGGGTACCTGGCATGGGTTTTATTTTTATACATTTTACAATTCCTGGAGAAATAATGTAAACTGTTTACTATCCTGTGATCACAATATTGAAAAAATAATGTAACTATCGATTATATAATGCAAAATGAGAGGAATAATTCGTAAATTGTTTGTGACTAACGCGCACCTGGCGAATCGTTAGATATCATCCAACGACATAAAAGACAAATCCAAGACCAAGACATTTCAGAAATGTGTGCATATATTTTACCGAAAAATATTACCAATTTTGTTAAAATAATATATTCAGTTTTAGTTATAAAATAAAATGAAACGGCTATTCGTGGACATTGGTTATATGAACTTATAATATTGACTTATTACACAATGCAAGAAATACGTACATGCTGCAGTTACATTTACACTTCATCTTGTAACACTTGTCCAAAGGAAATAAATATCGTAGTCGACACTATAACCTATCACATTGTTATGTAAACAATGTTCAAACAAACAGGAGATTATCAAAGGTTCGTTCATACATGTTGTGGCCTATATATGTACGTATGATTTCATTTTGAACATTGACAAATATCCAAAGTGAAATTAATTGTGTGAACAAATGTATAAAAGACATGCAAAATATACACCATAACTGAAACTGTAAACAGCATGATACAGTGATCGTGTGCACTCCCATTCAAGGACCTTCACCTCAAAGAAATTACCAAATATGTACAACAATGTTGACGTATGACATCACTACCTGTGACCCACTTTTACAAAATGGCGTGTACACTTTCAACAGTACGAGGGGACTTTCGTTGATTCAGGGATCGTATAAACATAAATGTGACATGTAAGTAATCAGAAACATTCTGACAATCTATGAACTGTTATTTGATGTCATAATTTTCATTGAAACAAACGGAAATAGTCAGAAATTCCGATAAATACCGTTGTCTTTGTGCGTGATTTTGCGTCAGTCATGGCGTCAACCAGAACGGTAACTTTGACAACTTCTGTTGAAAATATCAAATCATTGCAATGTATCTATTTGAAATTCCCTAATTCTTCCTACGATTCTCTTCCCATGCATATTCTGAAAATGTTGAGCCAATATCTTGAACGAATAGACGAATGGATAGCTCAAAACAGGAGAATATGCTACACTGTGTAAAATCTGAATTTTGCTTTGTTTACATTTCAACCATGTGCAGTTTTTCGAGCACGGCGTTCGTTTTCACACCTAACTTATTTTGCTTGATTTCATCTAGCCACTTTGTATTGGTTACAAAGACCACTGGTCATTTGATTCTAAAATGTATGAGGATTTCAAGGATGTAGGTATCGCAGATAAGTTTGAAATATACGCGATGTTACAGGTGTCTCATAACCGATGTACCTGGAACGTGATTTTGTAAACACTATCCAATATGGCGGGAAGTTCACTTCGGCGTTCGTGTTTTCTTTTTTCCCAAAACATTCTAAACGATTCTAGGGTTATCGGAGATGTTTTGGAATGATCATTGGTGATTTCATAAAAGACAGATACCCGTGATCACTAATATGCTATTTTTGAAATTCATGTCTCCGAGTAAATATCCGAAATTTAGATTTCAAAACATGCTGTAAATAACGCCGTGAGTGGTGATTTAGTAATGTGTAAAAAATGGCGACATTTACGATGTACCTAATTTTCAGAGGTCATGTTCAGTACTTTTGCTTGGCCTAAAATGCCAGTGGGTGATATCACAGAACAGGGAATTCCCCACCTTATTCAAAACTGTAAAGTGTATTTGTGTGGGTGATGTATTTTGAATTTTATTCGACTTCAAAGTGAGGGCTGTAGAGGAGGGACATATATGTCCCTCTGGCATCCAGGGGGTTAAAGCACCTCCTTGAGTGTTGTATTTGTATATAAATGTGTATTTATCATCCAAAACTGGCCATGGCTCCCACAGGAGACATCGCTTGGGTGAGATCAAGCGATATCTACATTGTAGATATCGCTGCAATGAAATTGCATCACAATGCTTTGCAGGCCATTGTGACATCACTGGGGTCGTCACAATCAAATGACATCACTAATGGCTCTGTTACTGAAGCTTGTAGCAGTTCTTTTTACGCTTAGACACATCTTATTACTGTCTACAAACTGAAAAAGTTGGAAGAATGATGTTGGATGATAAAAAGAATCTCATACTTGTGTCTTTTGATATCAAATATATCAACACTCGTCGATAAAAGTTTAAAACTCCGAGGTTTGCTTTTATCGACTCGTGTAGATATATTTGTTAAAAAAAACACTTGGGTGAGATTCTCCATTTATCTCTTGTGATATCATTGTTCTTGTAAAATACATGTAATAAGTGTGTGCGCGCGCGTGCGTGCGCGAGCGTGTGTATGTGTGTGTGGATTCAACACTAATACTTATAGAGAGAGGGACTCGCCTAAATGTTTATGTTAGGGAGAGAGAGCCACTTTTCTTCCCCTTTTCTCCCACCTCCCCACCCCGATCCTTTTGTACTTTTGAGGCAATAAATTATGTAAACCAAGTATGGTAACACAAAGCACTGCTGCAGTGGAGTGTTTACGTACAGGACGTGAACATCATGGAAAATACTCGAATCAGATTGTCCGTTAGAAGTTGCAAACCTCAACAACAAGCTCTGATTGATACAGTTGATTGAAAGGCCGCTTCACCGCGGGAATTATGAGAAAGTAATTCTTAGTCAGTCATGGTCGCCAGGCACTTTCAAATAGTGATATGAACAAATGTAGGTTATCAAATGCAGAATTGCGGTTCTAATTATATTCAAGGCTGCGGTACAAAGACATTTGGGCAGGAATCAACTCCGAGAACTAAACCGTGCTAGGTTAATGTCCTTGATGGGTTTCCAGTTAATGTTTGCCGGCCGTGAAGATCCGGGTTAGAATAGGTCTTCAGCAACTCATGCTTGCCGTAAGAGGCGACTATGCTTGTCGTAAGAGGCGACTAGCAGGGTCGGGTGGTCAGGCTCGCTGACTTGGTTGATGCATGTCATCGATCCCAATTCCGTGGATCGATGCTCTTGATGTCAGTCACTGAATTGTCTTGTCCAGGCTCGATTAGTTACAGACCGCCGTCATATAACTGGAATATTGCTAAGTGCGGCGTTAAACGACAAACCCCCCAAAAAGTTAATGTTTACAAAGGGAGTCCGAAAGACTAGTCCAGAGTACCAGTGGAAAATGAGTTACGGCATTCGAATCCTATTTCGACTCAATCTCATTAAAATCAGATTTTAGTTCTCGCTGCCGCTAAACAAAAATCTGAGGACATCCCATTACGGGTCACGTTAGACCGACCTTTGGCAAACTCTGACCGACCAATGGAATTACTGACAAGAAGTCGACATTAGCCAATCAGAACGCAGCTTTCTCGTGCTTTACGGCACTAATTTCAAATTGGCGCCTACGCTTCGAAACATATTTTGACAAAATCTCGCTTAAAAATTTGAAATCTGAACAAAAGAACGTTCTAGAATGGCTAATATATGGTCTAGATTGTATAGATTCGGTCGTTAAGCCCGTAACTATCGTTCGGAATACCCCGTTTTAACGTTTTCGAGGCTGCATGATCAGAAATCACATTCCGACTGTCACTTTAATGATCTGGTAAGCGACGCTCTGATTGGTCGGATGAAAGGTCGTTCTGACGTGACCCCTAATGGGATGTCCTCTGATATTTGTTTAACGGTAGCGAGAACTAAGATCTGATTTTAATGAGATTGATTTACACTCCCATCGGTTTTTTAAATGATTTTACCTTGCTAACACTTCAAATGAACAAACCCAGGCACATGCTTTAATACTGATGCCGATTTGTCTTAGGCGCAGCATAATCCTGATTTGGGTCCCTGAAAAGGGAAGGTCGATGGTTCGATCCCCGGCCACGCCAAACCAAAGGACGTTAAAAGATGGTACTTGTTATTACCCTGCCTGCTGCTCGGCATTAAAGGGCTAAAACAAGGACTGGTCTGCTTGGGGTCAGTATACTGTCTGCGTGGTGTATCTATGTTACACTGCGGCATGGTACTTCAGTAGGCTAGCACCAGACAACCTGACTACATACACGCACGCACGCGACGTTAAATCCCATGTCACCTCCCTCCCCTTGGCGTGCCAGGATCTGCTGATTGCAGACACGAGCGATGTCTTGTCAGAAACCCACGAGCGAGGGTATGGTGCTGACAAACCTAGAAACATAATAGGGGCGAACCGGGATTCGAACCCACAATCATAGGTTTCTGGCGTGCCCAAGGGACGCAACTCTGCACAGCGAATCGCGGAGCCTCAGACGACTGGGCCACCCGTGCCCTCAACAACAAACAAACAAACAAAGCGAGAGAACATGCCCACTTTAATTACACAGACTATAACCACAAATGCAGTGAGGTGTAGCCCTTAATCACTTATAACAACATTCAGGCTGAGGCCACCGTAAAGTTTAACCAAATTAAAAATTGAATTTCGGTGCTGGATTTTGTCCGCCATGGATATTGCGATTGTCAGCCTTGGTCGTAAACGACCGAGTCCTTCAGCTTTCGCATGCGTTCCCGAAATTGTATTGAATTTTATAACTGTTAGGAATTGAGATGATGATTTAATATACTTTTAAATCTGACGGGTCGATGCTTTAACACCTCACGTATACTAATTGACGTCGTTAACCAGTTACACCATTTCAAATCACCTCAAGGGCGGTCGGGTAGCCCAGTGGTTAAAGCGTTCGCTCGTCACGCTGAAGACCCGGGTTCGAATCCCGACATGGGTACAATGTGTGAAGCCCATTTCTGGTGTCCCCCGCCGTGATTTTGCTGGAATATTGCTAAAAGCGGCGTAAAACCAAACTCACTCACTCACTCACTCAAATCACCTCAGGAAATATATACTGCAATGAAAGCTTGAGTTGGGTGTTACCTATTTGAACAGCAATATTTCCTTTATATTTCGGAATGGCAACTTATTGAAGTAGGATGGCACAACGTGACTATCACTGGTCGCTGACGTTTACCAATTTTGGATGATACTGATTTACCAAGAGTCTTTTACAAAGCGAATGTGGGATTCGAACCCATGGAAAGCGGATCCTCGTACGAAGAGTTGAGTTGAGTTGAGTTGAGTTGAGTTGAAGTGGAGTTGAACGTCGCATTCAAGATAATTGCACTTATATAGCGTGTGTGTGTGTGTGTGTGTGTGTGTGTGTGTGCTTGTACTAGTCCGGACTCATGCCGATTTTATAGTGCTGAGATACCATTACTCCGTTTAACATGAATAACCCACTCAGACACAGCATACTGACTCCAAGCCAACCAGCCCTTGTTTTAACGTCTTTAGGTATGACACGGCCGGGGATCGAACCCCGATCTTCCCCCTCTCCGGGCGGACGCTCGACCACTACACCACGGAGGCGGCCCCCTGGCAGGAATAATAATAATAATAGTCAGCTCTGTCTATAAATCGGATAAAGCGTAATGTTAGTTTGTAGGTTACAAGGCGGCAGGGTGCCTAGTGGTTAAAAGGCCCGTGTTCGATTCCCCACATGGTTGAAGCACATTTCCTGCCGCCACCTAATGGTAAAGGCGGCGTAAAACAATACTCGCTCACTAAATTAATAACAATATGCAAGGTAATGAATTATTGTAGACGTCAACAGATAATTTCGATATAACAAACCGATCTAAAGTTTCCTTTGAGGTCGTCATATCCTTAGTTGATTGAGTGAAAACGGGTGTGGCTTCTGTGTGACTACTGTATGACACATGCATTGTATGTTGTCTGGGAAGCCCTATTACCGCAACCACGGTAACACTACTCCTACCCCGTTATAACGCATCATGCACTATGTATATCGAGTGAATAGACGTCTAAGTCAAGTCAATCTGGCCCAGGTATTGTATAGGCAGGGCGCCTCCCTGTACCCGTACAGCAAGGCTATTCAGCTGTGGCCGTTATTGTGATCACCTCGCCTTACGGGTACGTAAAAACCGCTATAGCTGTCACGTGACTAGGCTTCCTACCCTGCTGTTGGTGTTCGGGTAGACATGATACTGTCAATTATCGGGAACTCAGGTATGACGAACTCTTCTCTTTCGTTTTAATGATCATATTACCATCTACTATTTAGAAAGTGTATGTTAGAGATCGCGAAGAATGTAGTGTCGCTTGAGTATCAAATAGTTGCATCTGATTAATCATTACCTCGCAAGGATATCTATGTGTGACAACAGGCTTTGATTTCTTGAATGATATACGCAACATGTATCAGAACCGCAGGGATCTGGTATGAGTTTATAATCTATCCACACATGCCTATATATGTCATCAATATTTTTATTTGTAAGCAAGTTTAGATTTCCCGAATGATATACACTGCAGGTGGGCCTATTTTTTTTATTCATGTTGAAAGTTGTGACGGCAGGGTTAGATTTCTTGAACGATATACACGTTGATTAAAGGTTTTCGTTTCGTCTGAAAACTGGTCCGATTTATGACATTTGAAAACATGCCTATATTTTTTTATGGTTAAAGTTGTGACAGCAGGGTTAGATTTCTCAGTGATATACACGTTGATTAAAGGTTTTCGTTTCGTCTGAAAACTGGTCCGATTTATGACCTTTGAAAACATGCCTATATTTTTTTATGGTTAAAGTTGTGACAGCAGGGTTAGATTTCTCAATGATATACACGTTGATTAAAGGTTTTCGTTTCGTCTCAAATCTGGTCCGATTTATGACCTTTGAAAACATGCCTATATTTTTTTATGGTTAAAGTTGTGACAGCAGGGTTAGATTTCTCAAGGATATACACGTTGATTAAAGGTTTTCGTTTCGTCTCAAATCTGGTCCAATTTGATACCTCTGAAAACATGCCTATACTTTTGTTTACAAAGTTGTGACAGCAGGATTTGATTTTCTCAATGAAATACACTTCCAACTGACAAATAGTGGTGCAATGAATGGATGTCATTTTGCACATCGTGACTTGTTTAGCGTAAGAGGCATTGTTTGTCAATTCATATCGGAATTTGTATACAGATAACAACAACAACAACAACAACAACGTGTAGACCTTTGTTTTGCTGTCAGCAGAAATTAATATGGCGTCAGTTAGGAGGACAACGCGACGTTTTATTATTCCACGCCAACCTTGAATCCGGAATTTGTTAATCCGGACAGTTTCTCGTTGACAATCGTCGGATTAAACATTTTCCGGTATAACGAATCGTTGTTATGGGTAATGTCACTTTGTATACACGTAAACGTTCCCAGAGGTAAACGTCCAGTGTAGGGTGTTTCCGGATAAACGAGGTCCTGATTAATGCGGTTTCACTGTGTAATCAAGTACAGCGAAACACCGTTAATCCTGCAGTAATTGGAAAGTGGTATGTCCGTTTTAGCGGTGTCGTGACTAACTAGGTCTCACCGTATTGGTATTTCCACTTGGTTATGTATTTCTTTAACATGCGATGGTAAATCTAAAGTCACAGTGTTGTAGAAATTATAATTTTGAGAAAGTTCCCACAGCATACAAAAATCTGAACAAACCCAAAGCAGCCATTATAAGCAATCAAAGACTGTATAGTGGGAGCTTCTTTCAAGCATGTTTGACACACATTGTGTTATTTTTGTGACATGTTTAATCGTTTGTTCTTGTATACAGCCTTGTGTAGAAGGGTGCGTTTCGGCAACTATCGTTTAGTAACCGTGAATGTTGTTCAGTTGTTCATACTGTTGTAACAGGTCTTTACTGTTAGTGAACGCGATCACCTTTAAAGTTTGAATGTATGATTGTTTAAATGTTTAAATGTTGACCCGCGTTTTAAGAGTTATACATATACGTGTAGTTAAAGGGGAAGTGTACACGCAAAAATCACTTTCTTTCTTTTTCTAAACAAAACGCAATTTTAGAATTAGTTAGTATCTGTGTTTGAAAATATACACTCATTTTTTTCACAGTGAAAGTAGGAAGCTCACAATAGTGTTAAAATGATATGCCGTTATGAGGCCTTCGTTTTACGAGCGAAATAGGCCTGAGTTATCCCCCTTAGATTATGACGTAATTGGTGCCAATTCAACTGGGTCCCTGTCTATTCTCAACGCAAAAGATATCAAGGACCAGTTTGCGGTAAAACAACATGGTCTACGACACACTCCGGCGCAGTGGTGACTCAGCATAACACAATTCTGGCTGGCATCTGAGACGCTAGAATCACAAAACTGTACCTACACCACGTGAAGCGGCTCTAACAAAGCATGATGACGTCATAATGTTTATCAATTGGCACCAATGACGTCATATTGCAAGGGGCATAAGCCATGGTGTTTTTGTTATGGAAATAGAACACTTGGTAAATGTGAAAAATATAAATCGTTTTAATGCAAAAAATATGTTAATTAAATATGATGTTTTTATATTTTTGTCTATGACACTTGTTTGTTAACACTTTTAATGTGGAAAAAGTACAAGAAAAATTGGTTCATTTCCGTGTGAACTTGCCCTTTAAATGAGTATATTACGTAATACATATGTCGACGCACATATTCTATCACCCCATGAGAAAACACAACAAAGCCAGCCCTTACATCAATGCAGCCATGGTTGTCCATACCGACCATGTTAAACACGCCTTACACTGAAGTTCCGCACCTACCTGTACAATATGCTTACATTAACCGAGGCGTGACGAAACGAAATATACTATTTATAATCGGCAATGTTGTTTTGTTAGTCGAGGTAAGGTCGTGGCCGAGATCCCTGTATGAATAGGCACACATCAAATCGTGACACACCCAGTTTACAGTGCTGACAGAACGGGCTCGATATAATAAAAGGATAAGGGTGGGATCCATCTCAGATCTAGGATACAGCGGTATGGCGCACACACGAAGTTGTGATGTATTTAGAACGGGGATGGCTCGACCATAACGGAAATATTTCATAAGATTGATGGCTCCTGGTCAATGTAAATATTGTTTTGGACCTTAATTCACACATGTTGTTGTTTTAACGCCGCTCCCAGCTCTTTTACAGCTATATGGCGGCGGCCTGTAAATATTCGAGTCTGGAGCAGACAATCCAGTGATTGATATTATGAGTAAGGCACCACACCGTCGGGGTGCGATGAGACGCAACCAACCACGTTGTAAGAGGCGACTAACGGAATCGGGTAGTCAGGCTCACTGTCTTGGTTGATGCATGTCATCGTTTCCCAATTACGTGGATCAATGTACATGACGTCAATAACTGGCTTGTCTGGTCCAGACTCGATTTTTTACAGACCGCCGTCATATATGTGGAATATTGCTGAATGCGACGTTAAACAACAAACAAACAAACCACGTCAGCGAACATGGCCACCTGATCCATGTTGCTATCCCCGACAAGCACAGGTTGTTGGTGACCTCTTCTAACCCCCGGCCCCCACTGGTACCCCTCATTCACGAAGCTATTTTAGTGTTGAGAGTGTGTTATCTCCAATACTACAACACATATGGGGTAATGTTAACACACATATGATAGCACACATATGGGGTAATGATACCACACACATGATACCACACATATGAGGTAATGCTAACACACATATGATAGTACACATATGGGGTAATGATACTACACACATGGTACCACACATATGGGGTAATGCTAACACACATATGACAGTACACATATGGGGTAATGCTAACACACATATGATAGTATACATATGGGGTAATGCTAACACACATTTGATTGTACACATATGGGGTAATGCTAACACACATATGATAGTACACATATGGGGTAATGCTAACACACATATGATAGTACACATATGGGGTAATGTTAACACACATTTGATTGTACACATATGGGGTAATGCTAACACACATATGATAGTACACATATGGGGTAATGCTAACACACATATGATAGTTCACATATGGGGTAATGCTAACACACATATGATAGTTCACATATGGGGTAATGCTAACACACATATGATACTAGACACATGGGGTAATGACACCACACATATGATACCACACATATGGGGTTATGTTAACACACATATGATAGTACACATATGGGGTAATGCTAACACACATATGATACCATACACATGGGGTAATGATACCACACATATGATAGTACACATATGGGGTAATGCTAACACACATATGCTAGTTCATACAGGGTAATGTTAATACACATATGATAGGACACATATGGGGTAATGCTAACACACATATGATTGTACACATATGGGGTAATGCTAGCACACACATGATAGTACACATATGGGGTAATGATACCACACATATGATAGCACACATACGGGGCAATGCTAACACACATATGATAGTACACATATGATAGCACACATATGGGGTAATGCTAGCACACACATGATAGTACACATATGGGGTAATGCTAGCACACATATGATACCACACATATGATAGTACACATATGATAGTACACATATGATAGCACACATATGATAGCACACATATGATAGTACACTTATGATACCACACACATGATAGTACACATATGGGGTAATGCCAACACACACATGATAGTACACATATGGGGTAATGCTAACACACATATGATAGTACACATATGGGGCAATGCTAACACACATATGATAGTACACATATGGGGTAATGCTAACACACATATGATAGTACACATATGGGGCAATGCTAACACACATATGATAGTACACATATGGGGTAATGCTAACACACATATGATAGTACACATATGGGGCAATGCTAACACACATATGATAGTACACATATGATAGTACACATATGATAGCACACATATGATAGCACACATATGATACCACACACATGATAGTACACATATGATAGCACACATATGGGGTAATGCTAGCACACACATGATAGTACACATATGGGGTAATGCTAACACACATATGATAGTACACATATGGGGCAATGCTAACACACACATGATAGTACACATATGGGGTAATGCTAGCACACACATGATAGTACACATATGGGGTAATGCTAGCACACACATGATAGCACACAAATGGGGTAATGCTAACACACATATGATAGTACACATATGGGGTAATGCTAACACACACATGATAGTACACATATGGGGTAATGCTAACACACACATGATAGTACACATATGGGGTAATGCTAACACACATATGATAGTACACATATGGGGCAATGCTAACACACATATGATAGTACACATATGATAGCACACATATGGGGTAATGCTAGCACACACATGATAGTACACATATGGGGTAATGCTAACACACATATGATAGTATACATATGGGGTAATGCTAACACACATATGATACCACACATATGGGGTAATGCTAACACACATATGATAGTATACATATGAGGTAATGCTAACACACATATGAAAGTACACATATGGGGCAATGCTAGTACACATATGATAGTACACATATGGGGTAATGCTAACACACATATGATATCACACACATGGGGTAATGATACCACACACATGATACCACACATATGGGGAAATGCTAGCACACATATGATAGTACACATATGGGGTAATGCTAACACACATATGATAGTACACATATGGGGTAATGCTACCACACATATTGAACCACACATATGATACCACACATATGATAGCACACATATGGGGTAATGTTAATACACATATGATAGTACACATATGGGGCAATGCTAACACACATGTAATAGTACACATACGATACCACACATATGGGGTAATGCTAGCACACATGATACCACACATATGGGGTAATGCTAGTACACATATGATACCACACATATGGGGTAATGCTAACACACATATGATACCACACATATGGGGTAATGCTAACACACATATGATACCACACATATGGGGTAATGCTAACACACATATGCTAGTACACATATGGGGAAATGCTAACACACATATGCAGTAGTGATAGCAGTGATATGAACTCTTTGAAAGAGATATACTGACATGTTTTACACTATTTGTGTAATAACGAAAAACTATTATCTAGAAGACTTCATGGAAAATGAACACTCGACCAACTTGAACCACGTGATTCACAACTGGAACCTCTCAAGATGATTTCACTTTGTTTTACAGATTTCCATTCTATGAGGAATTGAGAAAGGACCAACATAAGTTGTGGCCAACTAAGGACACTCACTTAATTGATAAGTGATTTTCATCATATCGTCATAACTCTCTAAGCAACCATGTACAGTGGCGGTCGGTTGAATCTCGGGTGGCAGAGTGACCGCGTCCACCGAGCCGGGTACTCCACCCGCTCCAGCAGGGCGAGCAGAGCCAGCACATACACAGAGGGGCCTACAGACCCCGTCCTACTCAGAAGGACCCTGGAAGAGGTAAGATTCTAACAGTAGCAATATGCGGTGACGTTGTCCCTTCCGTACACAATGGTTCAGTGGTTCCGTCTCACGTTGTAACCGACCCGTGACGATCCAGGGTAGAATAGGCCTTTAGCAACCTATACTGGTCATAAGAGACGACTATGCTTGTCGTAACGGGATCGGATGGTCAGACTCGCTGACTTGGTTGATGCATGTCATCATATCCCAATTGCGTGGATCGATGCTCATGATATCGATCACTGGATAATCTGGTCCAGACTCGATTATTTACAGACCAAAGTCATATAGATGGAATATTGCTGAGTGCGGTGTTAAACAACAAACAAAGATTTTCAACCATTCAGACTATCAATATCACATTTGATTATCCTTAAAATCCGAGGGCATGGTTGACAGTGATCAAAGAAGACCCGTGGCTTCGACTTACCCGACACTGAGCCTCAGTTTGTCAGTACCCTACCGTGCTGATGGCATCACTGATTTGCAGAGATCATTCCCATAATTGTCCCCACTAATTTGTCTTTGAAGCCCAATGGAATCCGTTTCGACACATAATCGAGGATGGTGATTCTCTGTCGTTGACGTTGTATATTTCGCCTGAGTGGTAAAAATGGACCTTCGCCTTTCCATCCACATCAAACTACCCCGACAAGAAAGAACTGATGTACCTTTCAAAGCAGCGTTGAAACTCAAATCCCCAAAGTTTATAATGTGATTCAAACCAGTTTCTTTTTCAAACACGTCTGGAATAAATGTTAGAATTGTTGACTTAAGTGAATTATTTCTCCACGCTGTATCTTCAGTCTAGTCATCAGCGTTTTCACAAGAAATACAATTACATGTTAAACGTTTGAAGGATTATTAAATAAAGCGTACTTTGTGTATATACTGAGATCTAAATTACTACAAGAACTGTCGATTTTCATTTCAGCACTTCAGACCACTCTTTCAAGGGGTGAGTATGAAGCTTTTACATCTCATCTGTAAATAATCTTGTAAAAGGAGGAGGCAGTAATTTACAGCAGTATGTAAGACCCGTGAAGATCTGGGGTACAACAGGTCTTCAGCAACCCATCCTTGCCGTAAAAGGCGACTATGCTTGTCGTAAGAGGCGACTAACGGAATAAGATGGTCAGGCTCGCTGACTTGGCTGATGCATGTCATCGTATCCCAATTGGTGGATCGATGTTCATGATGTGAATCACTGTATTGTCTGGTCCAGACTCGATTATCTACGACCGCCGTCATATAGCTGAAATATTGCTGAGTGTGGCGTTATACAACAAACAAACATCAGTATGTACAGCGGACACCCGTGAATCCGGACTTTGATAGGCTCTGGGACTTAGCAGACTGTGTATCATCTAACCCCAGTGACGTGGAGTGGTGATCATGTTATCAGTCACCGGTTTACCTGGTCCAGACTCGATTGTTTACAGGCTGCTGTGATATAGCTGCACTATTACTGACTGTGGCGTTAAACAACATTCAGTGACGTATATTGACCAGTATTGTGGTATGAAATATATAGGCGCTGTACCTATTTATACCTACAACATTCGTCACATGAATTATAATTCGATAAGATAACGTGTAAATAAAACGTTTACTTACAGTACAACTGTTATTGTAGTTCGTATACGGCGGTGAGCAGATTACCAACAATGAGTTGCGACAACATCTTCTGGACGACACCTACAGACGCCTCCTACCACGTGACAAGTTGTATGCCGTTATGGATCTCGTCGACTACAACCCCAGCAAATCCATCAGCTACGTGGCCTTCGTCAGACTTGTGAGTAACTCCTCGAGAATACAAATCCTCAATGACTGACGCCGGTCAGGCTCATCACTTTGGTATATACACCATATACATTTAACAAAAGAGCAGTATCGACTCTTGAAACGAATGATGCAATTTAGTTTTGTTTCTGGCATGTTGAAATTATTTGTTTTTTGCATGTGGAAATGTAATCTTGTTTCTGACATACTGAAATTTAGCCTTGTTCCTGGCATGTTCAAATCAAGTCTTTTTCTTGGCATGCTAAAATTTAGTCTTGTTCCTGGCACGTGAAATGTTGTTTTGTTTAAGGCAGGCTGAAATTTAGTCTTGTTCCTGGCATGCTGAAATTTAGTCTTGTTCTTGGCATTCTGTAATTAAGTCTTGTTCCTACTTTCTGAAATTAAGTCTTGTTCTTTGCATGCTGATTTTTAGTCTTGCTCTTGGCATGCTGAAATTTAGTCTTGTTCCTCGCATGATGAAAGTAGTGGTGACCTCTGACTGAAAGATACCTTTACACATTCTGTTTCTAGGTAACGGGAGAGGAAGCAGATGGGGACAGATTAGATAACTCCGACGACGGCGCCAGCGAGGACCTCAACGACGTGAGCATATTGTACGACGTCTGCCGCAACACCACGGATCCACAGGACCTTTTGGAGTTTTCTTCTGGATTCTCCTGGCTCCCCCCACCTTTCTTCATCTTGCTGATCACTGTAGCGCAGGTGGGTGATGCATTCATTTCTTCATATGCAGTGAGCACCTTGCCGATAGAGCAGGGCATGCTTACCCTTTTTGCGATAACCCTTCTTCTTCTTCTTCTTCTGCTTCTTCTTCTTCTTCTCCCGCGTCTTCTTCTGCTTTTTCTCCTGCTTCTTCTTCTTCGTCCTCTGCTTCTTCTTCTTCTTCCCCTTTTGCTTCTCCTTCTTTTTCTTCTTCCTCTTCTGCTTCTTCTTCTGGGGGCGGTCGGGTAGCCTAGTGGTTAAAGCGTTAGCTCGTCACGACGAAAACCCGGGTTCGATTCCCGACATGGGTACAATGTGTGAAGCCCACACTGGTGTCCCCCGCCGTGATATTGCTGGAATATATTGCTAAAAGCGGCGTAAAACCATACTCACTCACTCAGGTAATGTGGACGAAAAGGATGTGCTGTCCTGTGATCGAAACGGTAATTTTGAACCCAGAACATTACCTAGCAGTGTAAAGAATAGAGAGATCTATGTGTATTGATATAGCCAAGACCCGCTTTGACATGACTCGTACATTTCTTAGAGCGGCGTCACACACAACACATTAACTGTAGCGCAGAACGTTCATCCTCCGCAGATTATCGTCTACGCTGTCTACGCAAGTGAGCAGACGACGCCAGTGACGGCCATGGACGGCGTCCCCATCGACAGCCCCCTCATCTACAACCCCGCCCGCAGATACGAAGTGTGGAGGTTCATCAGCTACACCTTCCTACACCAGGGGTAAGCTCAGGTTTAATGGCTGTTCTTGAGTAGCATTAATTAAAATATGAGAGATGCATTGAACTGTATGTTATGAAATGCTTCCAGATGACGAGGGCGGTGGGGTAGTCTGATGGTTAAAGCATCGTTTTGTAATTGCAAAGGCCCATAAATCACACGAGTGAGTGAGTATGGTTTTACGCCGCTGTTAGCAATATTCCAGCAATATCACGTCGGGCTTCACACATTGTACCCATGTCTGGAATCGAACCCGGGTCGTCGGCGTGACGAACGAACGCTTTAACCACTAGGCTACCCGACCGCCCCTCGTAAATCACACGAAGTGTCCATACTCGACCATCATGTCCATAAGAATTCAGTCATGTTCATAAGTTACAACATTCAGAGGCTTTGTTCTGTTCTCATTGACTAAACTCTCCTTCTGTCCCATCCCATCTTCCCGAGTCAATGGAGTTAACTGACTGTAAAAGTCCAGTTTCCACCCTTGCCGAACTAGGCTGGAATTCCTGGGCTCGATCGTAGCGCCACCAGTGGCTATTACGAGTTATGTACCTTCTATGCCTGGGTTATTGACCAATCAGGTTCCACCTCTCGCATCCCTTGCATTTGCTTTAAACAAAATGGCGGCGCCCAGTCAAGACGATCTATATTGTGATAAAATGGGTTTTACATCGCGAAGTGCTTCAAATCATGTGAGCACCTTGATTAAAAACATGAAAAAGATTTGTGTTGACAACGAGTTGGCGGTGCTCATGTTTTGCAAATCCTGCAATCGACCCAAATCTGCAACACAGTTTACGAACAGGATTTCGATTTCGTTGCGCAATTTTGATTGGACTATGCATAGACTCGTTAGTCCAGCCAAAATGTAACTCAATAATACCAGCCTAGTTCGGCAAGGGCAGAAACTGGACTTTTACAGTCAGTTAACTCTCTTGCCTCGGGCGGAAACTGGACTTTTACAGTCAGTTAACTCTCTTGCCTCGGGCGGAAACTGGACTTTTACTGTCAGTTAACACTCTTGCCTCGGGCGGAAACTAGACTTTTACTGTCAGTTAACTCTCTTGTCTCGGGAAGATGGTCCCATCCAATTTAACAAAGTTGTCGATTAAGAAAAGAAATGTTCGAGATTCATTCCTAAGGGTGCCAAAATTCCCTGGGGTGCACAAAAGTTTTGATTCAGAGCTAAAACGGTAAACTCTCTGTTGGTTTGTATACCGACCGTCCGAGCCGTGATGGCTAAAGGGGGCAATGCCAAACACACATGCAGATCGACACAGACCACAGCTGCAAAGTTAATGGATTCCTTGTGCGTGCCAGAAACCTATGATCGTGATTATCGAGTCTGTTTTGTTTGCCAGATACGTGGATCTTCTGTTAACCGTCATACTTCAAATCCTCATCTGTTTCCCGTTGGAGATCGTCTTCTCGTTCTGGAGAATCGCCATACTGTACATCATCGGCGTCATGTCAGGTGGGTGTGCTTGTTTCAGTAACACGAGGTGACAAAATGGGGATCTGGTGGGCACAAAATGGAGATTAGGTGGGAATAAAAAGGGGATTCCAGTCTAATTCTGGTCGTCATAATAAATACAATGAGGCTTTGTCTCTGTGGAATTCAGGTAACCATAGAAACCCGTGAAGATCCGGGTTACAATAGGTCATCAGTTACCCATTAGGCTACATGCTTGTCGCGAGGCGACTAACGGAATCGGATGGTCAGGATCGACTGCTTCGTTTCCCAATTGCGTGGATCGATGCTCAGGAAGTGAATCAACTGGATTGTCTGGTCAAGAATCTTATTAACAGACCACCGTTTATAGCTGGAACATTACTGAGTGTGGCGTTAACAACAAACAAACAAACAAACCATACACCATTGTTTGTGTTTAGATCCAAATTGTTGTTTTAACTTGAATCAAAATTGCTAGGACTGCACTTTCGGCCGGAGCCTAATTTCTTTTTAATTGTATTTGATATGTTTTGCTGTGTTTGCTTCTTATCCTTTCTGCGTGCGTGTTCCAGGTTCATTGCTGCACTCCATCAGTGACCATAAGACGTCATTGGTCGGAGGCAGTGGGGGCACATACTGCATCTTAGCTGCTCACTTTGGGGCAATGATATACGTAAGTACGACTCCTCTCAGAAATGTTTCCATATGTCCTACTCAGACATTCCTGCTTTCAGTCTTCTTTAGATTTTCGGTATTCCACACATTATTGTATGTGTGTTCATTTCGTTGTTGTTTAACGCCGCACTCAGCAATATTCCAACTATAAACGGTGGTCTATAAATAAGAGTCTTGACCAGACAATCCAGTTGTTCACTTCCTGAGCATCGATCCACGCAATTGGGAAACGAAGCAGTCGATCCTGACCATCCGATTCCGTTAGTCGCCTCGCGACAAACATGTAGCCTAATGGGTTACTGATGACCTATTGTAACCCGGATCTGTACATAATCGAACCCGTCATGATCCGGGGTAGAACAGGTCACCAGCAACCCATGCTTGCTGTAAAAGGCGACTAACGGGATCGGGTGGTCAGGCTCGCTGACTTGGTTGACGCATGTCATCGTATCCTTATTGCGTGGACCGACGCTCATGATGTCAATCACTGGATTGTCTGGTCCAGACTCGATTATTTACAGACCACCGTCATATAGTTGGAATATTGTTGAGTGCGGCGTTAAACAACAAACAAACAAAACGAATCTGGACCAGACAATCAATCCAGTGATGAATAGTGTGACGAAATATCCACACTATCGGGGTACGATGACCCTCTATCAACCAAGTCAGCCTCTTACGAACAGCATAGGTTGCTTGGGACCAATTCTAACCCGCAATCCCCTTTGGATTGATAAGTGCTAGAGACACTGCTAATAATCATCTTTCACAACAGGATATCATTGAATAAAAGTGTGCATGTAAATCACAACGAACCATAGACGCCGGTACATATATATTGTTCCACAGAAATAGAACATATGTTAACTTTTAGCAACAAGACATAATGCCAGCCCCACATTCATGTCTTGACAATTGATTTACACACAAAGTCTTGTAACATCCCTTCTATTCCTATTGGCCCTGACCCGTGAAGATTCCGGGGTAGAATAGGTCTTCAGCAACCAATGCTTGCCGTAAAAGGTGACTACGCTTGTCGTAAAAGGCGACTAACGGGATCGGGTGGTCAGGCTCGTTGACTTGGTTGATGCATGTCATCGATCCCAATTACGTAGATCGATGCTCATGATGTCAATCACTGGATTGTCTTGTCCAGAGTCGATTATTTACAGACCGCCGCCATATACCTGGAATATTGCTGAGTGCGGCGTTAAACAACCAACCAACCAACCTATTTGACCTATTTTAGATGGAGGTGGCGGACAGCTTTCTTGTTAATAAAAAAAAGCTTTCGCTTATCACGTTAATAGTCCCGATTTTGATTCCCTGCAAAGAAGCAATGAGTGCAGCCCTTCGTTAATGTCCAACCGACCCCTTCAAGCCTTGATACAGCTGTAATATTGATGGGGAGTGACCCAAGAGCTGCGATTATCCTAACTAACATTTTAAACACGCTGGACTGTTAAGGCTGTTTGTGCAACGATGCCCTGTTGTTCAAATTGTACTTCTTCTTCTTAACTACAGAATTGGAAGGAGCTGAAGAAGGCCGATGACAGCCCCATGAAGAGGATATTTTGTCACCCTCTTTTTCGGATGGTGGTCATTGTCCTACTGGGTATGCAGACTTCATGTCCGTTCTGTAGCACTACTAGATCATGTTATGTGAAACAGTATACATCGTGTTAATACAGGGGGATGGCCAGCGGTTGGGGGGTTTCTTTAAGAACACATTACGCTACATATTGTCAGGAAAATTGTATGCCACAAACATTGCATTGTTGCAATGTTGCAATGTGTGTTTCGTAAATTATATTTTGGCCTATAGTGTTACTTAAAATAATATCTGGTTTTGCATCAATTGTAGCCCCTCTCTCCTCCAACGGTGTTGAAATTGTAATATAACTGCGGCATGACACAACATTCACTGATCCCAGTTTGTATGTATTTCAGGGATCATACAGATCAGCCTTGCGTTGTACAGGAGATTCTTCGCTGATGACATCGTCAACATGGGGATAGGCCACTTCGGAGGAGGAATTCTCGCGGGTCGGTCCATAAACAGCATAATATATTTAGTACTTTTCCGTAAGGGGCCGTACATTTGCTGTATCCCGTACACACCTGGGCCCACTTGCACAAAGCGATCTTAGTGCTAAGATGATCTTAACTCCCATTTACATAGGCTTACGATAGTCTTAGAGCTAAGGTTGTTTTGTGCAAGTGTGCTCACGAGCCGTCTGTTCATGTTTGATGTTCAGTTTGTTGGGTGGTTCCCCCATTGCAAGACAAGTCTTAACCGATCGCCATACATGCAGAATAAGGTTATATCGAAGATGGATATAACGTACTAATTAGAACTATGTACTGACTTCTTTACGATATGTTTTCACATAAACGTGAGTAACAAAGTCTGAATAACGAATTATTGTCTGTCGATCTATTTGTTCACCTTAAATACAGACACAAGGCATAAGGTGCACAGCACACGTTAATGACAAAACTCAACTTATAATCATGAACACAATTTCCTCAAATTCAACCAATAGTGTATGCCATCTTGTTATTTATTGCGATGTCAGGGAAATTAAATAGTATCTTGTGTCGACCGAGTCGTTTTGGGCTGTGGCAAATTTCAATACGACAAAACGACTCTTAATAATAATTGCTCTAGATTTCCTGATTACCCATTGGATGATTTCATAAACGTTAACTTGTGGTTTTAATGTTCAAATCTACCACGTGTGGTTCTATTTTAGAACTCGAGTTCATAAATACTCATTTGATTATTTCTCCTGTCATATGGAGGTGTCACATGAATACTATTTGATCAAACCCCATTTCCCATGTCATGTGGAGGTGCGATGTGTATATCATTTAATTAAATCCATTTCCTATATCATTTGGAGGTGATATGTGAATATCATTTGATTGAATCTCATTTCTCATGTCATATGTAGGTGAGATGTGAATATCATTTGTTTAAATCCATTTCCTATGTCATGTGGAGGTGATATGTGAATATCATTTGATTGAATCTCATTTCCCTTTCATGTGGAGGTGCGATGTGAATATAATTTTGATTAAACCCTATTTCCCGTGTCATATGTAGGTGCGATGTGAATGCCATTTTATTTAATCCAATTGCCCATGCCATGTCAAGATGCAATATGAATATCATTTGATTGAATCTCATTTCCCATGTCATGTGGAGGTACGATGTGAAGACCATTGAATTAAATCCCATTTACCTAAGTCCTGTGTGACTACGAGATCCCATTGATTTATACCCATTTCAAATATCCTGTGCAGGTGCGATGCTCTGTGAAGCTTTCCTGAAAGATCGCCACAGGTACCCGTGGTACACCAACGCCGGTAGAATGAACCTCTTCATGTTCCTGATCTTCGCTGGGGCCTGTGCTGTCTTCAACTGCTTATATCTAGGGTATCCTGCAGGGGATTACAGTTAGAACATCAACCAGTGTGTGTCGAGCAAAGGCTGTGATAGATTGCTACGTCACAGTTGAAACAGACTGGATGAGTATCTGGGACCAGGTAAATACAGCTCTCAACAAGACATGGAAACAATGATGCTTTGCCGAAAGCGTTACCCTGAATACCGAGAAGGAGAAGATTATTGGAGTACGTTTCTTCCTATGATTTCAAAGGACTATACAGTAGTATAGTTATCGTGCATTCGTTAACTGGTGGTTGTTTCGCTTTAAACTAGGATACCGCAAATTCTCTAATAGAAGCTCGTATCGATTTGAGTCCGGATCCAAGACTGCTGTGAAATGAAATATAGACAAGCTTCAAATAATAACTCGGCCCATATCGTATCTTAGATACCCAACTTATCGTGGATGGAGTTTTCCTTAACGACAGGGAATGTGCCAGGACATGTGGAAGAAGTGATGCTGTTTTGGAGGCAATGAAGATCTCACACACACACACACACACCCACCCACATACCCAAATCCCCCCCCCCCCCCCCCACCCCACCCCACCCCCACCCCCCCACCCACCCACCCCCCAACCCCACCCCCCCCCACACACACGTGGTCTTGGTGCCATACACCTTTGCACATATTCTGTCAGTTGAAATGTATTAACACGGCTTAAAGATTGTTATTTATGTAAATACAAAGAGATTATGTCTCGCACTTGTGTCATGTATAATGTGATGTAATGCACTTGGGCTTAAAAGATGAGATGCTGTTTTTTTTTTTAGCTTAGTAGTACTCTGATGTCACACGCCATGGACGCAACAGCAACTTTTGGGTTTGAGTAAGTGGGTGAGTGAGTTGGGTCTTCCGCCGTTTTGAAGAGAACTGCAGTTCTCTCATGGCATTTTGGTTTTGCATATGCATCACGATGTGATATCGGCCAAAAGTGTATTTTCATTTTTGTTTCATGTCTCCATACTCTCCTGTCTTATTTATTTGCAGGAGTTATTTAAAAAACAAATTGTATAGTTATGGCATTCTAGTTAATTGAGGGCCATATTTGTTTTGAGGGAATAAAACAGTTGTATTTAGTATGTGTTAGTTTTGACTCTGGTTAGGTGGATAGTTTTTGTCACTCTAAATCTTTGTGCATAATTGTCAGGGTAACTATAAGCAGTGTGGATACCCTTCCAAACATTGTCAGCGTTATTTCAGGCAGTTTGGATACCCTCCCAATAATTGTCGGGGTAATTTCAGGCAGTTTGGATACCCTCCCAATAATTGTCGGGGTAATTTCAGGCAGTTTGGATACCCTTCAAATAATTGTCGGGGTAATTTCAGGTAGTTTGGATACCCTCCTAAAATTGTCTCGGTAATTTCAGGCAGTTTGGATACCCTTCGAATAATTGTCAGCATAATTTCAGGCAGTTTGGATACCCTTCCAAACATTGTCAGGGTAATTTCAGGCAGTATGGATACCCTCCCAATAATTGTCGGGGTAATTACAGGCATTTTGGATACCCTCCCAATAATTGTCGGGGTAATTTCAGGCAGTCTGGATACCCTCCCAATAATTGTCGGGGTAATTTCAGGCAGTTTGGATACCCTTCCAATAATTGTCGGGGTAATTTCAGGCAGTTTGGATACCCTTCCAATAATTGTCAGGGTAATTTCAGGCAGTTTGGATACCCTCCTAAAATTGTCGGGGTAATTTCAGCCAGTTTGGATACCCTTCGAATAATTGTCAGCATAATTTCAGGCAGTTTGGATACCCTTCCAAACATTGTCAGGGTAATTTCAGGCAGTATGGATACCCTCCCAATAATTGTCTGGGTAATTTCAGGCAGTATGGATACCCTCCCAATAATTGTCGGGGTAATTTCAGGTAGTCTGGATACCCTCCCAATAATTGTTGGGGTAATTTCAGGCAGTCTGGATACCCTCCCAATAATTGTCGGGGTAATTTCAGGCAGTTTGGATACCCTTCCAATAATTGTCAGGGTAATTTCAGGTAGTTTGGATACCCTCCTAAAATTGTCGGGGTAATTTCAGGCAGTTTGGATACCCTTCGAATAATTGTCAGCATAATTTCAGGCAGTTTGGATACCCTTCCAAACATTGTCAGGGTAATTTCAGGCAGTATGGATACCCTCCCAATAATTGTCGGGGTAATTTCAGGCAGTATGGATACCCTCCCAATAATTGTCGAGGTAATTTCAGGCAGTCTGGATACCCTCCCAATAATTGTTGGGGTAATTTCAGACAGTTTGGATACCCTTCCAATTATTGTCAAGGTAATTTCAAGCAGTCTGGATACCCTTCCAATAACTGTCATGGTAATTTTAGGCAGTTTGGATACCCTTCCAATAATTGTCAGGGTAATTTCAGGCAGTTTGGATACCCTTCCAATTATTGTCAAGGTAATTTCAGGCAGTCTTGATACCCTTCCAATAACTGTCATGGTAATTTCAGGCAGTATGGATACCCTTCCAAACATTGTCGGGGTAATTTCAGGCAGTTTGGATACCCTTCCAATAATTGTCAGGGTAATTTCAGGCAGTATGGATACCCACCAAATAATTGTCATGGTAATTTCAGGCAGTATGGATACCCTCCCAATAATTGTCAGGGTAATTTCAGGAAGTATGGATACTAATACGAAATTTGATGATCAAAACCCCCAAAGCAGATGACAATAAAACCGATCGCCCAAACGCATTACGGCAACGGCCATGGTAATCCGATGCACGTGAGTCCCGTGCAATACTAAAATTGTAAAATCCACCCAGATCGGATAACATTCATTCGTTATTGAATTGCTACCACATGCCAAGAAAAAATAAGCGACACCAAGCCCTTGGCTTTATAGATGAGATGCTGCTTTTTTCAGCTTAGTAGTACTCTGATGTCACACGCCATGGTTTTAAAGTGGCAACAGCAACTTTTGGGTTTGAGTAAGTGGGTGAGTGAGTTGGGTCTTCCGCCGTTTTGAAGAGAACTGCAGTTCTCTCATGGCGTTTTGGTTTTGCATATGCATCACGATGTGATATCGGCCAAAAGTGTATTTTCATTTTTGTTTTATGTCTCTCTACTCTCATGCCTTATTTATTTGCAGGAGTTATTTAAAAAACAAATTGTATAGTTATGGCATTCTAGTTAATTGAGGGCCATATTTGTTTTGAGGGAATAAAACAGTTGTATTTAGTAGGTGTTAGTTTTGACTCTGGTTAGGTGGATAGTTTTTGTCACTCTAAATCTTTGTGCATAATTGTCAGGGTAACTATAAGCAGTGTGGATACCCTTCCAAACATTGTCAGCGTTATTTCAGGCAGTTTGGATACCCTCCCAATAATTGTCGGGGTAATTTCAGGCAGTTTGGATACCCTTCAAATAATTGTCGGGGTAATTTCAGGCAGTTTGGATACCCTTCCAAACATTGTCAGCGTTATTTCAGACAGGTTGGATACCCTCCCAATAATTGTCGGGGTAATTTCAGGCAGTTTGGATACCCTTCAAATAATTGTCGGGGTAGTTTCAGGCAGTTTGGATACCCTTCAAATAATTGTCGGGGTAATTTCAGGCAGTTTGGATACCCTCCCAATAATTGTCAGGGTAAGAAAAAATAAGCGACACCAAGCCCTTGGCTTTATAGATGAGATGCTGCTTTTTTCAGCTTAGTAGTACTCTGATGTCACACGCCATGGTTTTAAAGTGGCAACAGCAACTTTTGGGTTTGAGTAAGTGGGTGAGTGAGTTGGGTCTTCCGCCGTTTTGAAGAGAACTGCAGTTCTCTCATGGCGTTTTGGTTTTGCATATGCATCACGATGTGATATCGGCCAAAAGTGTATTTTCATTTTTGTTTTATGTCTCTCTACTCTCATGCCTTATTTATTTGCAGGAGTTATTTAAAAAACAAATTGTATAGTTATGGCATTCTAGTTAATTGAGGGCCATATTTGTTTTGAGGGAATAAAACAGTTGTATTTAGTAGGTGTTAGTTTTGACTCTGGTTAGGTGGATAGTTTTTGTCACTCTAAATCTTTGTGCATAATTGTCAGGGTAACTATAAGCAGTGTGGATACCCTTCCAAACATTGTCAGCGTTATTTCAGGCAGTTTGGATACCCTCCCAATAATTGTCGGGGTAATTTCAGGCAGTTTGGATACCCTTCAAATAATTGTCGGGGTAATTTCAGGCAGTTTGGATACCCTTCCAAACATTGTCAGCGTTATTTCAGACAGGTTGGATACCCTCCCAATAATTGTCGGGGTAATTTCAGGCAGTTTGGATACCCTTCAAATAATTGTCGGGGTAGTTTCAGGCAGTTTGGATACCCTTCAAATAATTGTCGGGGTAATTTCAGGCAGTTTGGATACCCTCCCAATAATTGTCAGGGTAATTTCAGGCAGTTTGGATACCCTCCCAATAATTGTCGGGGTAATTTCAGGCAGTTTGGATACCCTTCCAATAATTGTCAGCGTTATTTCAGACAGGTTGGATACCCTCCCAATAATTGTCGGGGTAATTTCAGGCAGTTTGGATACCCTTCAAATAATTGTCGGGGTAGTTTCAGGCAGTTTGGATACCCTTCAAATAATTGTCGGGGTAATTTCAGGCAGTTTGGATACCCTCCCAATAATTGTCAGGGTAATTTCAGGCAGTTTGGATACCCTCCCAATAATTGTCGGGGTAATTTCAGGCAGTTTGGATACCCTTCCAAACATTGTCAGGGTAATTTCAGGGAGTATGGATACCCACCTAATAATTGTCGGGATAATTTCAGGCAGTTTGGATACCCTTCCAATAATGGTCAGGGTAATTTCAGGCAGTATGGATACCCACCAAATAATTGTCATGGTAATTTCAGGCAGTATGGATACCCTCCCAATAATTGTCGGGGTAATTTCAGGAAGTATGGATACTAATATGAAATTTGATGATCAAAACCCCCAAAGCAGATGACAATAAAACCGATCGCCCAAACGCATTACGGCAACGGCCATGGTAATCCGATGCACGTGAGTCCCGTGCAATACTAAAATTGAAAAATCCACCAAGATCGGATAACATTCATTCGTTATTGAATTGCTACCACATGCCAAGAAAAAATAAGCGATACCAAGCCCTTGGACGATTGCAATCTGGACAAACCGCCCGGCAAGTAGCCAATGCATCAAGTCCACGTAAGGACCATATACAGGCTCCAGCAACGGTACCAGACCACCGAAACGACAGATGACCCACCACGTAGTGGAAGACCAAGGGTCACCACCCGACATCAGGATCGTCAGATTGTGCGACAGCATCTTCAAGATCGCTTTTTACTGCCGCGGAAACTGCTCGAGAGACCATGGGGACACACAAGCGACACATTAGTGCGGACACCGCGCGTTGACGATTGACGAGCAGACACCTCCACTGTCACAGGCAACACCGAGGACCCACGTCATCCCCGGGACCGTCTTCAGTGGGCAACACAGCACCAGCATTAGCGCCACCAGCAGTGGAGAAGAGTCCTCTTCTCAGACGAGAGCCGTTACTGTATCTCAACAGCAGACGACAGAGAGGGAGAGTCCGAGGACGCCGTGGGGAACATTATTCGGATGCTTGTGTTGTTGAGAGAGACTCGTGGGGTGGTCCGACCACCATGGTGTGGGGCGGAATTGTCTTGCACAGAGGGTCGGCCCTGTGGTCTTCCAGAACATCGGTCCAGGGAGAGGAATGGTGTCACAGCAGCTCGGTACATTAATCAAGTCTTGAGACCAAACGCCATACCTCATTTGGCACGTCGCCGCAACCACGAGTTTCAGCATGATAACGCCCGTGCCCACACTGCGAGAGCTACAAGAGACTTCCTCCAGCAGAAAGGCATCAGAACCATGCAGTGGCCTGACCTCAGTCCCGATTTAAATCCCATTGAGCACCTGTGGGACGAGATTCAAAGACGGCTGAATAACGTCCGACCAAGGCCGACAACTGTAGCTGAATTGAACTGCGTCAGGCGTTCCTCAGAGTGTAAGCTCAAGTGCCTATGGCCTTCATCAACCGCCTCATCCATTCCATGTGTCGACGTTGCCCAGCAGTCATCAATGCACATGGCGGACACATGAGATACTGACTTGTGATACCATTTTCTCAGAGACTTGTGTTGTGTTTCACTTTAAGACATTTATCACTTTAATTTCAACCTTGATGATCAGTTTTGCCAAGTTTCATCTTTTTAATATGTCTCAAAGTATGTTTACAGTGTTTGGACAAATATGGTTTCTCATATATCTATCCATGGTGACGTTTCTTTTGCGATTCATTTAGCTGAACGGCTAGAGTTACTTTGGGTGACTTGATTTGGAGTGACTGTGGCGTGATGTGTAGTACATTGAGATGGGTTGTGTGAATGACTGATTGTTACCGTGACGGCTGTGCGTGACGTGATGTGTAGTACATTGAGATGGGTTGTGTGAATGACTGATTGTTACCGTGACGGCTGTGCGTGACGTGAGTGTAGTACATCGAGATGGGTTGTGTGAATGACTGATTGTTACCGTGACGGCTGTGCGTGACGTGAGTGAAGTACATTGAGATGGGTTGTGTGAATGACTGATTGTTACCGTGACGGCTGTGCGTGACGTGGGTGAAGTACATTGAGATGGGTTGCGTGAATGACTGATTGTTACCGTGACGGCTGTGCGTGACGTGAGTGTAGTATATTGAGATGGGTTGTGTGAATGTCTGATTGTTACCGTGACGGCTGTGCGTGACGTGAGTGGAGTACATTGAGATGGGTTGTGTGAACGACTGATTGTTACCGTGACGGCTGTGCGTGACGTGAGTGAAGTACATTGAGATGGGTTGTGTGAATGACTGATTGTTACCGTGACGGCTGTGCGTGAATTGAGTGAAGTACATTGAGATGGGTTGTGTGAATGACTGATTGTTACCGTGACGGCTGTGCGTGACGTGAGTGAAGTATATTGAGATGGGTTGTGTGAATGTCTGATTGTTACCGTGACGGCTGTGCGTGACGTGAGTGGAGTACATTGAGATGGGTTGTGTGAACGACTGATTGTTACCGTGACGGCTGTGCGTGACGTGAGTCAAGTACATTGAGATGGGTTGTGTGAATGACTGATTGTTACCGTGACGGCTGTGCGTGACGTGAGTGTAGTACATTGAGATGGGTTGTGTGAATGACTGATTGTTACCGTGACGGCTGTGCGTGACGTGAGTGAAGTACATTGAGATGGGTTGTGTGAATGACTGATTGTTACCGTGACGGCTGTGCGTGACGTGAGTGTAGTATATTGAGATGGGTTGTGTGAATGTCTGATTGTTACCGTGACGGCTGTGCGTGACGTGAGTCAAGTACATTGAGATGGGTTGTGTGAAGGACTGATTGTTACCGTGACGGCTGTGCATGACGTGAGTGAAGTACATTGAGATGGGTTGTGTGAATGACTGATTGTTACCGTGACGGCTGTGCGTGACGTGAGTGTAGTACATCGAGATTGGTTGTGTGAATGACTGATTGTTACCGTGATGGCTGTGCGTGACGTGAGTGAAGTACATTGAGATGGGTTGTGTGAATGACTGATTGTTACCGTGACGGCTGTGCGTGACGTGAGTGTAGTACATCGAGATTGGTTGTGTGAATGACTGATTGTTACCGTGATGGCTGTGAGTGACGTGAGTGAAGTACATTGAGATGGGTTGTGTGAATGACTGATTGTTACCGTGACGGCTGTGCGTGACGTGAGTGTAGTACATCGAGATTGGTTGTGTGAATGACTGATTGTTACCGTGATGGCTGTGAGTGACGTGAGTGAAGTACATTGAGATGGGTTGTGTGAATGACTGATTGTTACCGTGACGGCTGTGCGTGACGTGAGTGAAGTACATTGAGATGGGTTGTGTGAATGACTGATTGTTACCGTGATGGCTGTGCGTGACGTGAGTGAAGTACATTGAGATGGGTTGCGTGAATGACAGATTGTTACCGTGACGGCTGTGCGTGATTTCGCCGTGATATAGCATAAACAAACAAAATCATTGAAAATGGGAAGGGTTTAAAAAAAACGGAACGAATTTTCTTGCATTCTAACCATTTTATTGACCAGGCATCGGATCCTTATGCTCTAACCCTTTCCGTTTTGCGACCCATTCGTCGACTGTAACCCACCAGCAGATTGCGACCCACCCGTCGACTGTGACCCGCCAGCTGATTGCGACCCACCCGTCGACTGTGACCCGCCAGCAGATTGCGACCCACCCGTCGACTGTGACCCGCTAGCTGATTGCGACCCACCCGTCGACTGTGACCCACCAGCAGATTGCGACCCACCCGTCGACTGTGACAAACCAGCAGATTGCGACCCACCCGTCGAATGTGACCCATGAGCTGATTGCGACCCATTCGTCGACTGTAACCCACCAGCAGATTGCGACCCATCCGTCGACTGTGACCCACCAGCTGATTGCGACCCACCCGTCGACTGTGACCCGCCATCAGATTGCGACCCACCCGTCGACTGTGACCCGCCAGCTGATTGCGACCCATTTGTCGACTGTGACCCACCAGCTGATTGCGACCCATTCGTCGACTGTGACCCACCAGCAGATTGCGACCCGACCGTCGACTGTGACCAGTCAGCTGATTGCGACCCACCCGTCGACTGTGACCCACCAGCTGATTGCGACCCACCGGTCGACTGTGACCAGCCAGCTGATTGCGACCCATTCGTCGACTGTGACCCGCCAGCAGATTGCGACCCACCCGTCGACTGTGACCCGCCAGCTGATTGCGACCAATTCGTCGACCGTGACCCGCCAGCTGATTGCGACCCATCCGTCGACTGTGACCCACCAGTTGATTGCGACCCACCCGTCGACTGTAACCCACCAGCTAATTGCGACCCATCCGTCGACTGTAACCAACCAGCTGATTGCGACCCACCCGTCGACTGTGACCCACCAGCTGATTGCGACCCATTCGTCGACTGTGACCTGGCAGCTGATTGCGACCCATTCGTCGACTGTGACCCGCCAGCAGATTGCGACCCACCCGTCGACTGTGACCGGTCAGCTGATTGCGACCCACCCGTCGACTGTGACCCACCAGCTGATTGCGACCCATTCGTCGACTGTGACCAGCCAGCTGATTGCGACCCATTCGTCGACTGTGACCCGCCAGCTGATTGCGACCCATTCGTCGACTGTGACCCACCAGCTGATTGCGACCCACCCGTCGACTGTAACCCACCAGCTGATTGCGACCCACCCGTCGACTGTGACCCGCCTGCTGATTGCGACCCATCCGTCGACTGTGACCCGCCTGCTGATTGCGACCCACCCGTCGACTGTGACCCGCCTGCTGATTGCGACCCACCCGTCGACTGTGACCCGCCTGCTGATTGCGACCCACCCGTCGACTGTGACCCGCCTGCTGATTGCGACCCATCCGTCGACTGTAACCCGCCAGCTGATTGCGACCCACCCGTCGACTGTAACCCACCTGCTGATTGCGACCCATCCGTCGACTGTGACCCACCTGCTGATTGCGACCCACCCGTCGACTGTGACCCACCAGCTGATTGCGACCCATTCGTCGACTGTGACCCACCAGCAGATTGCGACCCGACCGTCTACTGTGACTGGTCAGCTGATTGCGACCCACCCGTCGACTGTGACCCACCTGCTGATTGCGACCCACCCGTCGACTGTGACCCACCAGCAGATTGCGACCCACCCGTCGACTGTGACCCACCAGTTGATTGCGACCCATCCGTCGACTGTGACCCACCAGCAGATTGCGACCCACCCGTCGACTGTGACCCACCAGTTGATTGCGACCCACCCGTCGACTGTAACCCACCTGCTGATTGCGACCCATCCGTCGACTGTAACCCACCAGTTGATTGCGACCCACCCGTCGACTGTGACCCACCAGTTGATTGCGACCCACCCGTCGACTGTAACCCACCAGTTGATTGCGACCCACCCGTCGACTGTAACCCACCAGCTAATTGCGACCCACCCGTCGACTGTGACCCACCAGCTGATTGCAACCCACCTAATGTCGAGGGCACTACTATTGGGTTCATGGACTCATTAATGGCCCGAGTCTCAGCTGCAGATTTCGACTGAGAACCACCCTCCCCAGCTCCCGACTCTGACTGAGATGGTGTAGTCGAATTCATAGTAGGCGATGTTGTATTTGTGGCCGATGTAGGGGGAGTTGTTCGCGTCGTCGTGATGTCGGGCTTCCGTGTATGAAAACCCGTACCTTGCCAGCTCATCTCTGGAATCCTCAAATCTGACAACCCCGTCCCAGTGTTTGCACCGTTCGTACTTCCTGCATCTGTAATGACAAAAGTTCCCATGTTTTCAATGTCACAGATCACAACGTCGACATTCATCAATCATCTTTTTTTCTGACGTTCTCGTATTATATGACAAGCATACCTACCCACCACCGTTTCATTACAGATCCAGCACACGGCTGCGTTTGTCCAAAGCAGTGATGGATTCCATCGGAAACTAAAAAGTTTTAAGATATTGGAATTGGAAACTTTAATGTCATTGCAAAGTACAATATATTCGCCAAGGACGGCAGCTGTTTTACATAACCCTTGGTGTTACTGTGAACAGAAAGGGTTTCAACTGCAACCGCTAGTGTAAACATGCGAACACTAAGCGTGGCATGAGCAACTGTTAGTGTCACTGAAACACTAGGGGTTGATATTGCAACCGCTAGTAATAACCAGAAAACACTATGCTGTGCATACATCGTGCAGTTGCAACCCTCAGTATTCAAAATTTTCAGATGAGACGTGAAAGTAGTTTTTGTTACATGTGGACCTAAAAAAGTAGATAGTCAATAATTCACTTTCTGTGTTGAGAAAATTTACCCAAATGCCAAGATATTGGTATTTCTAATATCACTGCTCAGAATACCCAAACAGTAACACTAGTAATTTGTACTATTTAAAAAAAAAAAAAAAAAAAAAAAATTAAAATGTGTGTAAACATTCTTAAAACATACCCATCCATCTTTTCGTAATTAGCCCTGCCTTTGATATCACTTTGTAGTATCAAATAATAAGAGACCTATTCAAATAGCAAATCATTAAGAACCTGCGTTATGATTCGTCAACCACCGCCAGTGAGAATTACTCGAAACTCATGGTCTATGACTATAATATACCATGTTTAAAACATATAGGTCTCGGGGAGTCATTTGAAACATTTCATGTTGAGGTCAAGATCAATCATATTCAAATGACTTATGTGCTATAAAAGAGAAAATTGGTATCATCTTCTCTACACTTAGGTTGCGAGCCCTGTGACGTTTGACGTTAAGCAAAGGTTAAAACCTTTGGAAAACCTTGTTGCCGACTTTCCGAGTAAACCGTTATTTCAAATTTCACGAAACTTAGCACATGTGAGTGAGTGAGTGAATATGGTTTTACGCCGCTTTTAGCAATATTCCAGCAATATCACGGCGGGGGACACCAGAAATGGGCTTCACACATTGTACCCATGTCGGGAATCGAACCCGGGTCTTCGACGTGACGAGCTAACGCCTTAACCACTAGGCTACCCGACCGCCCCTTAGCATATGTCATCTCTACACTGAGGTTGCAGGCCCGGTGACCCGGTGACGTAAATTGGTCACAAGGTCAAGGTCAACTTTCGGAAAAAATATTTAATTTAATTTTTCTTTCTTTTCCCTCAGATAGTGTTAGTGCATACCTGATATGTTTCTGCAAACATTTTTATGCATCTTACATGAGAATGAAGTTCACAGATAGGTCACTCTAAGGTCAAATCTTGTAACCAACCTGAAGAAAAAAACTACTGGCTATGATTTCATGACTCTTGGTTCATGTCATCTCCATGCTAAAGTTGTGGGCCTAGTGACGTTTGACGGAAATTGGTCTGCAAATTTAACACCTAGTGTCACCATAAGAACACAAGGGGTTTCAGTATCAACCCATATGTTAACTTTCGAAATGAATATTATCATTTCTTAGTTATTTTTCACTCTCTGATGATCGCCACGCTTGGTAACAGATGATTTCTGGTGGACCGATGGATCACAAGGAGAATCAGATGTCGATTATCAGAAACAGTATTGTCATTGCATCTTTACAATAACAAATAATACCAGGACGTACATTTGACTGTACAATTAGCCCCCGAGCTCGGGGTTTTCACTCCTGTGTTATCGCAGGTGACCCTCAGTACACCGTTTTCTTTGTAGCCGTTTTCACACGAGTAGCTTCGGGACATTGCTCCCCCTGTTTGAAAGGTAGGTCTGCCGGATGGAACCCAGTGATCAGGGACGCCAGCTGTCCAATTCCTGCATATCGGATCTGCACAACATATTTGTAAACGTATCGAGAAACCCTGCTGTTATTTGATAGTGTTATCTATTCATTAAAAACAGTTTAAACCTCAGCCTTTGGCTAATTATCTTTGGATTTAAAGATAATTTTGTTGCAGATGAATCCTTTGACCTGATATTGTTAATGGAAAAAAATTACACTTACAAATGCAAAGTTTCTAACGCCGCTCCAATCTTGATACATTTCAGGATAGATATTATGTTGAGAAGAACAGGTAATATGCTAAAAGTCAACAAGTGACACTTCTTTCAGAAACCAATGCTGTACCATTCTCTTTATGAGTCTTATACTTGGACAAGCATCATTTGCTTAAATTGAAACTGGTCTTCTTTGTCTATTGCTTGTACGATGTGTCATACATTTGTTGCATCCACATACACAGAGAGTGAATGTGTTGTCCTTATCCCCCTTTTTTAAAAAAAGAGAAAAAACTCCCTTCCACTCATTTACCCACCTAAAGTAGAAATATAGAAGACCATTGAGACTGCCTCATCTGTTTCATATTTAGATCTATGCATAAAGATTCAGAGTGACACAATACTCTCCACAAGACTGTATGACAAGAGGTATGACTTCAACTTTCCAATAGTCAAATTTTCCTTTATGTTGAGCAATATTCCAGCAGCTACAGTCTTTGGTGTTTTACATTTTGCAACTTTTGAGATACAATCGAGCATGCTCTTTCTTCCAAGATTTCAAAGAGCGTCATACGACTCTTCCTCAGAAGTTGTTTGATCAAGGTTACAGTAAAGCTTTCAAAAGGTTTTAAGGTCGACATGTGGAGGACATTTCCAAATTTGACGCATCAGTGACAGAAATGATGTCCGATTCAATTCACTATTTTGACGTGTCCCATATATTCCCATGTTTTTCAGCAGTGGTGCAGAATACGCTCACCTTTTCGCGAACACCTGGTACCATTACTGTTTAATAGTAATTCATAAACACATGCTCATGATACAGTCGGATTTGAACAATCGACTCTGCTTTATGCAGAGATTTCTATTGGACATGGAAAGGTGAGGTGAAGTGAAATTGGGTTTAACGTTGCGTTCAAGATTATTGCACTTACATAGCGATGTGCATGCACGTGTGTGTGTGTGGCTGCTTGTACTAGTCCGGACTGACGCCGATATATAGTGCTAGCTCTCTGAGATACCATGCCGCAGTTTAACATGAATACCCCACTCAGACACAATATACTGACTCCGAGCTGACCAGTCCTTGTTTAAGCCCCTTAATGCCGAGCGCCAGACAGGGTAACAACAAGTACCATCTTTTAACGTCTTTTGGTATATCGCGGCCGGGGATCGAACCCCGGACCTTCCGCTCTCCGGGCGGACGCTCTACCATTAGACCACGGAGGCGGTCTGGACATGGAAAGGGTTTTGTCGCTTTATTTACACCATTTATTTTTAGATGTGCAACCATGGGCTGTAAAAATAAAAAGATAATTAGATATATTTTGTATTCATTAATTCATTAAATTCATTGAAAGTACATTTGTTTTACATCTCCATTCGCTTTACACTGATACATTGTACAAAGGTCAATGCATTTTTATCAATTACGATAGTAGGTATATTGTTGTAATAAACGTCAGTATCCTTTGACATTAATTTTGTACTCTATAACAGTGGGTGAGTGCGATAAAATGTAAAGTCACGTGTCGTATTTCCGCTAAATTGTGACCTGTTATTTACTTGGTTTTTGCAAACTGTATTCAGCAACTGTCAACAGGGAGGGTGGTATGACCAAGAAACGAACCTTTATTAAAGTGTAGTAAGACTTACAACAAGCTTAACAAATGTACTATTGCAGTAATAGTAAATTATGAGAAGATTCTTTGAAAGATGGATAGTAATCGCTTAGTAAATTGTACTAATCTGCGAAAGGCCACTTACTAGTCTTATTAGCTAAAATTAACTAATTGGTTAGTAATGGCTTCTTACATGTTAGTGTCTGTGTGTAAACGTCACAAACTATTTCTGTCAGTGAAAGTTAGGCCCTAGGGACTATGGGGGCTTACGGCACCTCTGCTACCTGCACAGAACCCCAGCAGGATTTACACCCCCCCCCCCCCCCCCCCCCCTTCGACGGTTAGCAGGTTAAGCGGACAATGAAAATAAACAATAGTCTACAATTGAAAACGGAGGTAGATATGGGGATTTGACTGAATTAGTGATAAAAATACTTACGATAGACCACCTCTTTGCAATTTGACTCTGATGTTATGCCTGGATCGATGTCTGTTGAACCTGTTTTCTGTTTATAGAACAAACAGACTCCCTTCTCAGAACCAGTATCTTTTTGACTGGGTCTGAAAGTTCCACACTCAAAAGGATTGTCAATACAGGGAGCTGCGGTAGTTGTCGGAGCTGTAAAGTCACAATAGACAGCCACTGCGCAGTTTTCCAAGTCGTCCAGACATTGTCTTTGACAAAAACTTTCTCCCTCGTTTTCGACTCTTTTGGCAAACTCAACTGTTGCATTGATGCCAAAGCTCATGCTTAAGAGATCGTTCGTACTAATGTCGCTGTAAGGAGACCTGTGATATATTGGTAGTCCAAAACTACTTGGAGGCTGCATTCCTGCTGGAGCTGGAGCTGGAGCTGGAGCTGGAGCTGGAGCTGGTGCCATAGCTTGGACGCTTCCTGTCATAGGGTTACATGAATTTATTCTTAAACAATGTTATAATAGTATTAATTTTGTTCTGTTAAAACTCAGTAGAAGTTAATAGCATTGCGTTTTAACAATAATAAGTTGTCAGGGAAGTATTCCTACTGAATGTAAGCAGTAGTGTGGAAGTTACCATATTTTCATACTTTTGGAATCAAGTGTAATCTGGAATCTGGAATCTTAGTACGAGTACCTACAGAGGCGTTTTTTCTGATCATTTAGACCCTGTAATCTTGACGTCAAGCGTTTTAGCATTTATGCATTTCACACTTTTTATTCACGTGAAGATTCCGGGTTAGTATTGGTCTTCAGCAACCCATGTTTAAGAGGCGACAAACGGGATCGGGTGGACAGGCTCGCTGACTTGGATGATGCGTGTCATCGTATCCCAATTGCGTGGATCGATGCTCATGATGTCAATCACCGGATTGTCTGGTCCAGACTCGATTATTTACAGACGGCCGTCATGTAGCTGGAATATTGCTGTGAGCGGCGTTAAACAACAAACAAACTAAACATTGGCCAGGCTGGCACAGTAGAAACTGTTCTTATCCAGAGATTAAGGAGAAATGGAGAACTCGTGTATGTTACTGCTGGCACTGGTTTGGTAGTTTAGGGGAAGAACTCTTTATGATTTGCCTGGGTTGAGTGATGGACACAGAAATCCTGACTTCTATAGAATACGTCTTAATGATGAAAAGAAGAATGTCTACAGGAGGATTAAGGAGAGCGGTGTGCTGATCATTGATGACATAAGCAAGAATATTATAAAATAATTAAATTGTCCTTGTGTTCATTGTATTTCCTGCATTTTGATGAGCTGAATTGGTCACGTGTTATTGCATTCATTTCCCAATGAATGTAAAAAATGAAGCCACGCCCACCAAAGCGGACTACTTTTAAAACTACCGAATGTCGGGGAATCCCAATATTACAGCACTGGGCATTTAGCGAAATTCATGCATATTATTTATCCAAACAACCATTTGAGACCGAAGGTGGAGAAGGAATGAAACAGCAAACGGGTTTTTTTCCGCTCGCCTCGGTTCCACAACTTTCATGTCTTCTAGTTTCATTTCTAACTTTCTTTACCAACTGTGTCTTCCCGTTCTCTGGGAACTAAATCATCATGAAATCATGAGAATCATTTTCCCAACAAACACGCAACCCCACAAACTGTGTGCCGTGGAGTAACATGCACGTGCAGTTTGCGAATCACGAGTCGAGGAGATGCCAAAATGAATATGTTTTGAAAGATGCATTATTTCTTTCAGAATGAATATGTTATTACTGAACTTTATATGAAGCACAATTACCTTCTTCCGTTAGTATATATTCTTATGTATAAATGTACCCTGACCTTCTGTGTATACATGTCCTAAAGGTATATGGCCTTCTCATTAATAGGAAATGAAGATTGACTGACCAGAAAATCCAGAGATGGATATTATGAGCAAAGATACCAGGTACTCAATCAACAAAGTCAGCGAGTCCGACCATCCGATCAATGCAGCCGCCTCTTATGACCAGCATAGCTTGGGGACGTGTTCTAGCTCGGAATTCCTACTTGGGAATAGGTATATGGCCTTCTCATTAATAGGAAATGAAGATTGACTGACCAGACAACCCAGAGATGGATATTATGAGCAAAGATACCAGGTACTCAATCAACAAAGTCAGTGAGCCTGACCACCCGATCAATGCAGCCGCCTCTTATGACCCAGCATAGCTTGGGGACGTGTTCTAACTCGGAATTCCCACTTGGACAACACTTTATGTTACTTAACATCCAATATTTCCTGTGTTCTTTTTATTTTTCCGGGTTTTATTGGAGGACAATTTCAGGAACTTATTATTGAACAAAATAAGCTAAGCTTGAAAGGGAAAGGTAAAACAAACTTTAATGTCTTCAGATTTGTGTTATATGGCAGTGTAATTTATTGTTAACTGTATTACATTGTTTTATCACATTCAGTAGACGTTCATTACATAGAATCGGACAATGGTTAGATAATAGGAATTAAGTACTATTTAATGTAAACAGTGGCGAGGAAGTTATTACATTTTGATGCTAGAATTATCTGTAAACTTTCAGAATAGCATGGATGAATGTCAATAGTAATTGAAACATGTGGAATATTCTGTGATGTTCAAGTGGCACTGGAACCGGTCTGGCACTTTGTAGAAAGTGCTGGAAGGTAGTTAGACTATATAAACTGACCGGGCGCCACCCTGTCCCATCTCACAGTTTCTCGGACATTACATTTATACTAACTTTTGTGCAGTGAACCCATTTCCCGGGATTCCTAGCCAAAAGATATCTCGGAAGCTTGACAACTGTTGTGGCGAGGTGATTATTGTATTTGTCATTGTCATTTCCACTGCTTCCACTGTTATACCGCAATTGAATAGCGTACTACCACTCAATTGTATACTGCCGTTGTATCTTCTGTATTGATTTGTAAACCTTGTTAATTGTGTAATAATATTGTTGACTGTATACCAGTTGTTGGTTGTTTGTTTGTTTCACACAAAATTCTTTAACGTACAGATTTCACGGTTAACATATTGTTTCAATTTGGGAATCAACATGTAACAGAAAGTAGGGTCTCGTCCGGGTTCGAAATTCAACAGATGACAAATTATTTTTCAAAACATTTCATTGTCTAATATTGTGTGAAGCATGCAATCACTATGGTGTTTTGTTTCGTGTTGAGGCGTTTGTAGGCCAACCTTCAACGGAACAAGTCTTTGTGCTCAAGAAGTCTGAACTGGTCGAAGTGGCCATATGTTACAAACTTGACATCCAGTCATGTAGGATTAAGGCTGATGTCAAGAAAATGTTGACAACATACCTGGTTGGCAAAGACATTTTGGCAGCTGATGCTTTGGCTTTGATTGAAGAAAAAACAGATGTTTTGGCTTTAAAGAGATTAGAATTTGAAAGAGAAAAATGGGCTGTTGAAAAAGATATTCAGCTTAGAGAAATGGAAACAGAAAAATTGGGAATTGAAATTGAGAATGAAATATTGAGAATTGAAGCTGAGAATGGAAAATTGAGAATTGAAGCTGATAACTAAAATTTAATAAAGCTGGAACAATTTGAATTACAGAATGAAAATTGTAGCCTAGATGAAAAAAAATCGTTAACAGACTGTTCCTTTGAACAAGCATAGTTTGATAAATCTATTTCACTGCATTGTATGATATAGCTCAAGAAATAAACATGCCTACCTGTTGGAGAAAGTGCTCCCGACAGGGGACTTGATGACGGTGCAGGTGCGGGTGCGGGTGCAGATGCAAGTCCACCTGACAGGAAAGGGTTCACGAGAGCAGGTGTTGGAGCGGGTGCAGGAGCTGGGTTGGGAGGCGCAACCGGTACAATGCTACCAACTGGGGCAGTATTAGTCTCGGGAAGATTGAACTGGCCTCCTGAAAAAGTAGGAAAGCCATACTGGCTTGGAGTGCAGGCCAGAAGGATAACGAGCGCAAACAGAACTTGACCCATTGTCAAGACGTCTTCTTCACCGCGTCAGACCTTCACTGTCACTGATTATGGCTATGTTTTGTGTCGCTTAATACTAGTATTCATAACTCACAATTACGTCACATCGTGGCCATATATGGTAAGGTAATAACACAATCCTCCAAATCGTGTATTTGTATGTTATAATAACCTATCGGACTGTTAGATCAGCTAATCTGTCATGCACAAGAACACGTGTAAGATACATTACAACCCTGGACTGGGTAGACTGAACCTCTAAAAAATAGAATACCAAGCTAACATAGAAATATGAAAAAGAAGAAATGTACAAATTGGTAAATTTTGAATTATGTACATAGTTGAATTATATAATTTTAGTTGCGTTTAACTCGTAATTTAGATAGTTAGTGACTGTTTCCTCGAAAGGGGTTGAAGTAGCGTAACATATCTGATCCCGTTAGTCGCTTCTTACGACAAGCATTGGTTGCCGATGATCAATTCTAAATCTGGTTGTAAATAAACTCTGTGATATGTAGTTATTTTATTGTCCATCGTCAACAGGTTTTATAATGTCATTAATTTGTTCTAGTTACGATATGGCTGAAATATTGACGATATGACATTAACTTGTCAATCGCATTTAACTCACAGCGTTGTCATTTATCAACCAGGCAATATAATTTCGTGTAGATGACAACGTGAATAATCACTTTTAATCACTTAACTAGCCCGGACTAATGCCGGTTTTATAGTGCTAGCCCACTGAGATACCATGCCGCAGTTTAACATGAATACCCCACTTAGACACATCATACTGTGACTCCGAGCCGACCGGTCCTTGTTTTAGCCCCATAATGCCGAGCGCCAGGCAGGATAGTACATTCTTTTAACGTCTTTTGGTATGACGCGGACGGGGATCGAACCACTGGCCTTCCGCTCTCTGGGCGGACGCTCTGCCACTAGATCACGGAGGCGGTCACTTTACCCTCGAGATCAATTCTTAAGATACCATGCACACATACCCCCCCAAATGCGCAAATGGAAACCAGTGATTCAACCAACTGTGGAAATGACAATCACCCCGAGAACCATTGATAATAAAGTCATCAGGAAACATGAGTGAGTGAGTTGGGTTTTACCCCGCTTTTAACAGTATTCCAGTTATATCACGGCGTGTCAGCTCTATGTTGGAGGAAAGCCCGAAGTGATGCAGGTCTCAGACGTTTACCACTTCGGTGAAACCCACGAGCACGGGTATGTTGCTAGCAAATCTACAAACATACTCGGGGCGAACCGGGATTCGAACTCACGATCATAGGTTTCAAGGGACGCAACTCTGCACAGCGAATCGCGGCGCCTTAGACGACCCCCCCCCCCCCCCCCCCCCCTCAGAAACTGACAGTGATATACTAATGATACATTGACCCTTGACTATTCTTGTACGCATGGATATATAGTCAAAAGTTTGAAGACAACCACTGAACAAAAGTGTCTGTCAGCACTGCCATTCAATATTTCTGCTTTAATACTGAGGACAAACGTATGAACAAATATGAAACCGCAGCTACACACAATGTTTCTAAATCTCCGAGAATGAAATTAGTGTAGAACATTGTTGGATTACACAACAGTTAAATTTACTCCTCAAAGTTTCGGTGTACCTCATAAACCTTTTAAGGAGAATGATTTTCTTGTGCCATACCATTTCTAAATTGTCTCCAAAACAGTGAAATCGTAATGATGAAATGAAAATGAATTTCCATATAGAGAACCATACCTGCCAAAATTCAGCTGCCTCAGTCTGGGAATTTCAGAGATGCTTACAGTGCCAAAATATGCATTTAAGAAGTGCCAAAATATGCATTTAAGAAATTTGAGTGCATTACAGTATATTTTGAGCCAAATAGGCTGAGCAGTGGTCATAATCATGTTTTTCATTATAAAAGTCGTGGTTACCGTATTAAAAATCATATTTAAACCTCTTGAACATTTTCAAATGTCATCACTGGCGTGAACTAGCAAACTTCATTTGTTCAATGGTTGCTGAGAACTTGTCAGTGCGAGCATAGAGGATGGTCAGGTTTACTACACCTATAATGAGGTGCCTTGTACTGTTTGGTGTGTGTAACCAATTCATTTCACCTTCATTTTCCACCGTTAAAGATCAGTACGATGTCTATTTGTGGCCCCAGTTTGAAGTTCTTTTGTGATATTGATGATCCCCATGGTCCATAATACAGTTTTCTGGTAAAAGGTTTTGGGATTGTCTGTCCAGACTCGAGTGAGTGAGTGATTATGGTTTTACGCCACTTTTTGCAATATTCCAGCAATATCAAGGCTGGGGATACCAAAAGTGGGCTTCACACATTGTACCAATGGGGGATTGGAACCCAGGTCTTCGGCGTGACAAGCGAACGCTTTAACCACTAGGCTACCCCACCGCCCCAGCCAGATGCGGTTATTGACTGGCGGCCGTCATATAGCTTGTGGCAAACAACAAACACCATAGACGTGGGCCATCGGCCAATGGTACATCAAGTATCAACAGCCAAAGTTGTTGCATTTATAAACAATACCAAGAAAAGTTACCGAACCTGTTCGCCCGATCCAATTTAGTCGCCTTGTATCATATTCAATAGAGTCATAGCCGTGGTCGCAACAGGTAAATGTGGCTGTGATAAGCTGTGTTAAATGCGGTCAGGTTGAGGTAATCTACAAAAAATAAAATTTCAACTTTATATTGTCTGGTCAAGATTCGATGAAGTACTTGTTGACGTCATATAGCTGGAATATTGCTGAGTGCGGCGTTAAACAAACAAGCAAACAGACGCACGCACGCATACACGCACATAGACAGCAACACACACGCAAACCAGGACTGTGGCGGGGACACGAGTATCCGAAAGGGGATCGGGCGCATATGGTCTCGAGTACTCGAGAATGGGAGATAACTCCAAATGAAGCGTGATCACAAGAACAGATTATTCTCTTTAGTCGTACATGTGGCCGTGGTTGGTCGTATAAATGGAAGAGAAATGTTCGTATTCTGCACGATATCAATTTGACCTTGATACACTAAAAAGAAACAAAATGCCGTTTATCTTGCATACTGCTAAGGCACACAGGGACTTCAACCAGCTCAATGTGTAAACATCTTCGTATAAACACACAAATCGACCCCGGTCAAAGTAAAACACATCTTCACGAGGCAAGGGTGTTTATTAACTATAAAAGTCCACCTTCCACCCTTGCCGAACTAGACTGGAATCATTGAGTTTTATTTGGGCTGGACTAACGAGTATGTGCATAGTCTAATCAAAATCGCGTTACAAAATCGACATCCGGTTCGACATGCCGTGCAGATTTCGGTCTATTGCAGGATTTGCAAAGCATTCGTACCGTCAACTTGGCGTCAACAGAAACGTCCAAATCGTTTCATAATTTTAATCAAGGTGCTGACGCGATTTAATGCACATCGCAAGGTAAGACCCGTTTTATTACAATATAGATCTTGTTTATCGGCCAGATCGTCTTGACGGGTTGCCGCCATTTTGCTTGAAGCAAATGCAAGTGATATGAGAGGTGGAATCTGATTGGTCATTAGGAGGGGCATAGAAGGGAATAGTCACTGGTAACAGCCACTAGTGACGCTACGATGGAACTCAGAAAATCCAGCCTAGTTCGGCAAGGTTGGAAACTTGACTTTACTAGTCAGTTAACTTCCTTGCCTCGGGAAATTGAGTAAAACACAGAGCACACTTGGCACACTTGGACTGTGGTACATTTAAACCAAAATCAATGAACAGGACTTCGTACGAGCTTTTCACCGGCAATGCGTATGTATGTCTACAGACTCTGAATACAGGGCAAGATTTCCATGACCCTTGTTTTGCACTCAATCAAAATTATTTGATGCCATGTCTTAAACAAACCAAGTCATGCATAGTACATAGATCATGAAAGATGGATATGTTATGTCATATTCAAAGATGAATAACTGTTTTATTAGTATCTGGATTGTAGAAGAGTCTGACAAGAAGAATCTGTAACCTGTTGTCAAAATCATTCATATATGTTTGCGTTTCAGTTCTAAATAATGGTATTTAACTGTATTTCTCTTTAGAATTGGTGTCTTGTGTACGACGTTCTCCCCTAAAGTCAAAGGTTGAAGCATTTTCTTGTTTTTAAGTTTGGTACTGACAGGATCTGAAAGTCGTGATGTCAGTCTTAACCTGCAATCACGTAAGTCAAAATACAGATCATGATTTCAATGATAAAACCTAATCTATCGTCCATCATGGCAGTTGCGTAACAATTTCCCGTGCCACGAGCAACATGTCCGTGGGACCTTTACCTACACGTATGTATTACGACAGATAATATCTTGTCTTTACCTAACTATTCGGAGACGATAAGTTGTTTTTTTTGCTCGACATTAGGACCAGGGCCTAGATTTTTTCGAAACGATCTTAGCCCTAAACTTATCGTAAAGTTATCGTAAAGAAATCGTAGGCTATCGTAGCCTTTTTTTACAAACTATCGTAGCCCTAAGATATCTTAAGTTTGTCGTAAATCTAAGATAGACCTATACCAAGGTTATTGTATCTTCATCCAAGATGGTGGTATACTTTGCTCTGGACATTTTTTATGATGAAGATGACAATGATTTGATGACAAGACCGAGGATATTCCGAAACAGAACTCGTCCCCTCGATACGCTTGACGACTTCGAGCTATTCTCCCGCTACAGATAGGTGTCGTAGCTCTGAGCGATCTGCGACAGGTTTACGATTGTTTCGAAAATCTATCTTATCTTAGTCTTAAGATATCTTATCTTTGAACGTAAGTAGTTAAGATTTATCTTAGCTAAGATCGTTTCGAAAATCTAGGCCCAGGCTCGTCCAGCTGTGTGAGTCTGTGCACCTAATAGATCTCTGGGCACTACAACATGACGCCGCGAAGGCCTTACTTACCATTGTAATGATAGTGCTAGTAACATAGCTTACTGCATTGAGTTTGAAGTTGGTTGGTTGGTTCCAGCAATATTCCAGCCATATGACGGTGGTCTGTAAATAATCGAGTCTGGACCAGACAATCCAGTGATTAATATCATGAGCATCGATCCACGCAATTGGGATCGACGACATGCATCAACCAAGTCAGCGAGCCTGACGACCCGATCCCGTTAGTCGCCTCCTACGACAAGCAAAGTCGCCTTTTACGGGATCATGGGTTGCTGAAGATCTTGTCTACCCCGGATTTTCACGGGTCGAATTTGAAGTACTATTAGATATATATCAGGACTCAAAATTGTTAATCGAACCGAGTCTAAAGGTCTGTCATTGACGTTTTCCACTTGGAGTCGGGATTATAACAAAACTCAGTTTTAGACCACTAGACCACGGAGGCGGTCTATGGAGAGGGACATCTATCGACTTATATATGAGCACTAAGTTACAACTCCGTACAAACATATCGTATCATAAAGTATCAGCTCGCTGTGGTATATAATATACACGTAGTGCCAAATTGTTACAGCACTTTGCATAGTTTCAGTCTATGTAGATCCGTGAAGATCCGGTGTAGAATAGGTCTTCAGCAACCCATGCTTGCCGTAAAAGGCGACTATACTTGTCGTAATAGGCGACTAACGGGATCGGGTGGTCAGGCTCGCTGACTTGGATGATGCATGTCATCGTTTCCTTATTGCGTGGTTCGATGCTCATGGTGTCAATCACTGGATTGCCTGGCCCAGACTCGATTATTTACAAACCACCGCCATATAGCTGGGATATTGCTAAGTGCGGCGTTAAATAACACACACACAAAAAAAATCAAACTATGTAAATTAGTGCCAAATTACTTTGGCAAGTTATCATATGAACATTTGGCCCACATGACATGATTCGATAATCTCCGTCATATAGTTGGAATATTAATTAGTGCGGCGTTTAACAACAAAGAAAGAAAGAAAGAAAGATTCGATCATATCAGGAAAGCGCAGATGGTATGATGTAGAATTTTCTGTTGAATGTACATGTACATGTATGTGTTTCCAACTTGGTTATCCAACTTGGTTACCCGTGAAGATTCCGTGGTAGAATAGGTCTTCAGCAACCCATGCTTGGCCATAAAAGGCGACTAACGGGATCCGATGGTCAGGCTCGCTGACTTTGGTTGATGCATGTCATCGATCCCAATTGCGTGGATCGATGCTCGTGATATTATTCACTGGATTGTCTGGTCCAGACTCGATTATTTACAGACCGCCGTCATATAGCTGGAATATTGCTGAGTGCGGCGTTAAACAACAAACAAACCAAACCACAACATCTGTGTGTGGTTGGATATTATGTTTTACAATCTGCATTATTTGTTTATGATCGATCTCGGAGAAAGCTGCACACATTACTATGTCCAGGACTCACCTTTACAGAACTGGCAGTGGTCGAATGCTAGCCAAAGAATCCGTTCTTTGTCGTGTCAAAGACCAGAGTCTCCGACACAATGAAAGCATAACTATATAATTATCCACAAGGCTTTATTTCACAATGTCCACAAGTTTATCATAATCATGTGTCAAGCTGTTATACATTAAACACAGAGAAAACGACACTCCAACGATGCAATGAAATAACAAATTCTATTGCCAATTGTCAATGGCAAAAACCATGTACCTTTATATGTGGGCTAATGACCTTGAATACAACAAACAGAATAACATTATTATTCATACTACTGTTAAGCCAACACAATACATAAATACGCTCATATTTACAAGTACATACGATGGACATGGTGACCAATTTCCGGGCGTTAACCTGCAAATGATGATGTATGGAATCTTATAAATGTTGACGAAAGTTTTGTTTTGTTTTGTTTGTGTGCTGTTTAACGCCGCACTCAGCAATATTCCAGCTATATGGCGGCGGTATGTAAATAATCGAGTCTGGACCAGACAATCCAGTGATTAATATCATGAGCATCCATCCACGCAATTGGGATCGATGACATGCATCAACCAAGTCAGCGAGCCTGACCACCCGATCCCGTTAGTCGCCTTTTACGACAAGCATAGTCACCTTTTACGGCAAGCATGGGTTGCTGAAGACCTATTCTACCCCGGATCTTCACGGGTCGTTGATGAAAGGGGATAAATATAGGGAAGGAATGTACATGAGAGATACACGTTGTACCGAGGATTCCTATATCACACGAGTTCACACGACAGTAACCCTGAAAACAATTAATACAACCAATTTTATCTTTTTGAAACACTGTCAAGACATAGAATAGAACATGACCCAGTTTCGTGAAGACGTGCGAAACCGTTTAATAATGACCTCCGAAAAAACACGCAGCCTTATGTTGATCTGAATTTGTAAATATTTCTTTGGGTATAAAAACATAACACAAAGGCACAGTCACCAGCCCCACTTGCACAAAACAATCTCCGCACTACAATTAATGTAAATCCTAAAGATCACGATCTTTAGTCTTCGGCTACAATCGTCATCAACTTGCACAAAGCGAGTGTAGGCTAAGATCATTGTAAGCTACAATCGAAACTTACAATTGGTCCGGACCAATCTTTAAGTAGCTAAGATCGGTGTAGTCCCAGAATAAACTTGAGAAAATGGCGTGCAGGATAGGGTCTGCTTCACATAAATAATCTGCTTTACGTTCAAACATTGCCCTACTGTTTTATTGAACTTTATTCGATTAGAATTGACACTTTAACAACACGAAGAATACACCACAGATTTAACGTAAGAAATATCGTCAATTGCGACAGTGAACCACATAACTATCGAGTCAATAGATAAACGTATCACTTCCACCCGACACTGCTGAAAGAAGTGTGAAACAACAAACCTTTTCGCTAATCAAGGGAAGGATAAAAACGTAACTTGTCTGCAACGTCCGTGACCTTTAAGATAACTCAAGGGCAGCTAATCTTAGTTGATACTCTCGATGGGAGTTGTTTCCCTTTGTATACGCCATCGCCCAAAGAGTCGAATCTACAGTAACTACTTGCCCGGTGTATTAATGTTGTAAAATCACTGAGCTCCGCCTGTATTTCTTTTGGGTCACATTCGTGTCAGTGATTTTGTCTTTGGTTCATCATCATTAAAACAATCTACAATTAAATACAAGTTGAAGTACAAAATCATACAGGTTTAATTGTATAATCGAGTGGGCCGAGGTACGAGCAGTTTTAGTACATGAATTATAAATAAATTCATTCAAGTATTCATCAAACAAGGACACACACATGATGAGACATTTGAAATTTGAGTGAATATCCTTAAAATAGCAAAAGTAAAATCCACACTTTTTATGAAATAATTATTAATGTAAATTATACCCAGTGAATATATATTAAACTGCTTTCTCGAAATTATATTAATTGTTCTTATTTCCCTTCCCTGGATTCTTTACAGACCCCTGTCTTTCTGTGTTTTGAAACGATAGTCATAAAATCTTTTCTTGTACTAGCAAAACAAAACATGTTGGATATATTTAGAATTTTACGAAAAGCTCTTAAAAATGGATTACGATCATACATTTATGTATTATAAGGAAATATTATTTTTGTTTATTTTAATTTTTCAAATAATTGTGTCACTAAATCTAGAGTTAAATGTATGAATGGTTTTTTTTCGTGTTTTAATAGTTTCATAAAACATGAGTAGGTATTTCTCTAGTTGCAATATCAAACTCATAATTCCTAAATCACGAAAATATCAATGCAGAAAAAACATTCTATGCCATCATCCTAGTAACCATTTTCTTCAAATTACTGGGACCTTTTAAAAAAACTGTACAAGGTGCGGTGGCGGGTTGTACGAGTTGTGTGTCCTGACCGGTTCCAGTATTGGCATGCGCAGCAAACTATGCGACTTTGCAGACAACTGTATAGACAGGAGTCGAGTTAAAGATATTTTTACTCCCACCGTCGAAGATTTCGGTCTTAGCTGAAACTCCAAGCCATCTTACAATCGCGCTAAGATTGCTTTGTGCAAGTGGAATATGATAATTGTAAGGTTGATAGTAGGCGCCTAAGATTGTTTTGTGCAATTTCATGCCCTGACAAATCATAATCATATAATGGCTCTGCACATGTTAATATAATAAAATTTCAGATCTTGTGTTTTCTGAGATTTTTTCTAGATCCAAAGATATGTTTCTGATTTGTTTTATTTACAGAACCTCATTGTGTCGGTACACAAAATGGCAGTGTTTATTTCAGTCATATTAGAAATGGATTCTTATGGGTCATTTTGCTTTTAACGCCAAATATCAGTCATATTCTGATGCTATAGACAACACATCAGGGTCATCCTTTTCAAAACGCCATACCATCAGCCTAGCTCGCAAGGGCCGTCTGTCTAAGTGAGGTAAGAAGATCGAAGTTACTAGTACAGAAAAGTTTAAAAGCCAATCCCACATGAAGAATAGCATTAATGGTAAGTTTGGGGACAGTACAAAGCATTTATAACTTTTAAATAGTATTATGCTTAAAGGTATACATGCTGAAGGGTAAGGAGGAATTATTGCTTAGTGTTGATTGATGCCAATGATATAGCCACTTGGCTATCACCATAAAATTCCCATATAACCTTAAAACAGGCCCATATATATATCAATCTTACTCCACTTATTTAAATATTTCTATATTGTGCCTGAGAGTTAGAACTCTTCTGTGCTTTATATATTGAGATGCAAATGTCGGGAGTATTTTTTTTTAAAAGCAGAACTTTTGAATTTCTTTCACCAAGGACCGATTCTATGTAGCATGAACGTAAGGTGTACTGTTACTAATAACATGCTGACGTAACTATCAAAGTAGATACGTGTCCAATGTCATTCATTAATGCTTTGGACATGCATCGATGCTTTCAAAGATGAGATGAACAGTCGTTGATATGACGAGGATGAAACCGCATGTATTTTAAAGAGCCCCTCGGTCGTGCGCTGCTCGGCGAGCCTGTAAAATAAATTGAAAATATGTTCTGGAATGAAACACCCAATCAGTACACCTTCATTGTACTTAAATGCACCTTTCGGCGTTAAACAACAAACAAACAAACAAACAAAAAGTTTAAGTCCTTTATGTCGCGAAATAATCCAGTAGACATGTGGAGGACATTTCGATTTTTGACGCATAATTTTGACTTGCATTTGCATGTGTTTGTGATGAGAGCCATCGGTGGGGCAGGATACACCGCCCTTTTCTCGAAAGCCTTGAGAGTCATTCATAAACATGTTGATTTCTTACGATTATGGAAAGCGTTCGTCACTTTATTGTACAGCTTGATGTACCTAATATGAAACAGAACAGATTAAAGTAAATGCTCCTTATGTAACATAAACTTACCATTTCATGGTAAAAAGCAAATTCGTCTTTTGATACCAATTCATCATCTGAAACAAACGAATGATGCACTTTGCTAGATGTCAACTATTCACGTGGGTGTTCAAGTGAATATTCGTGTTGCTCCATTGATCATGAGTATCAATTTGTGCGAAGTTGAGTCCCTTAGCATAACGTCAGGGTTCGAAAACTGAGATACCTTGAATATTGCTGGAATATTTCTGAAATATAGCTGGCATATAGCTGGAATATAGCTGAAACATAGCTGGGATATTACTGGAATACAGCTGGAATATAACTGGAACATTGCTGGAATATAGGTTGCATATTGCTGGAATAAAGTTGGAATATAGCTGGAATATTTCTGGAATAAAGCTGGAATATTTCTGGAATATTTCTGAAATATAGCGGGAATATAGCTGGGATATTCCTGGAAAACAGGTTGAAAATTCCTGGAATAATCCTGGAATATAGCTGGAAAATTGGTTGTATATTGCTGGAATAAAGTTGGAATATAGCTGGAATATTTCTGGAAATCAGCTGGAATATTTCTGGAAAACAGCTGGAATATTTCTGGAATATTTCTGAAATATAGCGGGAATATAGCTGGGATATTCCTGGAATACAGGTTGAATATTCCTGGAATAATCCTGGAATATAGCTGGAACATTGCTGGAATATAGGTTGCATATTGCTGGAATATAGCTGGAATGTTTCTGGAAAACAGCTGGAATATTTCTGGAATATTTCTGAAATATAGCGGGAATATAGCTGGGATATTCCTGGAAAACAGGTTGAAAATTCCTGGAATAATCCTGGAATATAGCTGGAAAATTGCTGGAATATAGGTTGTATATTGCTGGAATAAAGTTGGAATATAGCTGGAATATTTCTGGAAATCAGCTGGAATATTTCTGGAAAACAGCTGGAATATTTCTGGAATATTTCTGAAATATAGCGGGAATATAGCTGGGATATTCCTGGAATACAGGTTGAATATTCCTGGAATAATCCTGGAATATAGCTGGAACATTGCTGGAATATAGGTTGCATATTGCTGGAATATAGCTGGAATGTTTCTGGAAAACAGCTGGAATATTTCTGGAAAACAGCTGGAATATTGTGGAATATTTCTGAAATGTAGGATGAATATTTCTGAAATAAAGCGGGAATATAGCTGGGATATAGCTGGGATATTGCTGGAATAAAGGTTGAATATTCCTGGAATATAGCTGGAATATAGCTGGAACATAGCTGGAATATTCCTGGAAAACAGCTGGAATATTTCTGGAATATAGCTCGAATATAGCTGAGATATAGCTGGGATATTGCTGGAATATAGGTTGAATATTGCTGGAATAATGCTGGAATATAGCTGGGATATAGGTTGAATATTGCTGGAATATAGCTGGAATATTGCTGAAATAAAGCTTGGGTATTGCTGGAATATTTTTGAAATATAGTTTGAATATTTCTGGAATATAGCTGGAATATTGCTGGAATACAGGTTGAATATTGCTGGAATATAGCTGGAATATTTCTAGAATAAAGCTGAAATATTTCTGAAATATAGCGGGAATAAAGCTGGAATATAGCTGGAATATAGAGGGAATATTGCTGGAATATTGCTTGAATAACGCTGGAATGCTGCTGGAACATTTCTTGAATATAGCTGGAATATTGCTGGAATATTTCTGACAAATAGGTTGAATAATCCGGAATACAGCTGGAATATTTCTGGAAAAATGCTGGAATATATCTGGAATAAAGCTGGAATATTGCTGGAATATAGCGGGAGAAGTGCTGGAATAAAGATTGAATATATCTTGAATTTAGCTGGAATATTGCTGGAACATTTCTGGAATATAGCTTGAATATTGCGGGAATATTTCTGAAAAAAAGGTTCAATAATCCGGAATATAGCTGGAATATTTCTGGAATATTTCTGAAACATAGGTTGAATATTTCTGAAACATAGCGAGAATATAGCTGGAATATAGCTGAAATATTGCTGGAATATTGCTAGAATATAGCTGGGATATTGCGGGAATATTGCTGGAACAAGCTGGGATATTTCTGGAATATAGAGGGAGTATTGCTGGAACATTTCTGGAATGTAGCTTTTATATTGCGAATGTTTCTGAAAAATAGGTTGAATACTTCTGGAATATGGCTGGAATATTGCTGAAATATTTCTGGAATATAGGTTGCAAATTGCTGGAATAAAGCTTGAACATAGCTGGAATATTCCTGGAAAACAGCTGGAATATTTCTGGAATATTTCGGAAATATAGCTGAAATGGAACATGTAGCTGGAATATATGCAGGTAGACAAAAATCATACGAATGATCTTTTACAAAAGTAATCTGGACAAACTTGTAAAATGAATATACAAACACACTTAACACACTGAAACATTAAACAACCTTGAGGTTCAGAAATTGAATAGGAAAATACGAAACATGTTTGTGGGTGCCCTGAGAAACAACAATTTCCCTACGATAATGAATTAAGCGGCGATTCATCTCTATTCATAGCTGTGTGCTACCACAGCATTAATATTCTTACCGTCGATGTCCACTCTTTTATGTACGTCGGTGACATCGTTGGCTCTGATGACGCCATCTGAATCAAAATCCTCTGCCTCGAAGATAAACTTGTACTGTCGTCCAATGGTATCCGCCACCTCCTTTGACGTCACTATTCCATTATCTGAATGCAGAGAGTGTAACATTGGCATCAGCGATATTCCATCTCACGTGTGGTACCGTAACCTAAATTTTATAGCATATGTAACAACCATGTACAATGTCTGTTTGTTGTTTAACGCCCCACTCAGCATATTCCAGCTATATGACGGCGGTCTGTAAATATTCGAGTCTGGACCAGACAATCCAGTGTTTGATATCATGAGCATCGATCCACACAAATGGGATACGATGACATGCATCAACCAAGTCAGCGAGCCTGACCACCCGATCCCGTTAGTCGCCTCTTACGACAAGCATAGTCGCCTTTTAGGCAAGCATGAGTTGCTGAAGACCTAATCTACCCCGGATCCTGACGGGTCCATGTACAATGTTATTCTACTACAAGATCAGGGGCGGTCGGGTAGCCTAGTGGTTAAAGCGATCGCTCGTCACGCCGAAGACCCGGGTTCGATTCCCGACATGGGTACAATGTGTGAAGCCCATTTCTGGTGTCCCCCGCCGTGATATTGCTGGAATATTGCAAAAAGCGGCGTAAAACAATACTCAGTCAGTCAGTACTACAAGATCATAATATGCGTATATAATACAGTCTTTTGCAAAGGATCTTTTGCAAAGTTAACACTGTGGAAATCAAAACTAAACATTAAAGTAACTGTATTTGGAACATATATTATGCTTGTTTTTCCGACATGAAGGTCAAAGGGCTTCGTGACCTTCACCTCAGTACGGGTGTTACAGCCAGACAGGACATCTTCGTCAGTTCATTTTGTTTGGAATGTGTTTGGGGGGCATTTTAGAGGTCGCCATTCGCTGCGCAGAGCTACATGCGTTAGGCGCTTAAGAAACCGATAATAGTAGGTTCGAATCCCTCATTCAGTTTGACAGCACCATACCCGTGGTCGTGGATTTGACCAAACTGGTAAATGTCTCTTCCGCATTAAAATGAGAAGCAGTGATATAACTGAAATTTAGTTCCAAGCAACGTTAAACCAACCTGAACAGTTTTCTTGTAACATAGTATATGAAAACAACAGTACCCCTTGCACGATGTATTTTCAAGTTTTGATTTCAACTTACTGTCTTTGTCCATAGAGTTGAAGTGCGCTTGCGCCGCTTGAAGTGAGTAGGTTCCGTTTCCGTCGACGTCGAGCATGCGATAATAATTATTCAGCTGGTCGTAAACGTTTCTCTTTATTTCACTACAATGAGAAGAAATGGTCAACATTATGAATAGTTTTGTGACGTGTTACGTTTGTGCTATGCTAGTATCTTATTTTCCCTCCCAACCCACTCCAGCAACTGTCCCAAATCATCCCACTACCAGGACAAATATGCCCCCACCCCAACCCAACACCACCACCACTTCCCAACCAGCTCCGACGACAAATACTCACTTCCACCATAATCCCAGGGTAAACACTCTCTCCCACCTAACTCTCAGGGCAAGCACTCTCTCCCACCTCCCTCTCAGGACAAATACTCTCTCCCACCTGACACCAAGGACAAATACTCTCTCACACCTCACGCTCAGGAGAAATACTCTCTCCCACCTCCCTATCAGGACAAATACTCTCTCCCACCTGACACCAAGGACAAATACTCTCTCCGAACTCACGCTCAGGACAAATACTCTCTCCCACCTAACTCTCAGTACAAATACTCTCTCCCACCTCCCTCTCAGGACAAATACTCTCTCCCACCTGACATCAAGGACAAATTCTCTCTCCCACCTCATGCTCAGGACAAATACTCTTTTGAACCTGACACCAAGGACAAATACTCTCTCCCACCTCCCTCTCAGGACAAATACTCTCTCCCACCTGACACCAAGGACACATACTCTCTCCCACCTCACGCTCAGGACAAATACTCTCTCCCACCTCCCTCTCAGGACAAATATTCTATCCCACCTCACTCTCGGGACAAATACGCTCTCCCACCTCACTCTCGGGACAAATACGCTCTCCCACCTGACACCAAGGACAATTACTCTCTCCCACCTCAGGCTCAGGACAAATACTCTCTCACAGGACAACTATTCTATTCCAACTCACTCTCAGGAGAAATACTCTCTCCCACCTCCCTCTCAGGACAAATATTCTATCCCACCTCACTCTCGGGACAAATACGCTCTCCCACCTCACTCTCGGGACAAATACGCTCTCCCACCTGACACCAAGGACAATTACTCTCTCCCACCTCAGGCTCAGGACAAATACTCTCTCACAGGACAACTATTCTATTCCAACTCACTCTCAGGAGAAATACTCTCTCCCATCTCACTCTCAGGACAATTACTCTATCCCAACTCAGTCTCAGGACAAATACTCTCTCACACTAAGGAAAAATGCTCTCTCCCACCTCACTTCAAGGACAAATACTCTCCCTCACTTGACTTCAAGGACAAATATTTTCTCCCACCTCCTCTTTCTTCAACACTCATAAAATGAACATAGAATCTCGAGTTTTGCAACCCGGCTCTCACTTACAGCTCTAGGTTGCCGACCGTGACCTTCACCTTCTCTGGTTCTATCAATTGGCCACGCACTGAAAATAACATTCAAGTTGACACGCAATAAATGTATGTATACGTACAAAAACTTCATCTGACAAACAATTTGCACAGTGCGTTGACAAATTATCTCAACAATTTTTAAGTCACGTTGCCGTATACACTCTTCAAACGCACAGGTAGTATGTAGTTCATTGAACCTGACTACACAAGAAATCCGGTATATAAATTGGATATATGTTATTGGAAAATGATGGTGGCCTGATATTCGACAAACGATGCGTCAAAACGCAGCCATTATCGATTTGAAATGTCTTAAACGGCATTGTTTTCACAGTTGTTAAAAAATGTCAAGGCGGAAAACAGTATAGCAAAATGCACGTGCAAGTTATGGCATTCGTAACTCGTGGTAGTGGCTATAAAAAGGCAAGCATAAGCCAATAATGTTTCATTCAATTTTTCATATTCGAAAATGCCGAGACCAGCGCTGCCGATCGGAACATGCTATAGGACGTATCCAAAGAGAGGAATCGCAGTCTTCTGTTGCACGCCACTTCAACGTCCACTACAGCACCATTTGCCGCCTTTGTGACCCATACACACAGTTCAATTCAACTGCAGACCGTCCGAGAACCGGCCGACCAAGAGTTACCACCCCTGCACAGGATCGCTACATTCGACTGTTCCACCGTCATCGCAATGCCACAGCTACGGAGACTGCAGGACGCATCCCTGTTTTGAGGAGGATATCGGACCAGACTGTCAGGAACCATCTCCGCGAGGCTGGAATCCGACCCAGAGGACCAGTTATCGTCCCTGTTTTGCAAAGATCCATACCTTACAGCCTTGGGATTTGAGAAACTGGAGACGAGTGTGGTTTAGCGATGAATCACGATTTCTTCTTCAACGGCGGGATGGAAGACAACGTGTTTATCGTTGTCGACATAAGCGTTTTGCCCCACATTGTGTACGTGAATTCGACAATCGGTGCCGGTAGTGTCATGGTGTGGGGGACCATATCCTACACCACGAGATCTGACTTGGTTGTAGTTCATGGAAATTTGACAGCAAATCGCTACATGGATCAAATTCTTCAACCTCACCTTCTTCCAATCATTGACCGCCAGAGGGAGCTGTTTCAAACAGGACACCGCTCTACCGTACACAGCTCCTGTCAAAGTTGACTGCCTTTATAATGACACATCAACGCCCTGTCCTGGCCATCAAGATCTCGAGATCTCAACCCAATCGAACACTCCTGGGATGAACTCGATCGACGTGTACGTCAACGTCAGAACACGCCGCAGACATTTCCGCAACTGACCAACGCGTTACACGCAGAATGACGCAGAATGGCGCAGAATTCCGCAGGACAGAATTTATACACCTTTTCAGTCAGTGCTGAGGAGATGCTGAGCCGTGATAGCTGCCAGGGGCGTTCACACGAGATACTGAGTTCAGCGCAACCTTGTGGCCTTATGTGACATGACAATGAACAGTTTTCAATGCCTTGGTACAACGACAATATGTGACTATCGAGCTAAAAAAATCATATTTGTATCTATGATATTAAATTAAATAAAATATATCGACTTTATTAGTTACAATAAATTTACAAAAAATCTACCTGTGCGTCACTGTTTTTGAAGAGTGTATATCCATTTCTTGCTTTTATTTGTTTGTTGTTTAACGCCGCACTCAGCAATATTCCAGCTATATGACGGCGGTCTCTAAATAATGGAGTCTGAACCAGACAATCCAGTGACTGACATCATGAGCATCGATCCAACCCATTGGGATACGATGACACAATGCGATTGGTCGCCTCTTACGACAAGCATTGTCGCCTTTTACGGCAAGCATGGTTTGCTGAATACCTATTCTACCCCGGATCTTCACGGGTCAAGTTGTTTTCGTAAGAACACTTACAGACTACAACGATGACGCATGATACAATGAGAGACGCCAAGAGAACCGCAACTATGAACAGTGTGAACTTGTAACACGCAGTCTGAAACAAATACAGAAAAACAAGAAATTAAAGCAACTCTCACCAAAAGGAATGTTTCTGAACTCACACGAAAAGCGAAATTACAAAAAGGGACCTCGCTTCGGATTGTTATGGTCGTGACAGTCTGCTACCGCCCTTGCCTAGGGAAGGTGTCTTCCGTTGACCTGAACCGATACAAACATGGTTTGTTGGTTTGATGTTTAACGCCGCACTCAGCAATATTCCAGCTATATGACGGCGGTCTGTAAATATCGAGTCTGGATCAGACAATCCAGTGATTGACATCATGAGCATCGATGCGTGCAATTGGAACCGATGACATGTATAAACCAAGTCAGCGAGCCTGACCACCCGATCCCGTTAGTCGCCTTTTACGACAAGCATAGCCGCCTTTTACGGCAAGCATGGGTTGCTGAAGATCTATTCTACCCCGGATCTTCACGGGTCTGGAAATACATCTTGCAGAGTTAACTTAGAACTCACATCAATCATCCATAAAAGGTAGGAAGACATATGCATGCACATATTTAATCACACAGGATTGATGCGAACATTTTGGTGTTTGTAAAGCGTTTGTCAGATCGCAGTGAGGCGAGGCGCAGTAGTTGGAATTAATGCCGCTTTGAACAGTCACACTTAATGGCGGCGTTTTAGCTGAATCTTTTAATGACATTTTAGAAGCCGTAGTGTCAATGAAGACAGAGTGACTAATTTAATGCGTCCTTTCGGAACAAGTGACAAGCAAGTATCAAGCAATATGCGAAAGGATCTCAAGCACCCGTACCTTCACGTTAAAGAAAAAAGAATTTGAAAACCTTAAGTCAACGCTCTCCATCGCAAGTCAGCTTTATGTGGAAGGAAAACCGACAAAAAGACGTTTTCGTGAAACCCAAATCCAGGATTCGAACCTACGATTAGCCAATCCTTGCCTGCTAATCGACGCCACTTTGCACAAGTGATTGTGACGCCGATAACCACTGGGCCGCCTACATGGAGGAGATCCTTTGCAACAAAATAATTCAATCCGAGTGAGCGCCAAAGGTAGACATATTTTACTAGAGCTTCAAACATATTTGCTGGCATATTTTCCAACATTGATTGGTTGATGACAGGGCGTGACCTACATCAACCAACACGTCACGTATGTGACATATGTCGTGCATCTGTATTAGCATCATGTTACGTTTGTCGTTATCTAATCAATTTCTGTTTCACGCAGTTTGTCCGGACTATAATCATGTACATGTGTCCTTTCCTAAGGACATCAACACACTGCACCACATCCAAACTCAATACAAGACATGAACCTGTGAACAGTGAATTCATGCCCACTGAAGCATCCATGTGGTGTAACCATTATGAAAGTTTTGAATTGAAATGGCAAGTTGAACAAGGGTTCTGTAAATCGATGTACAATGTATATGTATCGTTTTCTCATTTATCATTACATCTGCAGGTGTCTCCAATGTCCTGGGCTGCTATCATCGGAACGTGCCATTGTTGACCCTTAATTGAATTTTTGAAATTAATTCATTGTACTGCACCGGGAAACGTGGTCATGATATGGTCGGAATCGTACAATGGAACTTGTTTTTAGTAGATAAATTCTCATGACAGTGGAAAGGTTTCCACAATTCGCCCCGAGTATCCTCCAGGGTCAGGCAACCTGCATTCGCGTCACCGAATTTGCAAAGTCATACGACCATTAATTATGTTTTATATAGTTTTCAAGGGCGGATCAAGCATGTTCAATAGGAAGGGGTCTAAAATATCAAAACCCTCGGTGTGTGTGTGTGTGTGTGTGTGTTTGTGTGTGTGTGTGTGAATTGTCTAACATACCACTATTTGTTTTCAAAAGGGGTAAGGGTTCCCCCTCTGAATCCGCCTATGAGCTACCGATTTGGGGGTAGGTTTCTGGGTGGACCCCCTCCCACCCCACTGAAGTTACAAATGTGGACCCCCCCAAACCCCCCCCTTTCCCATTTCCTGGATCCACCTCCTGACTTAGTATAGTATAGAACTAAATTTCGCCACAGACCACCGGTGCCTGAATTACCGCATATCTGCATTCGCACGCGTGAAGCCCATTAATTGTCCCATGTATGCCCCTCCGTCACATGGCTGGAACATTGTCTGAGATGGCTAAACCCTTCTCGCACGCTCACAATCGCTCGTTCAGCGGTACTTACCATAAAGTGAATTGATTGTACTGAAATTACGATTTAACAAGGCTTGTAATGGAGGTAATGGGAAGGTCGTGTGCAGATGATATCAATCCACTCACAGGGTTGAATAACGGCACGGGTTATTGATTACGGGGAAATAGGTGTTACCACTGGTGGTCGACAGTCGCGTTAATGAACGTTGGGGAGCTGCTCATGAAGAGTCATTTACCCGGATGGTACATTGTATTCTATTGTATTTGTTTGTTTGTTGTTTAACGCCGCACTCGGCAATATTCCAGCTATATGACGGCGGTCTGTAAATAATCGAGTCTGGACCAGACAATCCAGTGATTGACATTATGAGATCGATCCGTGCAATTGGGGTCGATGACATGTATCCATCAAGTCAGCCTGACCAACCGATCCCATTAGTCGCCTTTTACGACAAGCATAATCGCCTTTTACAGCAAGCATTGGTTGCTGAAGAACCTATGCTACCCCGGAATCTTCACGGGATGAACACTACAAGTATATATAGGGTCCGATGCAAGCAAATATATGTCTGATAGAAAGCGTTACACAGCGAATAAAGGCATCATGAAACTATTTGTTTGTTTGTATGTTGTTTAACACCGCACTCAACAATTACTCAGCTATATGACGGCGTTATGTAAATAATCCAGTATGGATCAGACAATCCAGTGATTGACATCATGTGCATCGATCTACACAATAGGGATACTATGACATGCATCAACCAGGTCGGCAAGCCTTACCACCCGATCCGTTAGTCGCCTCTTACAACGATTTAAGCATATAAACGTGTAGTCGCCTTTTACAGCAAGCATAGTTGCTGAAGACCTTTTCCATCCCGGACCTTTACGGATGCATCATGAGATTGACTGCATACAGCTACTACGACTGACGGAAATGTTGATTTCCACATACCATCGTTTGGAAATAAATACAAAGCACTGTCAACTGTGTGAACATCCTTAAGGGTTCGTATCAAAATGTTTCCTACTAAAGCTTTGATTTTGGAATTCCTGTGACGTTTAATCAAGTCTCGCGATAGTTGTCTATGTTACAAGATGTTATTTGTTTTGAAAATGTAAAAACGTATTGAAACAATCAAATATAGGTCAAAAAGCATAAAAAGATATCTTGTAGTTTGGAGCGAATCCCTTGGAGATGTTGTTCCTACAACACGTGCTATGAATTTGTATCACGCCCCACGCAGGTCACGACCACGGATATCTGACCTTTCTTTAAGCCAAACAAATAGTACGCGTTTTGGCGATCAGTCAGTGTTTCCAAACATGGTTTGCGGCATCTGGTCGCGATCGAAATAGGTGAGGTGAGGTGAAATTGGGTTTAGTGAGTGAGTATGGTTTTACGCCGCTTTTAGCAATATTCCAGCAATATCACGGCGGGGGACACCAGAAATGGGCTTCACACATTGTACCCATGTCGGGAATCGAACCCGGGTCTTCGGCGTAAATTGGGTTTAACGTCGCGTCCAAGATTATTGCACTTATATAGCGACGTGCATGCACGTGTGTGTGTGTGGCTGCTTGTACTAGTCCGGACTGATGCCGATTTATAGTGCTAGCCCACTGGGATACCATGCCGCAATTTAACATGAATACCCCACTCAGACACAGTATACTGACTCCGAGCCGACCAGTCCTTGTTTGAGCCCCTTAATGCCCAGCGCCAGACAGGGTAACAACAAGTATCATCTTTTAGCGTCTTTTGGTATGACGCACCGGGGATCGAACCCCGGAACTTCCGCTCTCCGGGCGGACGCTCTACCACTAGACCACGGAGGCATCTGATCGAAATAGAGCAAAACATAGCACGAGGTTCATAGATTGCAGGTAAGTCTGAAATATCACAGCAAATACAAGGGGCGAAATAGATGGGGTGAAGTAAGTGAGAGACTGTTGTTTTACGCCGCTACCGTCAGATTTAAGTTAGGCATGGTCGTATGACAGGCGGTCTGTAAATAATCGGGTCTAAACCAGACAATCCAGTGAATGATATCATGAGCATCGATCCACGCAATTGGAATCGATGACATGCTTCAACCAAGTCAGCGAGCCTGACCACCCGGTCCTGTTAGTCGCCTCTTACGGCGGGATAACTGTTGCTGATGTGACTGACTGTGGGCGACCGCGAGTTTGTTGATATTAGTTTAGTCCGTATTTATAGCAGTATCACAGCTATGTCACTCAAGTCTGCCAAAAAACGGAGACTGGGTAACGTGAACCTGTTGCTGATTGCATGAGCAACGATGTACGCCATCAGGACACCATGGCAACCCGAGTCTAATGTATTTCAACACCTAAGTGAATGAGTATGGTTTCACGCCGCCTTTAGTAATATTCCAGCAATACCACGGCGGGGTGAATCAGGAATTGGTTTCACATATTGTATTCATTTTTTGGAACCGAACCGGGACCTTCAGCGGGACGAACGAACGCTTTAACTACTAGGCTACCCACATCCCTGCCTTCAGTTACATGTGTCGGGTACAGGGGACCCCTTTTAACCACAAACGATTTGTTTGTTTGTTGTTTAACGCTGCACTCAGCAATATCCCAGCCACATGACGGCGGTATGTAAATAATCGAGTCTGGACCAGACAATCCAGTGATTGATAACACGAGCTTCTCTCCACGCAGTTGAGATACGATGACATGCATCAACAGAGTCAGCGAGCCTGACCACCCGATCCCGTTAGTCGCCTCTTACGACAAGCATGGTCACCTTTTACGGAAAGAATGGGTTGCTGAAGACCTATTCTACCCCGGATCTTCACGGGTCTTTTTT